ACGAGGAAGTGTAGCGTACAGGGCGTGAAACGAGGGGGCGTACTACAACATAACAACTTTTCTTTTGTCATAACCAGAAGCCTAGCTGCTTCCAACAACCCAAGAACTGTAATGACCATAACCCCCTTCTCAAACATGTATTTAGTACAGCTTTACTCATCTGTTGGAGGGAAACCCCCAGCCGTGCTACTATAGTCTCAGACTCACACAGCATGTTAAAAGGAATAATAATAATAATAATAATAATAATAATAATAATAATAATAATAATAATAATAATAATAATAATAATAATAATAATAATAATAATAATAATAATAATAATAATAATAATAATAATAATAATAATAATAATAATAATAATAATAATAATAATAATAATAATAATAATAATAATAATAATAATAATAATAATAATAATAATAATAATAATAATAATAATAATAATAACCTATAACTTATATATACGTTTCCTAGCTAATATTAAAAGTAAAAAATACCTCTAGAGGTAGTTTTTACTTGTACTACTAAAGCGATATTATAAAGTAATATTAAGTAGATTAAATATATTATCTATAGGATATTAACTTATAATATTAAGGTTGTATTTACTTAGGGTAGAGTACTAATTTGAGGACTCGGAACGCGACTAAACGGAGTTTAGTTAACACTTGGCATACCAAATCAGGACGATAATACTCGTAAGGTCTAACATTCTAAGTAAACAGAGCCTAAGTTAGTGGCACGCCAATCCCACATTTATACCCCAGTGATCTTTCACTCCTAAACCCTGACTTGGCATGAACACTTATGTATAAGACTTTAACCTCCATAACTCCCAATCTACTAGATTGAACAAAACAAAAGAGTAAAAGAAGAATTCCGAGAAACGAAGACGTGCGTCTATTTCCCACCAATCTGACCTTTGGGAACTGGCCTGATCCAAGAGACACTTAGATTGACTCCAATACTGATCGCTCCGATTATCCAAATAACTCTCCCATAATGACTCCCATTATATCGGAAAATGATGGCAAAGATGATACCTCCCAAGTTACCCGAAGCACCAACAATGCCACTAAGAATACCATTGGCGAAAGGATGGACGTGAGGAACAACTGCAAAGTTTGCGCCATTACTGGCATCCATAAAGATAGCAAGACCAGCAACGAGACCAAACATAGTAGCCTCCTGGTGAGAATTCGTAAGTCCAATAGCAAGTTCGAAACATCCCATGGTGACCCCACAGAATACAATCCAAAGCTTCTTAGCCCAAACAGAATGCGTGTATTTATAGATGATGTCTGCAACCAATCCTCCGAGGGGACGGAAAACGACGTTCAGAAGACCGAACATGGCTGCCCATCTGCCTGAGCCGGTTTGTCCTAAATGGGGAAAGTTCTTGAGGTAATAGGAGCCGATGATGCTGTTGATTGCTAGTTCTCCGCCGAAGGAACAGGCATAAGGTGCGGCAAGAGCAAGAGTTTGGAGGGAGAAGACAACTGACAGTGCTTCCTTCATGGTTGGCGCAACCACAACTTCAGCAACGGTAGCATCGACTACTGAAGTTTCAGGAACTTGACGCTCTGTATCAACTTTCGAGGCACTGGCTTGCTCTTTTGTGGCATGCTTGTCATCGGAATCTTTGAGAGATGTCCGAGATTGATTGGCTGAGTCGCCAACATTTTGAGCGATAAGGGTTCTAACGATCTGGTGACGTTCTGACCATCTTCCAGTTGGTGTATCTTCTGCTGTAAACAGAAGTCCCAGAGCAATCGCTGTGATAATGATGAATGGAACGATAAAAGCGACTCTCCAAGCCACGTGAGGAGTTAGGTGTTGATTACGAACAAGGGAGTCGAAAATTGCAGGCATGACGAAGTAAGTAATCCCTCCCCCAGAATTTCCCCAACCACCTGCGAGAGCGTTCGCTGTCCCAACCACGTTCTTGTCAAAGAAACCAGTACACCACACTTGACAAGGGACAAAAGAGCCACCAAGGACACCAATGAAGAATCTTAGTGCAATCAGCCCCTTGGGTGTAGTCACTAGTCCGGCCATACTACAAGTACAATGAGTTAGTGAACTACACAAGCCAATGTATGAGACTTTATAAGATGACCTACGCAGTTGGAATTGCGCCCGAGAGTAGACATCCAACAAAAACCAGCCTAGGACCGAATCTATCACACAATGGACCAGCTATTGCACGAACAACCAATGTACCGCAAAGACTCATGATGTTGGAATTTGCAAAGTCGTCTTGGGTCATTTTAAGATCCTTTCTGATGGTGAGCGTTAACAGAGGAGGAAACGCATACCAGCTCAGAAATGCAACAAGAAAGCCGCTCCAACTGAAAAAGAAAGTACGCCCATATTTGTTGAGGGGGTTGAGGATTGGGATTGATCGGGCTTTCAGATTTAGCGGGTTCACCTCAGGTGCCGTCCATAGGTAAGAGACTTTGAAAGACATCTTTGAGGCTCAATGTGGTTATCGTGTTCAGGTTTATTCTCAGGGACAACTGGGTTGGAATTGATAGATGTTATGCTTCGAGCGCCGAAGTGAACCTGGATTGACGAGGAAATAACGGTCGTTGCTATACCTGCCTCAAATACAACATCAGTATTTGGCGAAGTTGACAAAGTATTTATTAGATTGCCAAGGATCTCCTTGGAACATAGCAATTGATGCCCTTATCGTCAAGAAGGTGTGAAGTTTGCTTCTCCACGGCCCTACAGGTAGATTCGCCATGTCTTATGCAAGCCATGCGGAACAAATCCTGGGCACGCCACCAACCGAAACACCAATTCCAGCAGACTGGGGGATAGATATTGTGTTGGACATGAAGATAAAGCATCTTCCTCTTCCACGGAGATCTTCACCTCGTCTGGGCGAACTCAAAACAATTCGATTGGCAGATAAAACAACAAAAGAAAAAGAAAGAATTCGATATGACGCTTTCATCCCGACCCGGCTGAACAAGCAGAGCAAGTACAGGAAAGTTTCAAATGACAAGAAATGAACAAGAGCGAACAGTGGGCGTCTATATGTTCAACCAAATACCCGACAGAACACTTCCCAGTAGTTGACGTTGATATTGACCAGGAAGAACCACCGATGAATCTGCTGCGCTTCTCCTTATTGGTCGCGTCGTAACATCCGCCCCAAATACTTTCCAGCTAACCCTAGTCAACCCAGACACGATTGAAGGACTTCCATCCATCATACCCCACGCTGATCAAAGGAGCTGATTGGTAACATCAGGCCCAATCACACAGAGGCAACAACCAGAGAAATCTACTGGCTACTGGTGAAGTTCCAAAGTCCCAGAACACTCCATCAGTGGCAGGTTCCTGAGGATCTTGGCTTCTTTATATCTTCATCTAATCGCTGCAGGGGAATTGCGGAGAAACCGGAGAAAACGGATCACGCTCATGTCAAAACCGACGGGTAGGCGGAAAGATAACAAGTAAGATAAGGGGCGCAGAAAGGTGCATACATACGTTGGTATGCCTGCATCATGGACCAGGGTAAAACATTTGAGTTAGAAATCGGTGCCGTGGTCATTTATCAACTTTGGAAGTTCGATATTGTTGTGCGATAAGGGCACTTGTAGCTATACCTGGAAAAGAACAGCCTTCTCTATGGCCTCATGGTGATGGCATTTAGAAGGAGCTTCGTGGAATTCTTATCGCTATGCTTGCAGTTTTCCTCTTGCGGTGTCGTTGGAAAATGGAACTATCAATTATGTGGCGCATGAGAAGTGTATTATCATGTGCTACAGTAACATGTGATTTTTTGCACCTGACTACGAGTCGTAAAACGAGACTTTGAAATAAAACCATAATAAACCTCTAGCTTTAATTCACTGCTTTGAAAACGGGCTATAATAATTATAAACGTCCAGTTTTAACATCTCGAAAGATATTTTGGCAATTTTTTACATACCTTCGTAAACAAAAAAGAGTCATACATATTTCTCTTGTTGTTATACCACCCTCAAATGACCTAGACAATAAAAAGATTGAATACGTAATTAGAGCTTGTTACTGAAAATCTAACAGAAGGGCATTGCCAATGAGCCTACGTAATTCCATGTTTTTCATCCTCCGCGAGGCACATTAACAGGTGCGAGAAGTTTTTCAACCCTAAAGCTATTATAAGAAGAGGAATTAGAGAACTCAGTTTCGAGTAAATAGACGTAGTATCGAATCGGGAATCTGCCTCTGCCCTACATATAGAGAGTGAGAAAGATTTCTACACCCAATCGGTACAGAGTACCAGCCTAGCCTGGTATTCTTCAGCCTTCCGGCTCCCGCTTATGATCTTTTCCAAATTCCAATACATGACTTTCAGGTGGAATACTTCTATCTTACGTCAGAACCTGACTCTCACGTAATGATAGCTCATAGAAAGCCACGCGAGAAGTCAACGGAAGGAGAAATTCGCATAACTTCTCGTAATACCTTCTTCTCCTGCCGAGAAAAATGCACAACTTCGAAAGGAAAACCTCACGGATTAAAAAGAGCCGCTAACGTAATACGAAAGTTTTGTTCAAACATCCCTTCGTAATTGTGGAACGTTCCAGAATTATCAAGTCCATAAGGCCCTTTGCATAGATTTGGGCCTGGGATGAAATAGAAGTATAGTAAGAAAACTTTGGGTAGAATGTCAGATGTAGTAATTGTTGTACACTGCTTATTCCGTACATGTAACTTTAATGCTTACCTCGACCTCAGGATCTTGGAAATCTCAGGAACTCCGATGTTTCACACCGTCTCCTCATCAGCTCCGTCTCGGATTTAAGACCTTCATTTCCGAGTGGTTCGTAGATGGGTATAAAAAACCTGGGGAAGATGACTAGTGTAGGAAGATGTATGTCCTCACAATAACATAGGGTATGTGATGTTTCTGTAATCGAAAAGCTGGTAAATGGATGCTGGTAGGGCCAAGAGACAAACTCAAAAAACAGAAATCATTATAGCATCATCAACCGAACTCTGCCGTTTGACTATAGACATACCTAAAACCTTATTTATATGGGGCATAGTGTAAGAAACCAACAACGTGGAAGCAGGCCCATAAGCTTCCTTGCCATTACCAAAAGAAGAAGGATTTGTTATTCCCCTCGTTTTCATGACGTAGAGTGCTTCCAGAATAATTTAACTTGCCGAAAACAATTAGGATCGTTTTGTCTTCGTCAGGAAAGGAACCCAGGATTGAAGAAGGTCCAGAACGTAATGCTTGTATTTGTACTTTCTTTTACAAAAACTGCAGATCTGGTATAGATCATTCCACGTGTAGTTGATGCAGGAAACAGTGAAAAATCGGGGGATTTACCCGAGATCATGGCTTGAGTCGTCCCGAACACTGCAGCCTGCGTATTTCGGTATTTCCAAGTATGAGTATTGGATCGAAAATAAATGATACATGGTGCTGCAGAACATTCCTGTGTCGTATCGGCTTTCTGAAAGGATTTCAGAGGCAAATATGTAAGATACAGCAAAAGCCTTTGTAGTAATATTATCGTAAGCGTAGATTGCACTCCATGTGGTTCTGAATCTTGCCAAACAAGAACTTTTTAGTAAAATCAACTCACTTGGGGGTTCTTTCTGATCAGATTGATAAACTGGACATTTTGCTGGACATTTTGGGGGGTTCTTTGATATCATTGGCACTTTGAATCCCCATACACCAAAGATTTATAGCAAATAGGTCCTGCACGTCCCTGATCCACTTGAAAACCCCACTTGACTGTCGAGGAGATATTGGACCCTTGCATATCGTTACCTGCCAAAGTAGGTAGTTTGTAATTGAGCTACTATACAGTTTGTGGAGAATCCGCCCTCGCAGGCCAACCGGGCAGCGGCCCGCCACGGACCGGTAGCTCCAATGGCTGAACCATCTGCTTACGGTCTTCCCCAACTCCTCCGCTGCGAAAGCAAGTTCTTCAACCAGAAACTCGCACACGTCTCACGCATCTACTAATGCCGTGCTGGGTACGGAGATCCGCCAGAGATCAATCCGCTACCACCTCCCGGGCGAGTACTGAGGACAGGGATGTCAATGCCGCCGTCATGTTGCTATCTCGAGGTTGAGGTGCATGTCAAGCCCACTACGAGCTGACTTGAAATCCGCCCGATATTTTTCGGCTCTTTGAATAAATATCTCCTGCCCTGCAATCGCATGTGTTTTTCTGGGTTGTCGGGAAAAGAACTCTACAATAGTAAAGGAATGTAACATTTGTCGCGCTGCTTCGTCAGACTACAGTAAAGAAGACAACGCTATCTTCTTGCACCTCAGACCTACCTGTCATGTCCGAACCGGCTAGTCGGAGCCGCAGTCACTTGCGGAAAGCACCCAAACTAAGAGCTTCGTGTGACGCTTGCAGTTCGGCCAAAGTCCGTTGTACACAAACAAAACCTTCTTGCGCGAGGTGCACTAAACACGATGTACCATGTATCTATGGAATCTCCAGGAGATCTGGGAAAAGGAGTGCAGAGAGTTATCAGGCTATGAGAAGGAATGCTGAGATGGAAATGGCAAACTCACCAGTCAAAGGCGAAAGGGGCGTCTCAGAGTCGAGTTCCAGCTGCCACTTAATTAGCCGCGACACAAAATCTAGCCTAGCGATGAATATGGAATTCAACCCACCCTCAAATATCACCTCTACGGGCCTTCCAACACCACCAATGGCGATGTCCATGGAATTTCTCGACTCTCCTGGACGTCTAGACTTTCCCGAGTCGCCTCGCTCAGAATCCTCGGACTCAGTCCAAGATCAGCATCCATCGTCGCCAGATTCTTGTGCCGACCTTCCAGATTATCTCAAACAACAACTCAAAGACTGGGCATTTGACAATATGTTCATTCCAAACATTCTGTCAGCCCCGGAAATTTCACCAAAATCCTCAGATTGCCAGTCCATGTTTGACCTTGAAAATCCAGGTCTACATATCGATTCGAGCAGTCATGAGTATATATTTCCAGAGGATGATGCGCCCCAGTACTTCAAACCGAGCTCCATATACTCTCAAAGCCCTGTGTCAGAGCCGGATTTTGCTTCCTTCAACACAGGCCGACGCGAGATAGACAACCTAGTGCTTTCCATCGAGAACGACAACGAGAGTTATATCGATCAGCCGCAACCAAAACAGAGCAAAAACGACACTTCAAACTGCAAATCATGTGCTTCTCAATCCAAACACGCCGCCTCGGACTCAAACTCAAACTCAAACTCAAAGCGGTCCTGCCATTGCTATGAGAACATCATCTCCCATCTCTCCCTTAGTCCTAAAGCGCAAAACACAAGTAATTCATACGACATGTCCCTTGCTCAACTTCAAGAGACTCTCAAACTGGGTTCTGACGTTTTGAGTTGCTCATGCAGCAATGTCGATCCCTCAGTTCCAATCTCACTTTCCCTTCTCGCCGCTCGCATTGTTTCCGTACTAGAGCGTCTTTGCCACCGTACCATACAGGATGAATCTATTGCCCCAGAGCAAGATCAAGTCAGTTTTGACGGAAATCGATTTTCTTTGGGAATGTACCAGATCGCCAAAGAGGACGAGAGGCGTTTGAAGGAGGAAATGCTTGGCATTCAGATAAAGAAAGCCGAGTTATTAGTGTTGTGCTGTCGTGAAGTGGTCTCGCGATCGAATTTCAAGGACTTGCAATCAATCGTCTCTGGAAAGCTATTCTCATTTCTTGGAGAACAGGTTGGGGTTGTAAAACGAGAGTGGAATTCAAGGAACGGAGGCTGAAGAAAAAGGATGCATCCAATCATACACACACAATCCCACAATTGTTGAAAGGTCGCTTCTCATCAACCAACGGAAAAGCCACCAGCGTTTGAAGTGCCTGTTGCTCAATGGTACAGGTGAGTGTTGGTGGGCGTTGCGGATTGCAGTGATGAGTCCTGATACCTCCGTCTAGCACAAGTCATTCTGTCAAAAACATCGCTGTAAGTAACCATCTTGCATTAGCGAAGGTGGAACATCTGTGCATATAAGATAGAATTTGCACATACTCAAGAAGGGAAGAAGTTGCGAACATGCTGCGCAAGTGGTGAGAAGGATCAATGCTCTTTGGTTTGCTTAATGCTTCCTAAGGAGGAAATCCAGGATCGGGTGCTTTAAAGCTATAGGTGAATAGCTAGTCCCAATTCGATGCGCTCAGCATAAGTCTAGGATAAAAAAACAAATGAAGCAAAAAGGTTGAAGATTTTGAAAAAGTTCACTCACTTGAGCACTGGTGTCACAGAAGAAAATGTTGAAGCATCGTGAATACGCCCCGTAAATCTTACACGTGTTGAGTCTACGCGCACTGCTGTTTGACGCCAGTAAATTACCAATTACTGCGCACCGAATACGTCAAACTCGGTTGAAATGCCCTGTCCTACAGCAAGACTAAGGGCATTGAAGCGATTGAGATTATCGTGCCCTTTACCTCACCTCTAAGAATACATTGTATGTCTTTGAAAGTTGATTTTGGTGTCGTATGAAACGTGATATTCCTCTGTTCCTCCGCTATGTAGCGCATCTCGTAAATCGTTATCGAGCTCTGATGCAGGTGAGTCAAAGGAGGAAGTCTACGACAGTCGAGCGATGTGGCGATAGTGTCGTTTTATGAGTTATGGACAGCGACAATCGCGCGGCGCGACATCACCCAATTTGGAGTCACGTGTACGGATCATATATCCCGCTGAATAAATATTTAATTGAAGGAATGTATGTTCAAACCCTGCAATTTCAAGGCTACCTATATTTTGGATTTCGAGAATGATTAACCCATATTGTTAGTCGATTCATCATAGGCTCTTCGAACTGTAAACTAATGACGTGGGTACATTTAGGCGAAGGAAAAGGGGCAAGCTTGCTTGGCAATCTAATAACATCAAATGAGAATCAGATTGTTAACTCAAATGTACCAACACAACTAAAGCTTTCACAGAGAGTCATCGGAGGGGATTTCTACTCAATTATTTTACCCCCGGGCAAGTTGGATAAGCACCCCCATGATCGGCATGTTACACATTTTGCCTTAGGGTATCCGAGATTGCTGAAGTTTGTACAGCAATTGATGGCCTCAATTTCAGACATGACTGTCAAAGGAAGGATGTCGGCTTCTTGATGCTCGGATGAGGACCTCAGGGGGCCGAAGAGCTTGACGTCGAATGTTACAGTAAGTCGTAGTGACTGACGAAAGAAGGCAACTGTACCAAATGTTTGACTTTCAAAATTCAAACACACATGAAGCTTTTAGTGGATTCCGAAATGGTGCCACGGAGAGTCACGACATGATTCGAAAATTGACCTTACTGCCAATCAAGTATTGAGTATTGTAGAGGCCAAAGAAGGCCCTGCTAGTAGTGCAACACTCTGGGAAGCTCTTGAAGGACGAAATAAAAAAAGTGGCATGAGCACTTCTATCCCATTCTCGCCAGTGACAGCCAGATATCACGTCTTTTAGATCGCTCCAATTCACAGAAGTAGATTGCTCAGCTTTGCATTGCTTGTGGTAAATATCTCTAGTCTCACGCAACTAGTCTAAACGTGACAAATAACATTTCCAGCCCACTTTTTCCCTTGGTGCTCGTAGTCCTCCCCTTTTCGCTAGTTTGGGATACAGGTGGGGTAGTACGTTACCGGTGTCCGGAAAATCTACTCTCTTGCCGGTACCTATTCTTCTTTTCATGTATGGGTAAAGGATGCTGAAGGGGGCAGATTTTCAGTTAGAGTTGAGATAGATAAATTACACTGCAATTTGGAAACACCTAGCTTAGTATTTCACAAAGTCTCTCGATTTTCTTGACTTAGATTCATCAGTGAACCAAAGTTGATTTAGGACAAACCAATAAGCAAGTGCTTGCCACATCTCATTCTATTTTTCTATTGCAATGCTACTTCGTTTGAAATATGTCCCACTCCTCCCTTTCTCTTAGCAGTCAGATATCAGCCATCAATCTGCAGCGAATTAAAGAACTAATGAACTACTTAAGTAGTGCTATATTTGACTATAGGTGAGTAGTTGACTTGAATACTTAAGTACTACTACTATCCAAGTAATTCTTGGAAAAAAAGCGATTAAAGTACAAAACAATTGTCCTCATGGGATAGATGAAGGGGAACTCGGCTAAACCCGAGCGGTAACCGACTTGAACGGAGTATCGTCAGGGCGCCGGGTGGGCCACGGAGGCTCGGGCCGACTTAGCTCCGTGCTACATTTATGATTTAAGTTGCTTAATTACTTAGCGCTGAGTACTTAGGTAGGGTAGAATAAGTGCAAGTGGCATACTACTCATTTGGTACGCGGCCCTTCAGAGCTCAAATGCAATATGGTAACTTTCTGGCAAGGGAGTGGTTCCAATCATTTCTACTAATTCGCCGGGCGATGTGCATCTTTGTATTTATACATGATGTACGATCACGGAATGTAAAACACCAGGTCATTGCTCCGTACACTTTATCAAAGATTATTGTACCAAACGTGTGGCACATGTAACTTCAATATCTTGGTATACGTAGATATACAGAAAGTATAGTAGTATATATTTCAAACCACTATATAACAATTCAATTCTGCGAGGCTTTCATACTAATATTGTTCCAAGCTAGGTATGTAGATAATAATAACCCCGTCTCTCGAAGCCAATCACAGCAAGCATATGCAAGGACGCACGCATCCAGACTACCATTGAGTCGCGATATGCAATGCAACGAGCCGACGCATCTTAGATTGAGTGACTTCGTTTGTTTGCACGAGGCTGTGGAATACCTCGAGACTTTCCCATCATCATGAAGATGGGACTTTTCAAGTGTACTCACCCAGATGGAGAGACACAGCATATTTACACCCGATTAAGTTGGTGCATGCAAGCGAAACCATGGCCCCGCAGCGACTTATACCCTCTTCAAATGGAATCTGGACAGAAGAATCATCGGAAGCCTTTTACAAATCATTCAAACCCTTACGCCGAAGAGTGGGAGAAAATAACCATCATATTCTTACACTCCCGGTAGATTACCGACGGGATCGGAGGACTACGAATACATTCAAATATACACTGAGCTATGAGGATGAATTGCAGTTGGCAGATCATTTCGCTTTTCTGGCCGCTATCACTGAAAATAATTCCAAAGGTGTATCGGCAGCTGTGCATGAAGAACAACGAGAACCACCTGGTATAATTATCAGGCTTTCCGCCAATGCAACCCCAGGGCCAACTGTTGTTGAAGGGCTATCAGATATCCTGAGCATCGTTCAGGCACTGGTAACCTTACCTCTACGCCTCTCACGAGTTCCTCTGATGTGCTTGAATTATAGGAAAAAATAGGGAGATCTACACAGCAATACTATTTGACAAGATTGTCAAATTTAGCCAGCAGCGCATTTACAGTCGCCTGAAATGTTCGCAGTGGAAACCCGCTGGTGCTACTGTTAATACGGAAAACAAACGATTACATCTGAGGATTTATGAACAGATTTTGAATCACAAGCTTCTCATCTCGACTCGGAGAAATAAAAAGGGCCTTGCGAAACTTCAGAAAGAGCTAATTTCCCTTGCATCTAGTCTCAGCGCTCTGGACGATACTCCAGAAAAGGGTCAGTTTAACAGGCTGAAAGGGATTCTGCGAGAGATGTATCAAGTTTCAAACCATGGGGCCTCAAACTCTCTCGAAAAGCGTCTTGATACTCTTGGAATTTCGGGGGAAATATGTCAGGGTGCAGAGGTTCGACAAATCGACAAGCTCAGTAAATACTGGCTGATATGTCTTGATCTGATTCGAGTTAGCCGGCAGCCGACGACCCGGTTACTCTTCAAAAACTCCAAACTTGAGAAAGTGGAAGCTCCTAACTCGCGAAGACCGGCCGGATCTGCAGTCGATTGTCAAGTGCACTGCGAGGTTCAACTGGTGCTGTTCTACGAGTTCCATGAAGTGGATTTGACACCCAGAGCAATCGGATGTAGCAAATCAGCTTGCTTCCTCTGTGATCTCTTTTTAGGGCTCCATGGAAAGTTCGGTGTCTCACACTCTCACATGAGATTCTATCAAAAATGGATGATTCCAGAGCCAGAGGAGTGTGATTCGAGGTGGGGAAATCCTAAGCAGGGAAAGTTCTTCAGGGGCATTGTGAAAAGTATGACCGATGAACTCAAGAGGCTTGAGAAAAGAAAGGTTTACCCCAATCCATGGGCGGAGAGTAAAGCAAATGTTTGGTAAGTGAGAGAGCAGTCCAGTCTCGCTTCATCTGTTCTGAGTGTTATCGTCGAGGAAGCGACTCCTTTGACACCCCCGATCGGCCTCGAACGAAGAAGCAGTTCGTCCTCGTCAAGCACTATTCGTGCGAGCAATCAACATGGAGAAGACACGAGAACAGAGATGAACCCCCCTGCCGAAGCAAAAAGCCAATCACGAAACTCTCTTATTCAAAAGCCCATCAATGTTGCCAATCAAATTGAAGAGGTAAAGCCGGAATTTGATCAGCGGAATACCTCGCCAAGAATCTTAACACCACCCCAAACATGTAAACCGTTGTCCCCTAGTATCCCCTGTCAACAGCATGATGGCCCTTCAGAACCAGGACTTGAGGAAATGAACCAATCATTATCAGTATCGATGGGAACTGCTGCGGCGCATGACTTATCCATTGGTAGCAACCTGGATGAGAAAGATGGTTGTTATATTGACCCTAGAGAGACAACTCGGCCCTTAATATCCGTAACACCAGCAGTCAAGTCGCCACTTCATGATAACGAGATTGTCGAAAGGGACGAGGGGGAAGAACGCTCGGGATCATCATCTGAAGAAATGGTATACTCAATAAGCACCATATCATCGGCTCAAGATTCTCTCACACAACCGCCAATTCTTGCCAACGAGCATGTCGAAGAAGAAGCAAACGGCAATCAAAACAGTGAATCGGAAGAAATGGACCCTCCAAGAGCTACCTTAACAAACCAAATCCAGCCGATACGAGAATCTAGTCTAGTTACAAACCAGGACAAGATTCCCTTCCCAGCGCTGAACAAAATCCCTCCATCTCAACTGTGGCAACAACTCAATACTGCTAAGCAACAACAAAAGCATAAAAAAGAGCGCCATACAGCATCCCAACCCTCAACCCCACCCATCGAACCTTCTGATCACCCGACTCAAAATAGTAGCCGAAACAAAATGAACGTTGAAATTCCCAAAAGATTGCAAAACCAAAATTCAAGATCCCCATCCTTACTCCATCCTTTTCCGAAAGCAGAAGAAATAAAGCCCAAGGAGGAGGAACCGAAACGAAAACCCTCACACCAAAAATCAACACACAACTCAATCTCACCCCACCAAACCACCAACCAAAAGATCCTACCTCGAAACCCACCACAAACCTCCTCTCAAATTTTCACACACACCTCCCTCCCCCTCTCATTCCCCATCCTCCCCTCCACAAACACCTTCACCCTCCTCCTTACACCCCTTCACGAACCAAACATCGAGTACCTCTTCGACCTCACAACGATCTCATACGGAACAATCGAGATTTCCGCCTCCAAAGTAAAGAAGACGCGGAGATGTGTATACGTGAACCAGATGGGGACGGAAGAAGAAGTATTCCTGCGTCCTGATGGGGATGAAAGGGTGTTGGAATGGGGGATTTCTTTTGGGAGGAGAGATTGCATGAGTTTGAAGGTTGTTATCACATGGAGTGATGGCGGAGAGGGTGTGTTAGGGTGAGGCGAGGTGAGTGGAAATGTGAAGAAAGTGTGTTTAACTAGCTACTAGAAAGATTGATATGCCAAAAGAAACAAAGGGACATATCCAACCCACCAAAGCCACAAATATCCCTCCCTCAATCCCAACCTCACCCATCCCCACACCCTCCCTCCCAAAAAGCTCCCCAAGACCCACAAAAAACAAGCGAGCCCCATTCCAAGCCCGGGCAATTTAACCTACCTATGACTCTTACCCTACGAGTAAATCAAGAACTTGGCAAAAAAACCACACCCACATCCATACCCCTCCATATGAACCCAGAACAATAGAATCCCTCTCTCCATTAAGTCACTAAAAAGTTTCAAAAAAAAGTCCATAAAAGATGGATTTTTGTAGCACTGCTCGGTTTCGATCCGAGGACCTCCGGGTTATGAGCCCGGCGCGCTTCCGCTGCGCCACAGTGCTTGTTTTCCTTCTGTGAATTTTGTGGAAAAAGCCCCTTATCTGTGATTTTATTCCGGGTCGGGCTAAGGGAGGAGGATAAAGAGGTGGAATTGGGGATATGTGACGGGTGTGTGGATGGGTCATGTGATTTGTGAGTCATATCAACGTTTCGGGTAACTTTGATTTCTTCAGGGTTAATTTATAAGAGGTTAGATAAAGTAACATGCTAACTTGGAAGACTTGTCTTTTCTTATCTACCAAGAGCTCACATAAAAATAAAAAACCCCCTTCTAAATAGAGAAATCATTAGTCCTTCCCGGCCTAGGACAAAAAAGTATAGACTTATCTTCTCCTATCTACTAAGACCTCCTCTCCTCCTTATATAAATTCCCCTTCCACCTTCCCCTAATTCCCCCCCCCCAAAAAAGGTGCAAAAACATACAACAGTAGGTATTCGCTGGTGGTCACCCACCCAACTACTAATCTGCCGATCTGAGGCTTGTGTATGGCAGAGCGGACGGGATGCCCAATTCTCCTCAGTCTATGGTCGTATGTGGTAGTTTCATTTCCAATCATTATCAGTTCAGTTTGTCTTCACTTCGCTTCTTGTTACTATTGTTTATTTTTATTACCTTTCGTTATCTTATGAGAAGAAAGACGTAGGACCGTAAGCTCTACCTAATCAAGAGTATCCAGTAACATTACACTTCCTATAACCAAACCCTGCCAGTCTAGACGAGGGCACATCTGCACCTCTAAATAAACAAATCCAAACAAATCCACTCATCCACACACATCATTCACTCAATTAAAAAGCAGAAAGCATCAACAATTTTCAATCCAAAAAGGATTCGAATTTTTGGTCTTTGAATTTTTTCTAATTTTTGTCTCGCTGTATTGGATTGATCGATCAATGATGAGAAACAACCGGCTCAATGCTCAATGATAAATCCACCAAACCACGAGCCGCGTGGAGTCAGTCTCCTCATAAAAATGAAAAGAGAGAGGGAAGAGCCTTGCAATCGCCTACCCATCCATATCCATAGATGAAGCTCTTACACTTTCCCCCCTTCCCTCCCAGCCATTGCATGCCCATCATTTGTCCAAATGCAATCCAAGTAAAAGTATCAAACGCCAAACCTATACACTTTTAATAACCATCCGCCAACCCAGCCAAACCAACTGAAAGCTAAAAGGTTACCAACAGCCCCCAAATTAACCCTCGCGTTCCAACGCAGTCAATTCAGCTTGGACCGAGTTCTTGGTTCCGATCTTCTTCAACTGTGTGTCCTCCAACTTCTCTCCACCTGCCAGTCTCATCTCCAAATCCTCAATAGCGCGGATCTTCTTTTGCAATCCTCGCAATTTCTTGGCATTGGGACTTCCACCGTTAGGTGAGATCAGGGCTACTTCTGGCGCAACATCCAAATGACGCTGGGCAGAATTGATGGCCAAGTTGTTCATCTGATTCAAAGGAACACCCCCATGTCCATTGTTTCCGTTCTGGTTGTTGAAGTTCTGGCGATTGTTTTGTTGCTGGTATTGGTTTTGACCTTGGTGTTGAGGCTGTCCTTGGTATCCGCCTTGACCTTGATATTGACCTTGATTTTGGTATTGGCCTTGATGTTGATAACCTTGACCACCTTGGTTGTAATTTTGATTTTGATATTGCTGCATGTTTGGTTGTTGGCCTCGTTGAGTGTTGCTGCGATATCTTTGCTGGGATGAGTTGCGGACATCTTGCGTTCCCTTTGAACGACTGCGCTGATGCTGATTCTCTCGACGCTCTCGTCGCTCAGGACTACGACGGTCAGCATTTTGGGGTTGGGCAGCTCCACCTTGAGCGACTGGCTCCAATCCAGCTGCCTTTGCCTCTGCTTCCTTCGCCTTCTTCGCTTCACGTTTCTTTTTGTTTTTCAAAGCGGCCTTGGAAAGATTCTCATCTCCTTCAGCAGCTCCTGCGGGAGGAGTCGCAGGCTCAGCTCCAGGTGGTAGATTGTTCACTGCCTCAGCTCCGGGGACAAGTCTTCGTGGTCGGGCTCCGAAGCCGTTGGAGTTTACCAAAGAAGTTCCATTGCTGACAATATGAGCGGCGCCTCCTTCGTCCTCACGCTTGAAGTGGAGAGGGGTCATAGTTCCACGGGCTCCTGGCGGTCGGTATGCGCCTGCAGGCTTTGAAGGTGTCTTAACGGTACCCAAATAGGCCAAAGCAGACGAGTGAGGCTTCGGAACTGGGGTTAAAGGATCACCAGGGGCAATCTGGTCCGCAGCTTGTGGCTTCCAAGTAGTATAATACAATTCCACCATATCCTGGTTGTACATGATACCCCCTCCAACATGCCAGAGACGAACTCCGTTGTCAACACGGAGACGTGGGCTAGTAGTGGCAGTAAGAATGTATCTGCTATCCGGACTCCATTCACAAACACTGGGATTTCCCCCCTCAATTGTACAAATCTTCTTATAATCCTTTTCAAGATCATATATATCCATTTGACCCGCAAGATTTCCAAATCCAGCTACCAAAACGAATCGACCAGTTGGGGAAAATAAAATTGTGTTTCTTGGACCGAGTGGGAAGGTGTGTGTAGCAATAGCTCTTTGGTTGAAAATGGTTGTCTTGGCTGGCATGTATCCGTATATGACACCAAACTCCTTCGAATTCGGGGACCAGGATACATCATGAATTGGGCCTTCCTTGTCAAGGGTTATTCTTGAATCGAATCCACCATTTGCGCTCAGCACGTATAGCGTAGTCTCTCCATAATAACTCTTGCCTGTCTTGTCGACCTCAGTTTGTGCGAGACAAATCAATGTTGTGCCTAGGTTGTTCCATTTCAATTGGACCTTGTCGCCTTTGAAAAAGGTTTTCTGCGAAACAGGGCTATTGAATTGAGGCACATTGAATATCTTAACTGCGGCTGGTTGACCCTAAGAGAACTGATTAGTGGTTATTGATGGAAACAAGAAAAGAAGACTGACCTTTCGCTCTGGAATGAAAGCCGCTACGGCATGGTTATTGCCCGGAGAAATTGCAAAATCTGCAACCCCCTCAGCCCGAAGCTTGTTCCAGACAGTTCCCAAATCACCACTCTCGTAGAATTGTACCTCGTTGGTCACTGATCTGGCACAGTATTTCTCATCAAAAGTATATTGCAGGTTCCAACCCGTCTGTGATTTCTGCACAAATCGACCAATGACAGCCTTCTCCCCGCCTTGTGGAACGTCCTCTACTGTGAGCCAGACCTTGAGATTCTTCACAGCGTCCCCATTTTCGTCTTTGGAAGGGCGTTCCCATGTAATGATGTATGAGCCTCTTGGAGAGAAACCTAATTCGTAGACGTTAGGAGTGGGTAAGGTGGTGATGACGTGTCCGCCTGATGCATCAACGACAGTAACACCCTCATTGGAAGCCCAAGCAAAATAACGTCCACAGGGAGAATATGTGCAGCAACGTGAGTTCCCTTCCGGTTTCTGAAACCCAGGCAAAGGTTCATAGACGGGCGCAGCATCCACGATGCCAATCTCCTTCAATGTTCGGTATGCAAACTGCGTAGGGCCAGCCATGACTACTGAAAGTCACAGAAGGGATTGCTTGAAAGGCAGATTTGTATGGGGTGGTGGTCGCTCAAGGTATCTTCTGTTGGTATCGCTGTCAGTCGGTCGTGTAGAGAGGGCGGACGACGAGGCGATGCGGGGTGAGGGCGAGCTTCTTTGTGCAAGTTGTTGGTGAGGTTGTTGTCTGTTTGGAAGCGGTGACTATGGGAAGCGTTCCGTAAGTTTGAGTTCGCGGAATTCAGACCAGATTTCAGACGATGAATTCCGTGATTGTAATTGATAAAGTAGAGGCAGAGGACAACTGTGACACAAGAGAGAACTCTGAAGAGCAAGATTGACTGCACCAGGGGCGAGGGGGGATTGACAGGTGAGATGCGTGGAGGAGAAAAAGAAGAGAGCAGATGCGAAGCCTGTTGATGTTTTTTTGTGTTCCGTCGGCCCACGCTACCGCCGCTTTTCCAGGTTTAGGCGAGTCGGTCGTAGCAACAGGGGAGAGGAGTGGGACACTAGAAAGCCTGTGCTGTGGACGACGCAATCGCAATTTCAGGGGCCAAAGAGGGGCAGATAGTGATTGTGAGTCTGGAGTCAGTGAAAGCAAATACACCACCACATCACCATTAACTTTTAGGGTTAAACATTCACTATCAACCTTTCACCACCCACCTTCATCTATCTGTTAATCTGTCCTTCTTTGACCCTCTGCACCGCTCTTTGTCAGCTGAATACCCCCTAATACTCCATCTGACAACTGACATCGCACATGGCTAGGCTGAGCCTATCCCCAGAAAGAGATCCAGCGCCTCATTTCTCAAAAAGCTGTAAGGCTGACTTTCTGGGGTGCAAAACTGGCTGACTGTGGGTGTGGGTTGGGGGCTGTTTCAACACACGTGATGTCTACAATAGATCTGTTTCTGTGGATGCGATACCGTTGTTGTTTTAAGCTTAATTCCTTTTCTTTCTACTCGGCCTGGGATTTGGTCAGGGTTTGAATGTCCGAATGTCCTTGGTACCAGAATGCGAGAGCTTGAGAGCTTCGAGTCAGGAAGTGTTTGGCGTATGACTCCACTCTTCTTGTATCTAACCCTCCGTCGAACTCGCAAGCAATTCAAAGACAAGCAGGCCTCGCTCCGATAGGTTGGAAACTAGGTTAGGAAGGTACCAAGTGGTTTGCCTTCAGTATTGCCAAGTACTGCTGAAAGGGGCTTCCTCGCTATCGTAGCACCTATACAAAGAATGTCATATAGACACTTCGTACGATCTCACTCCCAAACTCCTACTCCTGCAGAAACTTCCAGATTAAAAAAGATATATAATAATAGTCTATATGGGGTATTGATAGTATAGCGAAAACAATATGCAAAAAAAACGGTTACTTTTCCTCATTAATCGTTCAATCATGCTTTTTCGGTTATCCCAGCCTCATTGGCCTTATGATCCGACGACCTCCCCATCTCATCCTTCTCAAGATCGAGAACGGCATCGCGTCTAGCGGCTTCCAATCTCTCTACATGTCTCCTTGCCCTTGCAGCTCTCTTCTGACTCTTCTCCTGATCCTCTCTCATCTGCCTGATCAATGGACTTTTCGCCCGAATCCGATCTCCCCATTTGTAAAACACAAAAGGAATTGGGATCAGGGCAACCTGCACAAGGCCCAAAATCGTTCCCGCCCAATTTGGTGAAAGTGCGCTGTACATCGATGGTCCTGCGAGAGGCAGAGTGCCACCAACCATTGATCGCACGACGGCATTTCCAGCGAGTGCGGAAGCAGAGTAGATGCCGTACGAACCGGCCAGATAGTTGGAGGCATAGATAAAGACAAGGCAATTTCCAGCACCGAAGGGGACCCCGGCGAGAATGGGCCAAATCCAGTGGATGGTCACAGGCGTAGCTGTCCATGAAAACCAGAGTTGTCCAATGGGGCACAAAAAAGAGGCAAAGCAAATAATGCAGACAGAGGCTTCAGGGAACACCCGCCCGGTTTCTGGATCTTTCTTGTGCGAGTTGACGATTTTCCGAGCGAGTGGTTCAGTGACGATCGCCAACATTGTTCCAACACCGATCCCGACAAATGCAAGTCCTGTGAACCCTGCTGACCATCCACGAAGGTCGGTATAAATAATGGGGTATGCCACAAAGCATAAATACAAGATTCCGTAAATGACCTAGACATTTAGTTAGGATCTCTGGTTCGACCACTCTCTAAAAAGTAGTGTTGATATTGTCCGAGATACATACTGCAATGTAACCGTTCCAGAACCATAGGATTGGCTCCGTGAAAGACAAAACGAATGGCCGTGAAAGGTTTACTTTCAAAATCTGTATTACTGAACCAAACCGTTAGCCTTCGAATTTCCGAAAAGGACGAAAACACTTACAACTCATATTGTTATCGTATCTACACCACCATCTGTCATCGCCAGTTTCGTTTCTCCTTCGAGCGGCCTTTTTCTTCAAGAGAACTGGAGCATAAGTCTCCTTGATGAAAGAGCACATGATGAATCCAGCACCAGCAAAGATCAAAACAAGCCAATTTGTCCATCTCCATCCAAGGTACTGAGCAGCAAATCCACCAACTACTTTGGTTAGCCACTTTCTCAGCTGGGGAAATTCTCAAACCTACTGATTGGACCAGTCACGGGGCCGTTCATCGGACCTATACTCCAAATACTGAACGCAAGAGCTCGATAGTGTTCATCTACGATATCTGCAACTGTTCCTGGTGAATTCGAAATCATGGCCGCGCCCGCACAAGCTCTATTTCACAAGATCAGATTAGATCAAAACGCCCGAAATCAGACAAGCGAACATACCCAAAAAATCGAACAATCAAGATTTCCGGCAACGAAGTTGCCAAAGCACTGGGCAACACCATAGCAGCGAAGAACAACAGACTCCCAATGTACACCGGTCTTCGCCCATACATCTCGCTCAATGGTGCCAATACCAAACTTCCCACAGCTAGCCCTATCAGGTAAAAAGTCACGCCAAGAGTGGCAATTGCTTCACTCTCTTCTCCAAATTCTTCCATCATCCCAGGCATGGAACTAGTATAGCTCGTCGAATATAAGACCACGACCCAGGTTGAGAAACTCACGGCGAACATCGTGAGCCCCTTATACCATGTGGGCCATGTTCGGGGATCGTCTGCGTCATTTCCCGTGAAATCGACCTCAAACGAGGGTAATCGCGAGCCAGTTGTTGCAAAAGATGTAGCTGTCTGAGTATGTGTCAAGTCTCTGTTGCCCATTTGCTCAGCCTCCGTTAAAACACTGGGCGTCATCGCTCGCTCCAGAGGCGATAATGCGTCTGAATCTCCCGAATCATGAGAGCTTCGTAGTGATTCTGATGTTTTTTCTTCCTCGTCAATTCGGTCTTTTCCAGCCGAATTCAACGTAGGCGCGATAGAAGTAGACGTGGAAGTGGTATTTGGAGGGAAACTCCGCCCGGGTTCTTCCATGCTCAATGCTCTCATTCACAGTGAGTGTAATTCAAGACCGTCGTTCGCATCAGAAATGAGATGGCAAAATTGTGGATTGAGCTAGCAATCTAAATACGTAGCTCAGAAAACAAAACTAAGGAGTTGGTGGAGAATAACCAAAATGGCACGATATCAAAATAACAACAGTGAAAGTGGGAACCGGCAACGGAAAATAGGGCAGAAGAGGTACTTATTGAAAGCGGAGGAAACATGCGGCCCAAGGATCTAATATTCGGCGTTAGTGGGGATACAGGGCGTTATGGGAAGAAGCTGATGGCGTTGATTGGAAATAACCGTTGCATGTCCCCTTGATCGTGAGCCCGGTCATGAGCTTCTACTGCGAGCCTAGCTGCTGCTTCTCGCGGTGGTTATTCCGCACGAGGATCGCGGTTGGAGAGGTGGTGGGAGGTGGGTTAGTTATGTGGGCCCTGTAATCCCCCTTCCGTCCTCTCAAGGCCTGCAACTGCAATCTGCAGAGTGCAATCATTCTCACCTCAATTTTGACTCAATTTTGCGTGGTTGGACCGAGTCGAGTGAGGATACCGAGGACGGGTATCGTGGATTTCATGAGGCTATCCCCACTTTTGAAATTGGTCATGTACGGAGTACAGCACAGTACTCAAGTATAGCAATTCATTTCTGGGATTGCATATCGCTTCACCAAGTCACTCGTCCCACCATCCACCGCATCGGAACATTTTCCGCAAGAGAATCACGGAGAAAACCTTCGTCGGGAGAGGCGACGAGCAGAAATCAATCGTCTTGACTCTTGCCGGGCTGTTTGCGGGGTCGTTTACTTGTAAAGATGGAAGCGGTGTACCACAACCTCAACGTCACCCGTCACCCACGCCTTTCAGAATCGCACTTGACAGCTGCATTATTGCCATTTTGGTGCATTAGTTCATCCCAAGTAAGCAATATCTGACGCTCCGTCGCGATGCCGATTATCCGTTCTGGTGCAGGTCTCAGGGCTTGCGGTTGTTATTACCCATTCGGGAGTAGAGAGATCGGTTGATGTGGCAGTGTGCCGTGTTTACTGAAGATCGCTGCGTCAGATCACTAGATTAGGCCAGGTGGGCTTCGAGGTAGGAAGTTCCTCCATATTGCGGTACTCGAGTACCGCAGAAGGTGATGGCAGCGGTTTTTGTTTATTCCCGAGGCAAGTAGTCGAAGTTAGGTATGTTTCTGTAGTGCATACGGAGGTAACTTGGGTTGTAGTGAATTAGTGGGTACGGACTATCGAGAAGTGTCGGGTGTGCTGGCTCAGGAAAGGCCGCGGCCGTGCCTGAAAGGGGTTGGCGTAAAAAGCTTAAAGTTTTAGAAGACGCGCTTCGAACCGCGTCGCGCTTATTTCAGACGCGAAGAGCCGTGAGAGCTTCCCGTTGCAATGCAACTTCAACGCTGTCAACACGACCTCCTCTCTTCTCCAGATCGAGAAAGCCTAGTGTTGTGCTGTTTCAAACCATCTTCACGCCTCCAGAATGACGGGCGGTCTTGCAAAGCCTAGGGTCGCCAAAACCCCTAGGACAACAGCGCTGAGGTGACCTATCCCAAGCATCACTGGAAAACAAACGCCTAACCATATGACAGTTACGAGTTACCCCACCGCATACACACAGCGAGGGTCTACCCCGTCAAATCCTCAAATGGGTCAACTATTATCTTATACGGACATGAACATGGCGTGCGTGTTGTTTGGAGAGGTGGCAGGCCGTTCAAGCAAACTCCACCACCATCAACACAGCCACCAAAGACGAATGGGGATACGGCGATGATATCACTTGATTCTGATGACGAGGATGAGAAGTTCGAAGACAAGCCCGAATTTGAGGACGAAGAAGACGAGCTGGATCCTCTCAACCCATACCCCAACATAATACAATCACTGGACTTACATTTCGGGATCGACGTGCTCCAGCTCGCCATCCTACCAAAATTCACTTTGACTGCCGAAGGATCCAAGTCTCGTGGCATCGAACCTTTGAAGAAGAAGATTGTCTTTACTGCGGCTTGCGCCGATAATTCGCTCAAATTTGTTACTCTTCCACTTACACCGCCCTCTCCATTGAGCAAGAACCGTGAAGAGTTTCGAAAGTGTCCGGCAGACGCATATGCAGGCAAAGGGAATTGGGGAGAAACAATTACGAATTTGACGAGCCACGAGAAGCCATCGGATGGTGTTTCTATGACGGTTGACTTGAATAGTGCTAATACGAGCCAAACAAAATCGGCAGCCCAAATCATTATTGCTTCGAGCTCTGGCGAACTAACAGGATTACTAAGATTCTATAGAGTATCGATCAAGGCTCCGCAGAATAGCGCGGATCCATTCCAGAAGATCAACCTTGCAGCTATTGCTAAATCGATATCGTTTAACCCGTCTCTATCTGGTCAACGTGCCAACCAGCTACTTGTAGCAGATAAAAAGGGCGCATGTCGCATTTATGATTACAAGGAATTGATTACCACCCCTGATGTTGGCGCGGGAGGGGCTGTTCTAGAACACGGTACTTGGCTCACGTCACTCTACACACAATTCCAAAACCTAAAGTCCGAGTCGACCATACCACAAACCAACGGTCCTCATACAGGGTTTGGGAGAAAGAGTATACTTGACGCACAGTGGGTGTCTGCGGGCAAATCAATCATTGTACTTCTTGCCGACGGGGAATGGGGTGTCTGGGATATTGAAGGGACCGGTGCTGCCCAAAGCGAGTCAAGGATTTTACTGACCAAAGGTGTCAAGACTGGCTCACAATCGGAGTTCACTTTCTCGGGGTATATTGATGTGGGACTCAAAACTCGACAGCCAAAGCCGGCACAAACTACATCCAAATTTGCTCCCATGACTCCATCGACGCGGAAATCCGTCGACATATTTACGAGCAAACCATCAAATGGTACCATTCGAGGTCAAATATCAGTATTTGATTATCCATCGTCTTCTCCGACACATCCACCAGAGCAATCCATTGTATTCTGGCTCGGCGAAACTTATACTCAGATCTCAAGTCTTGCGAGATACTGGGCAACCAATAAGGATCCTTCAAAAAATTCCGGCAGCATCTTCAACTGTTCCTCGACTTCAAGAATGGTACGACTTGAGGGCGTCGATTTGAAAGAGGAAAGATGTTCTGGGATTGAGCAAATACCCAATAGCTCGTCCACCGATTCACCAAGCGATTTGGTGGTGTTGGGAGAAAGCCGACTTGCGATTGTGATAAGCGCAAAGCAAAGCAGCAAAGATGCAAAAGTGCTGGCCACCGCGGGTAGACTAGCAATGGCTGAAAGGGCGTCCGCCAATATCGGGCCTCTAGATGTTGTCGGTATAGATCAGGCACTTGCACGGATGGAAAATGGAAACTCGTCGGCGAGAGTGAAACTGTTTTAGGGAATGGGAGCGGCGGAGGACGCATCTAATGATTTTATGTAGGAATATTCGACAGTTGGTCTGTTGTGAAGATACCCGAGAACTAGGCGAATAAGACGATGTTGTTGTGGTCTCGTCTGACTATGTGTTTGAAGTTTCGTCGTTTTTATGGTATCCTTTTCTACTTTCCGTTACATGTATTTTCTACTACCTTTTCTCCCCAATCCCCCAATATTAAGATCCCCGCAAGGCCAGGTGGAGTACAAGGCGAGACCAATCCTTGATAACTCTGTATTCCATGCGGGAGAAAAAACTCCCATCTTCTTTTCGTCCTTCCGGGGTTGCAAAAGAAGATAAAGGGGAGCCCCGTGTTTGATTACTTGAGAAGGCTGGATGCACCTATTTCGAATGATTTGTGGAGGCTACTTTTCTTGTATATCGCGCGGGGACGGGATTTCTACTACTGCTTCGTGCTTTTCTTTCTCTTTTCTAAGGAAGAGAGAAGGGGTTTCGGAGTGGGTTATAAATTCTACGTACATATTTTTTGATGGACGGTGATTAGAGGAGGTATTGGAGAATTAGGGAGGGATGGAATGGCATGAAAGGGGTTTTTTATCTTGAGACTTTGGGTGAGTCTGTATTTCTCTGTATTGTGGTCTTTTGTTGTGCTCGTCACTCGCCTTTACGCAGCATGAGGGGATAAACCCCCAATCTTCGAAATGTCTTGGCATGAGGGAAGGGTTATTGCCAAGTCCTGCAGGTGGTTAGAGGGCATGCAGGTTGTCGAGAGAAAAGAAGCTTCTAAAGCGAACCACCTTCCATGAATGGAAAGGTAGGGTATCAACGACTACAGCGATCGACTTGCCGATCCTATCAGAACGATACTGATATGCGATATGATGCGATATTGCCACAAGATGTTGTATAGCTGGTATATCTTATATCTCTAGGAAGTATTTGCATTCTCAAGGTGTGTATAAAATTCTTCCATTGCGTAATCTTCTCAAATCCTTTTACCCTCTCTCATGTCAAATTGAAAGGCCTCCTGCAGCCTTCAGACAAGCCTCACTTGTTCTTTGCAAATTGCAAAGGCTACTTCCATTGAGTACATATCTATACGTGCCATGTCTCCTACCACTCTCAAGTCACTTCTTACTCTCGCTCTCACCGCGATAGCCTTCCCCTCGGTCTCACAGGCGCAAACCGCTGGACCAGAAAATGGCACCCTCGTGATTGTCGGGGGCGGAACCATCGCCGACTCAATCTTCGAGCGCATCATTGAGTTCGCTGGCGGTCCTGACTCCCCCATTGTCACGATCCCAACCGCAGACGGTGGCCCAGAATACGACCAGAATGCCGCATCAGCAGCGATCTTCCGTCGTCTCGGGGCTACCAACGTGACAGTCCTCCATACCTACGATCCCAAAGTAGCAGACACAGATGAATTCATCGCGCCTCTGCTCGAAGCACGCGGTGTCTGGTTCGGCGGCGGCAGACAATGGCGTCTCGTAGACGCCTACGCAGGGACCAAGACTGAAGCCGCCTTCCACGACGTCCTTGCTCGAGGGGGTGTCGTGGGGGGTTCCTCCGCGGGCGCCAGTATCATAGGAAGTTTCCTGGCTCGCGGCGATACTCAGACGAACGAGGTTATCATCGGTGACCACATCGTCGGCTTTGGATTCTTACAGAATGCCGCGATCGATCAGCATGTCCTGGTGCGCAACCGCATGTTCGATATGGCTGATGTGCTGAAGTTGAGACCCGAGTTGTGGGGTGTTGCGTGTGATGAGGGGACGGCGTTCATTGTGGCGAATAGGACGGATGCGGTGCTTGATGGGAGGTCATATTGTGTTATTCATGATGGGGGCTTTTGGTCCCGGGAGGAGGGGAGTGCAGGGCCGGTGGACCCGGATCCGACGGAGGTTTTTTATTTGGTGAGGGCGGGGGATAGGTATGATCTTGCTACGAGGAAGGTTGTGGAGTAGGTGTGGGAGGAGTTTGGAAATTTCTGGTATCTGTTGGCTATCGATGAGTTGAGAGCGAGGTGACGGCGGGCTTGGTGGTAATGGTAGGTATTAGTTCATATCGCTAGCTTATCATAAACTAAGGTTTTAAGTACTTGTGATTACCTTGTGTTTTGGGGAGTATCTTCTCACATCAGTGTGGTCGCTTTATTACTCGTGGGGTTTAAAGAATGTATATGCTCAAATCTTAGTTTCTTGAAGGACGTTTTGAGTGCTAAAGAGATAGTGCCCTCGTCCTCTTCACAGCAAGCGTTTATTGCAACTTACATCCTCCCAAACCTCAGCTCCACAATTCCAGAGTAGAAAAATTCATCACAACTACTTCTAATATCCCTACTTGGCCGCAAAAGAGCTTTCATACCTGCGGTATGTCGTTGAGTGAGAGTAGTAATATCATATGCGTGGAAATGTATCTTCAGAAGATCTTACAGTCCGAGGACTTATAGGAACTTAAATTCGATTTTCTTATTTTGAAGGTCGCGTTCTTCTGGTCTCGGTATAAGGGAAAGGAGGGGATATGTATTATATGGGTGAGGAATTCTTAGGAAGTTAGTATTAGGCTATAATAAAATAGACAGCGTATTAAATAGATAGAGTAAAGTAGAGTAGAGGTACCGACTTAATACTACTTAATTAGGTTTTAGCCCTACTCTAACCTACTCGCCAAGAATTATGTAGGTTAGAGTACTAATTAAGTAGAGTTGTGCTAGTCGGTCCGAGGCCTTGTAGCGCACCTAGGGTAAGAAATTTAGACATTACTCTATATACGCTATTAAAAGTTGTTATCCTAAAGGTCTAGTACAACTCAATTAATTGTCCTATTTTACCTCGGTTAGTAAGGAGTGAAAAGTATCTGCTATTCTAACTAATACGTATAATTAATTTAGTTATATAAGGTCTTTAGGATAATATTTCTATAACTTAGGTGTATCCAGAGTAATGCCCGCCTCTCTTACTCCGACTACTTAGTATACCCACTTCGGCTTAGTCGAGTACGTATTCTCTTAACCTAATAGAGGGTAAACAGCGTAAGATATACTATTTCACTAATTTTAGCGAGGAAATATTTATAAATACCTACGATAAGTACCCTAGCGAGTAGCTCTTTATCTGAAGGGCTACATTTCTAATAACACGTACTTATTATTTTATACTTTAGTTACTATTATATAACTACTTTAGTATGCTTAAATAATGAAATCTACTACTCTAACCTACTTAACCAGACTATATACTTAAACCTGCTCTATCCTAATTAAGTATAACCCTTGTATACTTGATTAGTTGAGTATTTCTTTCTTACGCTGGAAACAGATGGGATGATAAGAGATGAATTAAGTGAGAGTAACTGGTATATATATTGTCTAGAGTGTCCTTGGGGTAGGTAGGAGTGGGAGGCGGTAAGCTTTGCTAGTGAGAGATGCATTTTCTATTCTAACTTCTAAGGTTGTTGAAACGATTTGCTCGTATCTACTTAGGAGATGACTTGTGTTGAGTTGAATAGCGACTTATCTGAGTCACAATAGAGGTTAGCTTCTCTCGGACTCGGATAACTGGTACTAAATGCCGTTTCGAAGTATTCTAATAAGGAAGAGAGCAAACAAATGTACTCGTCTTGTAAAAGGATGAAAGAAAGCAATGTTTTTTCTTTTTTTCTTTGTTTAGATAATCAAACCTTATTTATATTCTAAGCTGTGGAATTCTCTTCGCACTCGCAGTTAAGTTCAAAAGCCCTTCTGGGTTTTGTTCTAGCACGAACGGCTTCGCAGAAACCTGTCATTGGGTTGATTATACAGTTATTAACTTTGTAGCGGGTATAAGCTTTACCGCAACTGCTACAGAAAGTTATATGGCAGATACACATGATATCAGAATAGTACTTCGTTGCGAGTTAATCTTATCTCTGTAGAGGATATTCTCTCCCTTGTTATAGAGTCTATTTTTTGTTGTTTAGTAATTTACTAAACAATAATATATATATCTCTCTTTTTATACTTTAGATATTTATAAATAGTAGCTCTATAATTAGACATTCCTTTTAATATACTCTTTAGAAGTTAGATAGTAGTTTTTATTTTATTCTTTGTTAATCGGGGGTTCGACCTAGAAAGTCCATACACTAAGGCCGAAAAGATAAAAGAATAGATTTCTCTTTCTTAATATATTCTTACTTTCTAGATTCTCCTCTTATACTGTAATAATATTAGATAAACGAAACCTGTGGAGTTAATAAATTAATATAGTAATCTCTTCTAGTTAGCCTATACTCTCTTTAAGGCGTCCCTAAATCTCTAGAGAGAAGAAAATAGAAAATTAAGTAGAAAATAATATTACCTCTAAAATCACGTTTAGGGCCTGTTTGGCTCGCCCAATTTAGAGATTTACACCATATAAAAAGATATGCATGCAAATCTAATTTGCATGCAATTCAGGACATGCGCGCTTGTTTAGATAGCCGTAAAAGTATCTTTTGTACTAATCATAAATTCGTCACAAATCGTAAATATAATTCTTTTTAGATTTGCACTACGTAAAAACCTTTATAAAAGAATTGAACCCTCAACCCTTTAGTTTTAAGATTTGTATAAATCTCTGTGCAAATCTTTCTATTTCCCTATACTGTCCCCTATACGGTCCCCTATACTGCCCCTCATACTACCCCTTATACTCTCCCTTATACTGCCCCTTATACTGTTCCCCTATTTTAATAGAAAGTAATACTCAGCTAATTTATAGTCGTAAAGCGTAGGAGTAAAAAGAGCGCCTAGGGAGGGGGGGTATATATTGAAATTGTAGGAGGGATACTATCCCAGTGTCACGAATCACGTGTAGCAATGCATGTGACAAAGGAAGACCAGGCGGCGTCCTGACAGGTTAAGCACATCCATGGACTTATAGCAAAAAGGGATCAATTAGACTAGCTAAGCGATCCAGGGATTTCTTCTGGTTAGAAAAATCACGTGATCTAATCGCCTGAGTCGCCTGTCGACTGAAGCGATCAGGGCGAGCGACTAGAGCGATCAATCAGAGAACGAAGGTTCTATATAAGACTGGCACGTCTGCCATTAGATAGGAGCTTCGTGCTCAACTTAGTGATCAATCTTATCATATTAGTTTGACATCTTTGATACAAGTAACGAGTTCACTTCCAAGTGAACAACCCGATAGTCTTCTTCTTATCATAGCATACCAACCAGCGAACACCCAGCCAAGTTTAGTTAGCCAGTTTGAGTATTCGTTACACCCAGTGGGAGCATGGGAACACCTGGATCAGGTGCTCCGGGAACTTCGAAGATATAAAATTTTAAAAAGTCTTTAAAATCTCTAAGAATACTAAGAATACCTATATAAATATACCCTTAATATATTATAGTATTTGTAATACTATAGCGTTAGGTATAAACAATTTAATTCCGCTCATCCTTTAGAAATCCCCCCTTCGAGCTCCCTTTACGAAAAAAAAATGAATTTTCAACTTTCTCACTTATTATCTAGGTATTACCAGTGTTGCTAATGGATGGTTAACCATTAATTTTATAGTAAAACCAGACCAAACCACTAAGGGAGAGGTTATAACCAAACTAAACCGTTATAGATGGTGGTTAACTAATAGTAAAGTGGTTAACTAATAGGATAACGGTAACTATTGGTTAACCGTGGTAATCGCAGTTAACCACCGGTTAATTAATAGTAACTACTATTAACTATAGGTTTTAAGAAGTTATAAATTAAAAAAGAAGCTATTTATATAAAAACTAAAGTACTACTAGTATCGTCGTCTATCGAGTGTTAAGACATATCTAGAAATATATTAATAGTAGTAGTTAGATAATATAGATAGTGGTGGTAGGATAATATAGATGGAATATTCCTTAGAATGTTAGAATAGTAGTAAAGGTATTACGTGTTGATGACTAAACAAAAACTATTAAGGAACTGTTAAATAACCGGTTTACATATAACGTGGTTTATCAGCGAGTCGATCATATCACCGAGTCGATCACTTTTCCTTGGCACTACCTCCTCAAACTTCAACACAAGTTTTCTTCAACTATTTACCATGGAAATTCAAACTCAAGAAGCGCGAATTACTCTAGCTATCGAGGCTATTCGGTCGTCCAAAAAACTAAGCAAACGCTCTGCGGCAAAGATCTACAATGTACCATATACGACTCTTTCCGACAGAATGGCTGGCCGAACCTACCGCCCAGATTCTCAAGCCAATTGTCATAAGTTGACTGAGTTAGAAGAGGAAGTGATTATTCGGTATATACTGGATATGGATTCCAGAGGATTTGCGCCCCGGCTCGCTGGTGTAGAAGATATGGCTAATTTTATCCTTGAATCGCGGGGGGGAAGACGCGTCGGCAAGCTCTGGGCCCATCGATTCGTACAACGACAACCAGACCTTAAGACGCGTTTTAATCGCGTTTACGACTTCCAGAGGGCCTTATGCGAAGATCCTGACGTGCTAGGCGCATGGTTCCGGCTAGTAGAGAATATGAGGGCGAAATATGGGGTTACAGACTCCGACTTCTACAACTTCGACGAGACAGGCTTTATGATGGGTGTTATTTGTCCTAGAATGGTTGTTACTCGTGCAGACCGACGTGGTAGAGGCAAGGCAGTTCAGCCAGGCAATCGGGAATGGGCTACAGCAATTGCCTGTATTAATGGGGAGGGCTGGAGTATTCCTCCATTCTTGGTAGTTCAGGGCAAGAACCATCTCTCCAACTGGTATACCGACGGCGGCCTCCCACCTAACTGGGTTATGAAACCGACAAGCAATGGTTGGACAAATAATGAAACAGGCCTGGAATGGTTAAAGCACTTTGATAAACACACTACAGCTCGTGCAAAGGGTCTGTATCGAATACTAGTTTTGGATGGGCACGAGAGTCATGAATCGGCTGAGTTCCAAGACTACTGTACGAAACACAACATTATTACTCTTGGACTACCTCCTCATTCATCCCATCTAACCCAGCCACTTGATGTTGGGTGCTATAGTGTGTTAAAACGAGCGTATGGTCGGCAGATTGAGACGTTTATCAAGGCCCATATCAACCATATTACAAAGGTTGAGTTCTTTCTAGCCTTTACAGCAGCATACAAGGAAACAATGACAGTCCTAAACTGTCAGTCTGGATTCCGCGGAGCTGGCCTAGTACCATTTAACCCGCAAGCAGTGCTTTCAAAGCTTGACGTAAGGTTACGGACTCCAACTCCCCCTCGGACGTGTAGTGCCAACTCCCTCCCCTGGGTGTCCCAGACCCCTTCCAACCCAACTGAAGCCCTTTCACAATCAACTCTTGTACGAAATCGTATAGCCTGTCATCAAGGAAGCTCGCCAACTCCACTTTTTCAAACAGTTGCTGCGTTAGCAAAGGGTACAGAGCGAATGGCACATGAGATGACCCTTTTGTCTGCTGAGGTCCGTACCCTTCGCGCTGCAAATGAAGCCCTAAGTAAACGCCGTAGGGCTAAAAAGACTCGTGTCCGCCAAGGAGGGGCACTTATAGTAGAGGATGTACAGGATATGTTAGCTCAGGAGGATGTAGATGAGCAAGTACGACGCGACATGCGTGAGGCGGGGGTTGGTTATAAGGAGGGGCAACCTTCTAGGCGGCGCTGTAGAACTTGTGGAAAAGCTGGTCATAACGCGCGAACTTGTCAAGAAGTTATAGATATATCTAGTTCGTCAGATATAGAGAGCGATAATTAATTTAATATATTGTGGTTGATTTATTTAGGTGTAAAGTTCTGTGCCAAGAAAAAGTGATCGACTCGGTGATATGATCGACTCGCTGATAAACCACGTTAAATCTATAACCAAACCACCATATACTAATGGTTTACCCAAAATTTAATAACTAAACCACTAATAAGCTATTGGTTATGGTAACCACCATGTATTAACCATCTACTGGCAACACTGGGTATTACCTAGTACCTAGTCGGTCCGGTCGGAATAATGCCTAGGCGCGCTACGGGGCTTTAGTCCGATTATCGGGAACCTAGAATAGGATACTTTTACTAGCGTTTCAAGTTAAATAGCGTAACTATGCGTGCCGGCTACATATGACCGTCGTCTGTCTATCTCTCTGTCTGTCTGTCGGTCGTGTAAGTCCTGTCCCTCCCTCCCTCCTGTCCCTCTATACGTAGGTACTGTCCCCCTCTCACTTCCTCTACTCGTAAGTACTGTCTCCTACTCTCTCTTCCTCTACTTGTAAGTACTGTCTCCTACTCTCCCTTCTTTCTCTGCGCAAAGTAACAGGCAGAGGAAGGGCGGATCGGTAGATATAGAAATATAGAGTAGGGAGGCATTTAAAACCACGCGTCTGCTATATGGGAACACCTAAATCAGGTGTTTTTTTAGCCATTTTGCACATACATCAGGTATTCCCGTACTATGTAGGGCGGTAAACGGGTTCTTGGGGGCACCTGATTCAGGTGTTTTGCTCCCACTGGGTATAGGACTATAGGGGTAACACTATAGAAGGGATAGCCGGGGTAGGGCGAGAGATATAGATATATAAGATTTGTACATAAAAAGCTTTTGTACTAGCCAAAAAGTGGTGTATTTGTTTCGTTACAATAGTCTAATTTGCATGCAAATCAGGAAACTTTTGCATGGGTCCTTGGGGGTCCTCCAACCCGTGCAAATCTAAGACTTTTATACCTGGTACAAATCTCTAAATTGGGCGAGCCAAACAGGCCCTTGATTCGTAACTAGCTATATATCTCCACACTTTCTATCGTACTTAGGTGATTATATTCGCTCTAAATTATTTAAGTTAATTTTTAAAAGCAAAGCGTATCTAATGGAACAGAATCAAAATGGAGCGAGGTAGGTCTGAAATCACGATAATGGATTTACTTTACTATAGAAGCTCCTATGAACTTGTGCAATATGGGCATATGCATATTCTGCACATGAAGAAGCAGGTAAAAGTGGTTGAAAGGGGTTGTATTAAAGTAAACAACGGGAAAGTAGCTAATATTTAAATGATTAAACTCGGTTTCAAACCGAGGGTGGTAAACTTTTCCAGATCAAAGTCTGTTTTCAAGAAGAGGGGTAGCCTTTTTTTTTGTGTTTTCGAGTAGTATTTGAGTGGCATGCACTTCCTTTTCGACCCTTTCGACCCTTTCGACCCTTTCGACCCTTTTCAATTCTATGTTCGGGCTTCTGTCTTCGTTGTCGTTATCGTTGCCGTTCTCGTTCTCGTTATCGTTCCCGTCGTCGTCGCCGTCGGATTCGTAATCGTTCTTGTTCCCGTCGCCATTCTAGACGGCGTTGTCGTTCTTGTTGTTCTCCTTCTCGAATTTGTTGTATTAATCTTTCCCGTTGTTGGGCGCGTTCTCGTTCCTGTTCTTGCATTACTCGCGCTTCCGAACAAGAAAGAAACTGAGGCGCCCAAATCTCTCTGGCTGGATTATTGGAAATGCCACGTTGGCAATATCTTGTATATGAGTTGAAATCTTCACATTCCACTGTGACGGGAGTTACTGTTGCACATCCCGCACAAGTAACCTGAATTCTTTGACACATGGTGTTGGGGTACGGTATGGCTTTGTGGTTGAGTAGCTTAGGTAGGTGGAAGTGTTTGCTTGAGGTGTTTGAAAAGGTGTAGTATGGAGTTTGTGTGAAGTCGATTGTGGGTATTGAAATTGAGAAGGTGATGATAGATCGATGGCAGACTGTGTGTAATATGGAAGTTGAGAAGATGGTGTTGGAAGGTTGGAGTCTCTAGGAATATTGAGGGCTTTTTATAGGCGTCTGGGAGGGGCCGTGCTATTATTTATGAATGTTTTTGATCTCTATATTATTACTAAGATCTCGTAGGGGTCTGTCAGAAATGCTACAATGTATGAATGTTTTGGTTATGGTAGAAGAGGGTGAATTGTATTACATGATCAAGCAAAGCAACTTTGGAAGGTCGGATAGATATCAGCTTATTGTCTAACCTAGCCTCTGGCGTTCTCGCTTACAAGGTCTTACTATTCTAATAACTACAAGAAATAAAGAAGTTTCCAAGTGTGAAGTTTTCATTAGTACAGTTGACAGGGACTAATTGCCCTCCCAAATAACATAACTATATTTCCGAGGCAATTACAAGGGGCTAGCTCTTGTGAGGTAAACTGAGTGTGCGTGATTTTCTAAATAACAAAGTCCTTCACAAGCAACTACCTAGCCAAAATCCAAATCCCATATCAAAATCAAAGGGGTAACGTTTTGATAAGACAATTTCAATGATCTTCCAAATGACGAATTTCCGTTTCCAAGCAATGGGGTAACTTTTGCGCGCGTGTGTGTGATATTCCAAGTCTTTGCCTCTGAATCTCAGGCGTAATCCTCTGCATGCAACTTCATAGCCAAAACTCGCATCCAAAACCTATTCCAAAAATATCCAAGCAACGAAAATTTCGGGAGGTTATCTGACGTTTCTTTCGTTGCTTGGGATCCTCCTCCGCCTCAAGCACTCGCAGTCAAGCTCTTTAGCCGTCCTCTATTCGGTAGCACGGGCAAGATAGATTCTTAGACATTTACCCGAGGAGTGGATTTCGCAATGATACGGCTTGTGTGCTGAAGGATATTGTTTACCGCGACTGCTACAGGAGATTAACTCGGAGTAGCACACGATGTAGGTATGATATGGTTCTGTGGTTGCGTGGCTTGCGTAGGTAGAAGTGATTTAGTTGTTTTGATAGTGTAAGGTATGTGTAAGATTGTAGTTTGAAAGTAGAGAAGATGATAGTTGAAGAGTTGAAGTCTCTAGGAAAATTGAAGGATCTTTATACAAGTCTGCGGTAGCCTGTGCTACGATTTATGAATGTTTTGATCTCTGATGTTAATATATATCACGTGATAGTCTATTCTTACATGATTGAATGCCCTGGATTTTGTTATTATCAACATCTCGTGGGGGTCCGTTAAGGTTATGCTAGAATGCATGAATGTTTTCGCTGTGACAGAATAAAGTGAATTATGATTCGGTCAAGCGAGTCTATTTTAGAAACTCCGGGTAAACGTATTTTACATTGCATCCTGGCCCGCCAGCTTACGAGGTTTTATTCTGACAACTACAAGTATTGAATTGTTGTCAGATGGTAACGTGTTGTATTAAAGTAGTAAATAAGAAACAAAGTATTCTCTCATACGACAAAACCCCTTGTCCTTTCCACGGGAGGAGGCACTGGTGTGCGTCTGACATTCCAAGTGATGACCTCTAAGAAGGAGACCGATCATCTTCCAGAAGTTGGGGAAGTACTCCAAGCCCATTTGCGTATCCAAAAATCAAAGATCTAAATCCCAACCCCATTCCAAAAACATCTACCTGATGTATAGACTCTTATCCATATTACCGACCACCACCATGTCCCCTCCTAGCCTCGTAATCCTTCCATGCGTGATATGGACAAAGGGGAGGGAAAGTATTCTCGAGACGAAATCGGCAACTACGCTCACGTTCGATGTAATGTTCACAATACTGGACGTATTTATCGTGGTCTCCGCATTTACGGTAACTGAAATTCACCCAATCGCACATGGTGTTGGCAGGTCTGACTTTGTAGTAAAGTAGTTTAGATGGTTGGAGTAATCTTTGATTGCGTTATTTTGATAAAGTGTAGTTTGGGGCTTGTGTAAAGCGGGCTCTGGTTTTGATATTGATGTCAAGTTGAGAAGAAGGTAGCAATGTTTTGTAGTCTCTAGACAAGCAGATTGGTTTTAATAGAAGACTGGTGGGAGGCTGTGCTATAGTCTATGAACGTCTTGCTTTCAAGACTCTGTGATATTATTCGATATCACGTGAAGGCTGTATATGTCACTATTGAATGCTTTGACCTCTATGTTATCATGAATATATCGTGGGATTCTTTAGAAGTGACACCATGTCTGAATGTTTGGTTGTACAGTACTAGGAAATAGTGAAGTATGTTATAGGTTCGAAAATGCTGAGTAATTGTATACTACCGATTATCATGGCCACTGGTGTAAGAGAGGCGAGCATTGCTCTGTACACACCTGAGTTATAAAAAATATTATCCTAAAGAACTTATATAACTAAATCAATAATACGAATAGCTTAGAATAATTGCTACTTTTCACTTCTAATTAACATAGGTAAGATAGGACAATTGATTTACTTGTGTAAGACCTTTGGCATAATATAATAACTTTTAATAGCGTGTACAGAGCAATGCTCGCATCTCTTACCAGTTTATAGTCTCTTATTGTTCTAATGGCTACAAGTAAAGTAGTTCAAAAAGGAAAAGTATACTATCAAAGTAACTGATGAGAAAATAAAGTGTTTTCCTAAGTCCTAAAATTCCCATTCCTTGCCAAAGACATCATTTTGTATGTGCTGGTGTGTGTGTTAGTCCAAGTCATGCATAAACCTTATGAAGAACTTTTGATCATCTTCTAGACGATGTGGGAGATCCTCTGACGCGTTCGCTTAACTCTGAATCATATCCTGTTCCAATTCCAATTCCAAACCCAAAAGACACTCCAAAAGCACCGTACCCTTGAGGTTCAATAGGGCCTGGGATATTGTCTTCGTCTCTCTCGCCTTATTCTTTCTTCAATTTCCTCCTGCCTCTCTCTCTCTCTCTGGACCAGGCTCTGCATCTCCAACTCCCTCAGCCTCTCCCTCTGAATCTGGGCGCTTTGTTGATTTTTCCTTCCTTTCCGACAGTGATGACATGCCTCCATGAGAACGGGATTTGACAGTCCATTTCCTTCACACATACCTGTGTTTGGGTGGAAGTATTTACAGCGGCCCTTGTTGCCGAATTCTGCCCCGCACCTGCATATGTGGGTTGGCTGGTTGCACATGGTTTCGATAAGCCCGAAGCTGTAGTAGAGTAGCTTAGGTGGTTGAAGGAAGTATTTAATCAAGTTGTTTTGAGAAAGTGAAGTGTAGAGTATTTGCAAAGCGTGTTATGGTATGAAGTTTGAGAAGATGGTAAGTAGAAGTTGAAGCCTCCGGTCCATCAACCTCAATTTATACAAATCTCTAGGAGGCTGTGCTACCATGTGTATGAATGCTTCTAGCTTTGTCAATACTGTAGCGCAATGAATGTTAGCAAGTATTAAGCCATGTTTTGTGATTAATCCATAACCGATACTTTAATTCACTTCCCTTTTCTACAGTATAGAGATATGGTGAGAACTGGTACAGAAGCTCTTCACTATCTAACACAGTTCAGGTGATCCACTTGTTTGTTGTCAATGAATAAATTGCCATCAAAATGCATTAGAGAGGATTTCAAATATCAGTACTCAAGCAATAACACAATGCTTACTTTCCAACCCCCACACCCACTATAATTAATCCCAACAATAAAAGTTATCCACTCCTCTTCTCTCCACGTACCCACCATATCCATTCTCAGCAAGTTCCCTTGTATCTATGCACGTATAATATTCTTAGTTATTGTGAAGCGTATTAGATTATACCGGTAGATGAAAGGTTTTTAGCTTACCGTAGTTAGGTAAGAAACCTGGTTATTGCTCTGTACACGCTATCAAAAGTTATTATACTAAACGTCTAGTATAACTTGATTAATTACTCTATTTTACCTAGGTTAATAAGGAGTGAAAGGTATCAATTATTCTAAACTATTCGTATAATTAATCTAGTTGTATAAAGTCTTTAGGATAATATATTTATAACTCATAGTTGTACATAGTAATGCCCGCCTCTCTCACTCCTCGCTTATTCCCGTAGCCAAGGATGTATACCATATTACTTGATAAGAAGGTACTTAATCATTCTCTGTGTTCTTCTCATTGTGTGGTTATTGGTGCTTATTCATAAGGTTATTCCATTTATTGTTAAAGTCTATGGTGATGTGGTTACAATAGTCTAACTGATCAAAACATGGATTTGGAGCCTACATGGCACAGATTCGCAGACACTGAGACAGATAGATAGTACCAACACGATTCTCAAGCGAGGGCGCGTTGCGAGAAAACGTACGAGGAAATCCCCACAACAAACAAGGCACAAAAAGAAAACTCGTTAATTCATCAATTCATCCACTCTCGCACACAAAATCTATCATGTCTCCCAACCACATCTATACTTTTCCTAACCCCATCAATAAGAGAAGAAGAAGAAAACGTTCTAAAGCCACATTCCTCATCATTCTCCCTATAGCAGTTCATTGCCGGCAATGAATCATACCGATCACTACCTCCGACCCTCAATCAACACCCAAACACTACTCTTCAACCTCTCCACCACTTCCCTCCTAACCCACCCAACCTCCCCACCCTCCTTGATCCTCCCATCCATCCACTCAAACAAAAACCTCAACCCCACAACCCTATCTCTCTTCCCACTATTCATAGCTCCCTCGAGCAACAACCGTGAATCCACAACCGTACCCCTCGTCCCCCTCATCATATCACTAACCACACTCACACTACCCACACCACCTCCAGTCCCAGAATCACCCACAGGAAGAACCAGTGCTCTCTCTGCCTTGGTGAACGTCTTAAAAGCATCAAGATCAAAGATCCATTCCAGGGAATTGACAGGCGAGGATTTGGATATAGTGGCACTTGAGGAGGTCGATGAATCATTGAGGGTTTGTAGAGTAGCGTTGAAGACGGAGGTATTGGAATCGTGAGGTTGGCGTTTGCGAACGTGGATGGTTTGGTTAGACTTCAGACTCTGAAGATGTTGAGAGTTGGATTGTAGATCCAGGACTACATTCCAGTATTCTGAGCTGTCGGTGCGTATGGATTGCATGTTTTCGTATTCTGGGAGAAGCCCGGGCGTGTGGCCTTTGGTTTGAGAGCCATCCCGCAGAGTGATAGTGACGGGTACGGGAACAGGCTGGTTGGTATCAATATCTCGAGTTATCAGACACCTTGGTTCGGCAGCTAGTGCCCAGAAATGTCGGAAGGCTTGGAGATGAGATTTGTTATCTTGAACCGACGATGGGAAGATGGGGTAAAATGCCACGAGGAGTGCGGCTATTGCCATATTTGATGTTCCAAATGTGAAAGTCCCGCCGCCTAAGAATAGTGCCCCTATCGCGAGGTGAGAAGCAAGATGACTTCCATAGGTAGTTGCGCTGTCATCACGACCGTGAAGAGAACGCAGACGTCGGAAAACCTCCAGATCGCCTGAACCTGCCATGATGGTTGCAAGTCCGAGGGCAAGTAAATCTTGACATTTTCGAACGGTATTTCTTGTCAGCTTCTGGTCATACGTCTCTGCTTCAATCCGACAAATCCGAATCAACTGATCCAGATAATGAATTAGCAAATCGCGGACTGGGGTTGAACCTGAACCTGCATATCGTAATGCAATGCTAAAGCAAAGGCCAGTAACAATATCGTAGAAGGGTAAATCGTCACTTGTCAGTACCTTGACATTTTCCAAAGTAGCTCGGTACCGGTAAGTTGTCGGCAGGCTACTCTTAATCCATGCGAATGATGGTTCAATCTTACTCCACAGGATCAGATTTTTTGCTAGTGTTCGCAGCAGGAAAATATCTGGTCGGACATAATCGAACTGCAAAAGAGAATCTGGAACATCGATTTTCCGAGCAAGGACTTGGTTCTCAGATTTCATGAATATAAGTGCAATCGCCATAACTGCTGCAGCAGTAGCTTTGTCTAAAACATGAACGAGATCAACCTTTTTAGCGCCTGCTGCCAATGTAAGCAGTCTTTCAGTAAGCCGCATATCATGAAGACCCTGGAGGTCAGAGCCTTTCCCAAGATTGATGAAACCAAGAGCAAATCCAGCAGCGAGTCTATACCCTTCATTTCTCAATGGTTCTTCTTCGGTTTCAGTGTCAATGTGTTCAATCTCAGACACCATTATTTCACTCATGCGACGGTGTTGAGTATTGCAGTATAGTAGTCCGATTCCCATGATACCGGTTGTTTGGGTCAACGTCGATAGATTGAGTTCTGCTGCTCCTGGGGGTAGCATTCGAGTGACATGGACAGACAGAAGCCGTGTTATAAGCGAGTCCATCGTACCCATGTAAGAAGCAGCCAGACCTAGAAGCAGCCCAATGGAAGTCATGGTGTGCTTGGGCGTCAGATATTTGAAGGCAACCCATTTAGCGACAGATTTCAAGTGGCCATTGAGCCCCAGAGCAAGTAGAAATCCAGCATGCCGGTTACTCAAATCTTGAACTGGTTTATTGAAAAGAATCCAAGATGTGTCAATCCCTTTTGCATCTCGAGATATGCTCAGCCCAGCAGCAACGCCCGCATGGAAGAACGCCCAACACACCTTCTCTTCTGTGTAGGCACTCTTTTCAACCCCGACAGTGTTGTTGTCAGGTTTCATCACACAACTTAGATTAAACCCTCCGATCATAAGCCGCTCAGTCAAAAGAGGCACTCGAGCACTGAAATACATCAATCCTCGCCCAGCCGGGATCGCCAAAGTACGGTAAGCCAGCATTTGAGCATGTTCTTTTTGTGCCTCCAGTAATTCAGACTCCGACCAATGTGGTTCGGATTTGCAACGTGCCACCGTAGGTCTGGATGTGTTGAGTATGCTCATAGCTTCATTCATTCTTCTGTCATCCTTGAACATGGCACGAGTGATGGTCTGCCGATCCATTTCGGCAGCGCCATCAAATGGTCGCGTGGATTCCGCATCCAATGTTGATATGCATATCGTATGAACATCTATATTTGATTCATGAGTAGGAACCAGCAAGCTAGATTGGGTTACTCGTGGTCGTTGTCCGGGGTTCAAAAGCATTTTGACATCTTCTCGACCTGTCATGGCAAGCAGCTCTTTACTCCAGGTCGTCGGCGGCTCTGGTTGACATTGGGCAAGGGCTTCTTTCAAAGGGATCAAAATCGCCTCTGGTAATGTCCCAAGTAGGAGAATGTCTACTCCTACAGCAAAAAGGGCTTCCACAAATTGCACAGCAGACCAATTTGGCAACATAAGGCTGAAAAGCTTATCGAAGAGCAAGGTTCTGGGCGTCAATCTCATCCATTGATCGAGAGATGGGGCTCTCCTGGCCAAAGCTTGAGTCCGCGTTCGAATTAATAATGGCATTGTCATGAATTCGGTTCGAGCACCAGAGGTGAAGCAACTCTGAATCCAGTCGTATACCGAAGGGCACTCTAGAGGTTCATTTATTGGAGACTCAATAGATGATTCTATTTTGTAAGTTAGCTTCAATCGATCAGTTGAATGAAATCCATACCAGTGTCATAAACCATATCTAACAATTGAGCTTCCTCGACCTCGTACCGGGCCACCCAAGTTGGCCATTTCAACCACCTGACAATCTGCGCCAGAACGGGTGTTAAGCTCGTAGCGCCGGTGGTAAAGGCATCAGCTGTCATGATGTCTAGTTTTTGCTCCTCCCGGAAAAGGTGAAGTCCAATGACTGTATCAACAAGAGCTGCCTTGCGAGATTTTGGATCTCTCTCCCCCGTGGTTGGTAAGGTGCCGTGAACTGTTGTCTCGCCAAACGAAGAGTTTATGAACTCACGAGCAAGCTTTAAATGTCTTTGAAGAAATTGACCCTCATCTTGTGGGTTTGACGCGAGGATTGGATCCAAAATACCTACGCCAGAAGAGGAATAATCTTCTGGCTCTGAAAGCCAACTCCAAGCAGGATTGTTCGCCCAAGATGGTAGGGGGTTCCCATTTGCAGTTTCTTGTGAAATCATAGTCTCCCAGCTTACAGAATCTGTCTGAGCGCCACTGCTAGATCGCATGTGAGGGCGTGGTTTTTTCTTGGGGTTGGTTTTCCGCCGCCTAGCTTTGGGCTCGTTGTTTAGACCTAGGGACAGAGAAAAGAGTGTAATAACGAGAGCAGTCCATTCGGCATCTACGGTCTCTATTGATTCCAAACGGATCCATTGCATCACTGTCCACCACCCCACGAGCACTCCTTCGCCGCCACTTGGACCCGGCACGACAGCTCTACAAACCTCAAGTATCTTGCAGACATGGGGGTTTCGGGGTTCAAGGCGAACCTGAAGTTGGTGCATTTTGCCTTCATCATCAAGCAAATCAACAACACCACGAGGCTTGGAGTTTCGTATTCCTCGTAGGGCTCGAGGCCCCTGACTCAGAACGCGTTTGAACCCACCTTCGCGTCTAGCATGTGGCGTAGCGTTGTGACCAAGACTTCGAGTGTTGCTAGAGGCAAATTTAGTCGGGAGTGGAATTTTCGTCAAATTACTCCACGGCGCTTGTAAACTGATTTCACCGTAGCCATCAGGCGTGCTACTCAAGACCATGATGCGAGAAACATGACCATCGTCAAGTCTGCAAGCATCAATAACATCATCTGCCCTCATTGATGAGGCCAGAGACAAAATGTTAATGTCCTTCGCCTTTCTCCCCCTAATTGGGCCATCATGATTGACGCTAGAATGAATCTTTCTATATAGAGTCAAGACTAAAAGCTTTTGCTCATCTGGGTCCAAAACACATATAACAATGGCGCTTCCTTGCTGGTCGTCTGTAGCAGACATAGGAGCAGTGAGGGTAAAAACTTTGCACTGACTTGTCGCCGGCAACTGTTGACTGGAGTATCGAATATTTTTATGTTCAACGGGGACTGAGCAAACCTTGGTAAGCATGACTTCTTGACGAAGAGCATCAAATTCCTCGTCGTCTAAGCCCATACTGTGGAAGCCTTCAAAGTCTCCTCCCGCTCGGAGCTCGTCCAGTAAATCATCAACTGGTGCTTCTAGAAAGCTGTTCAGATTCTGGTTGAATTGTGGAGGTTGAGAAAAGCTTGGCCCGTTGCCCCCAGCATAGCCACCAATGCTAGTTCTTGTATGTTGACTTCCAAGGGACTCGCCACGTCGACCTACACCATGCTGGGCGGACTTTTCAGTAAATGCAGGTCGTTCATGGTTTGCAGATAAATCTGCCCGGGCGAGCATCGAGCTAACCCTACGAGACTTTCGTCTTGGAATTATCCCGCCTTCAAAGTCTGGATCGAGTGTCGCGACAAAATCGACAACCTTCTCTTTGGCCCCCTCTTGTTTCTTACCATTTTTCACTGGCTGAACGCCAGCGAAACTTTCTCGCCCAAATGTAGCCTGGCTGTTCATCACAGGCGTCGTGGCTCCTGTTGCAGTACCTGGCATGAATGAACTTCTGCGTCTACTTGGATCGCTCGCTACACGCTGCTTTTCGCTCAAACTTGCTTCTCCCATATATGCCATTTTCCAGACCGTGTACATGCCAGTTTCCCGGTTCAAGGTCAGTGCCAAAACCAAAGATTGATCGCTGGGCTTGTCAAATTCTCCTCGGCGTGAAATATGCAGAATCTCTTCTGCAGTATTTAGTGCTGATATCCTCATTGATCGCCGACGATGCTTCATATCTGCTTTTGAGGGCTGAGCTACCAGTAAGCCTAGTTCTGAGAGAGGATCGGTAAGAGAAAACAACCGGGGCCAGCTTGTATCACTTTTCAATGCCGGTGGATCCCAAAAGTCTTTCAATGTAGTATTAAACTGAAGGGATATCTGTTTCGGGGCCCCTAAATCCGCAATAGAAAAGGTAGACTGCTGTGAATTGGACGCTGACAATGGCGGCGGTTGTGAAGAAATGAAGGAATTTGGCGGGACTTTTGGGAATTTCAACGACGCAGCAGCTAGGTGATCGACCCGTAGTTTTCGTTGTATAATTATTCCACACGGGGCCGCAATGGCACATTCCACCTCAAATGGCAGATGTATAACATGGCTAGTTCCCGAGAGAAAATACACATGCGCCTGGGTTACCAGGAAAACCACAATAGCTGCCTCTCTCTTCGCATCTCCCTTGTTCTTTTCCACTTCTTTTGTGCCATTTTTAACCAGAGGCCCAACGCTTGGGAAGGAGGTCAACAAGGCTTGCGTGATGGGTTCTTTTTCTAGGTCGAATTTGTAGCATTTCCGAAAGACTCCTCCTCTGGACCAAATAACGCATCGTGGGGTTACGAGTAGCTCGTCTTCGTCGTATGTCGAGTCAGGATCACCGTTGCAGTAGCTGTGCCATTTGTAGTCGGTATTCTCGGGATCAGGGGGCAGGAGGTGCTCCTGAATGGCATATTGAAGGCCGGTAGGCTGATCGAGGCCGAGGGAAAGGACCGAGGCCATTGCTTTTGGATGGACCCAATGATGGCGAGGGCGATTGCGTGGAGAGGGCGGGGATGGTTCATGAAGGGTTCATGTTCGTGGTTTTGACGTTTTATTTTGGCTCCTCGAACATTTGGATATCCTGACATCTCCAGCTTCCTCCAAGAATGCTTCCTGCCGGAGTTGTACTGTAAGGCAGTCGTTTAAGTCAGTATTTACTTCGCGCCTTCTACGCGTCGCAAGGCTGAGAGTGAAAGTGACATCAAGAAAATGGCCGTGCACGAACCCCGCTACAGTATGGGCTTCGCCTGAGTAAAATCAACGTGGACTACTTATACAACTCCACATTCTGAAATCCTTACCATTGATATACAATCTGCCGTGAGAATCAACGGATACAAGATTCCAAGTAATTTTGGGTTCTCTCATGTCTTCTCATAGCTCTCGCGGGCTTTCATTCGCCAGATTCACACGACGACGAGGAACAAATGCTATATTGGAAGCGGCAGTAAATACCCCTCATTGTCCTACGCTACATTCACGCGAATCTTGATCGATTGATTGAGTCAAGGTATGCAAAATAGCTATTTATATCCTCTGGTTGAGTGGGAAAATCTTCATTTCAAAACCCCGTCCAACTCCTTCCACCAATGAACTACGTACTCGGAATTCCGGCTTAAGTTAACCTCCATACTTATCTTTGAGATGTTGCCAAACTATCTAGGCCAGGGGGATGCTGGAAAATTCACGTTCTCTAAAGACAACCTTGTTTGCGTCTCAATCTCTATCATAAGATCGATCAACAGCCCATTTCGCTTCCTCGCTAAATTTCAGCATATCTTCAGTATGATCCCAAAACTCTCTCTCTCCGTGTTGAATAAAGCCACCTCGTCCAATAATTTCATATTCGCCATTTTCTTCCAGTCCCAGCAGTGCTAAGCCACTTGAGTTTCAGAATTAACATACAACATCAACTAATTTAGCTCCAGGTGGTACCACTCCAGCTATGAGGTAATGTCCTAAGAAGACCCTTGGCATACTTGGTTCTGTAAGGAAATATCTTGAATATTAGCGGTGCTTATCCCAGAAGGAGTTTCAAGTATACGCATCAAGCGTTCGTTCTGGTCCCGGGTAGTCTTGAGAGAAGTCGTATTCGTATATCGCTCTATAAGGCTAGCAGTCCATCTTTTCTTCGAATCCAAAGAAGTGAGCAGTTACGCCACTAATGGTCCGATATGTTGTATCTATCTAGTAGTATCCAGGTTCTAGGACGAGTATTCGGATACTATCATTTTGGGGCTTGTTTACTATTGGCTGGAAATAAGTTCATGGCCCTGCCTGAACAAAAAGGGTAGCGAGCGAGAGTGCTTCGGTTGAGACTAATATGCCACTCAAGAATACTTGTTAAGTTACAAAAGTACACATAAGTACATACCAAGAAAAGATAATTGTTTTACTCGGTGTCAGTCACATGCCAGAGAATAAATATTCTAGGTCGGAATACAATAAGTTGAAGTAAAGAGAGTTAATACGAGTAGTTGGAGCACTTCTGTAGCTGTAAAATTCTGCTTCGGTTTATTTCTACAGGTGTATCGACATAAGTGTGTACGACCCTAGCATACGGTAGACCCACAAGCCATCCATTTACCCTCCCAAAAGAACCAATCTCAATAAAGGTGTTTCATAGCCAGTATCTCAACAATACCCAACCCTTCCAAAACCACTCTTCCCAATTCTACCCTCCAAAAACCAATCCAGCTCACGGATACAACTGGACACCATCCTTACATCTACAAGTATTTATCTGATTAACCGGGTCACAAATCCAACTCTGTAATCCCCCATGACCATATGGTTTCGGTACATCCGTGACCATCGCACAGCCATCTGTACACAACTGGTGACTGACTGGACACTCCTCCCAGGCCAGAGCGGTACCAGTGAGGCCGAGCGCTAGGATGTGGATAAGGAGATTGTTGGTACGACCTGGTTGTCGTAAAGGGTGATACACAAACATAATCTCTCTTTGTATTCATTCGTGTATGAAGAGTAAAGGTAAAGAGAGGTGGTACTCTACAGACTTAAGTATGTGAGTAACAAGCCACTCACATGACCTAAAGTATATAGGTCTACCAGGCTCTCGTACAAGGTGCTATTCACCAGAATTATATACCGACAGAGATGAATATTGATAAAATGTGTGGTAGTTGATATTGAAATTGGAAAGGGGGATTGGTATATGGAAAGTTAGAGTGGTTTTAATGCGAACGGACGGATAGGGATGAATGGGAGTGGTATGAAGAGGTAGATAAGTAGGTGCGAGAATGAATGAAGAAGTGATTGCGTTCTTAACTACAAAGGGACGTATATCCTATATAGACTAAAACCACTTCTAGCTAATGCTAAAATAGAGTACCCTAGTACGAACCCGTAAACGAAAGGCCGATGATGTGTGTTAGCTACAAGGATGCTCGAGATAAGGATAAACTCGTCTGAAGTCTATTAGTTCTAAAACACCATTCGAACCTAAAAGAACCTTGATAGGACGACATGCTCGTTTATGTCTCTAAAAAGTATTCGCCCGACCATACTCTTGTATCAAAGTTATAGTACAAAGTAGGAACTCTTTACTAGGATATAGTCCCATAGTAAATTAATAAGAATAGGAGGAAAACAGGGATGTTCTTATTCAAGCGCATGGTTAATAATTAATTCGATACAACTAAGACAAGAGGACAGATATTACTGTCAGTTTCAGGTGTAAACAGAGTCTGTAACTTTCCTGACTTATACCAAAGGAGGGTGCTTACTACCAGGAGCTTCGTCATGAATGGAACCCGACTTACTCGCCACAAGAGTATTCTTATTCGTGTTTTGTGTTAGTAGCGAACCCGATTATTTTAGGTAAAATTAAGGCGCTTGCTTACGAATGGTAGTAATTTATGTGGTTGTGGGTAGAAAAAGAGTAGGTACCATAAAAGTATTTCTGTGCGTGGCTTCTAATTAGTCGGAAGGACCTTGTAAACATTGTCGCCAATATAAATTCAACCTGTAACATCGATAGGGATTGGTGGGATGTCCTGGACTCGCTTAGCTAAGCGAGACAGGGTAGCGCAAAGACGAGGTAGGAAAACCAAAACTTGCCAAAGTACGCAATTTACTCTCGCGCCCGAATATATCTGGGATCGTATTTAAAACACATATAATAAGATCGTAACATTTGAGTCTCCGGACTAATTCCAGTGTTCTCGCTATGGTTTTAAGACATCTGTAGCTATCAGAGTGTGGATTAGAACGCGTACGACAAGGTACTCACCCTTGGCATACTATACGCTGGTGTACGTAATTACACCCCGCCAAAACCATAGTAGGAGTGGCAGTCTGACGGAATAGAGTTGTATTCAGATGAATGACAAGTTAATTACTTTGGGCAGGAGCCACGTCTATATAGCCCTAGTTTAAGCTTCTCGCACTTGTTGGAAATAAGTGGTAATAGAACCAGCAAGCTCCCGTTCGGTCATGTTTCCTGCTTCCATACGGTGGACACTAGTCAGATCTACTGACAACAAAATTTAGGATCGTTTGGGTATTATTTTGAGTAATTTTATAGTATGAACATACTTAAGTGTTTACTTTCATCCCAAGTGTAACCCAAGCTTAATGACCATTATTTAAGTATCATTTGATTCCGTAATAAATAGGTCGAGTTTAAAGCAAGGAGAAGGTGTTGTATGGATGAATTGATATGCGTTGAGAAATAATATCGCCATTTTACGACCGCAATTACCCTGGAATGCTAGTCCATCTCCTGACTAGAAGCCAAGTACCAACAACATTAACAAATGCACTGCTTCCAGGGTGCAGCAAACCACGGGATTTGACCTCCAAGAGCTTCGCCAACAGTTCATCAACCTTACTGAGCCAATGGTGGTTACTTGTATACGTAGCTAATCTTTGAAATTTAGAGATTCTAGGAGCCATAACCAAGGGAGTTTTTAGAGGGGCAGGGGTGGTTCAAGAAGTTGGGGGAAAAAATGATTTTCAGTTTGATAGGAGTGCCTGATCGGCGTTTCGTAAATATGAGATACTAAATACATTTGATGCCAATCAATAATATTTTCTCTTTTCTTTTTCCAACCTGAATAGAACCCCGACACCATCAAAACCCAATTTCCTGCAACAAGTTCAAAACGCTCTCCCCCAATCCTTTCCGCAAACAAAATTCCAGCTTAAGGACCAACGTCAATAAACCAGTACCCATCATTACATATACAATAATTGCTCATTGCGTAATCATTACACTCGTATTGATCTAGGCCCTATCATATATACATTAGCACATCTTCGTTTCACAAAGTCTTCACAGTTGATATATCCGTTACAAGTAAAATAAGGTGTATGTTTGTGCAACTCACCCCATAACTTGCTCCACTAGCTGTCTTGAACGAACATGCTTTCTCACAGGCAGCGTCGTCGAATTAACATACGAACTCTGCTACAGCGGTAGCAGTAAAGCCGAGCGCGAAGATGAGTTTGAGGAGACGCATGTCAACGAAGTACGTGTTGTCTGAGGGCAATGAAATGGTAATGGAGGGTTGATATAGAGAAATCGACAAATCTAAACTCGGTATTCTTCATGACTTGGACATGAAAACGCGCCCACCCCGTTATTTCGAATAACCGAAGGTAGTAGGGAATTAGATGAGATCACTGCGTGTCTCATTGGCTGTGGACAGTAACACGAATTACATGTGCCTTAGGGTGTCCTATTTCATCGAGAAAATCGACCCATAAATTTCACATGAATATCTAGCATAATTCTAGGACCATCCTACCGACATTTTTGTTAATCCCTTGTAATCAAACTTATCCACCAACTACAAGGGGTACTTTATAAGAACATATTAACACCAGACTCACCAGATTCGTATGGTATATAATTAGTGAATATACTTGTCAGTTCTGAGCGGCTATTACGGTCGCTAAGCGAGGAACTTGGCAAGCGGTTAAGCGATCGTAACATTCACTTAACCGAGCACCAACAGCTGCTATTGACAAGTTTGTCACATAACCAATCAAAGCCCGCCATTCCAAAAAAAGTCCGACTTTTGTTGCATATCGCAGTTAGCGTACAACAGCCTGAAGCTACAGGGACCCCAGAGCCTGAAGGAACCCCAGCATAGCAACCACGACGCTCCACCCATTTGACAGCGATGGAGCCCGGATTCTCCCAGAGTTTCTTTGGTGGCGCAATCCCTTCTTCCTACATTTCTGATAACAACGTTTTCTGGCTCCTATCTTTAAACTGGAATTTGGTGTATTTTGCGTAGTCCATCCCCAGTCAGCGTACGATAGATCCTTCCCATGGTTGGTATTAAGGTCAATCAGTTCTTGATCATTATGCACAACTCCGTCGATGCGATTCTTTCAGATCTCTTGGTATATCCGCAGCCATAAATATTCAAGTGTTATACCCTCCATAGCTGTTATTAGTACAAAATTCGGATGATCGCATTGGACGTAGCATTACTTCAGGGTTGGAAATCTCTTGGGTTTTGTAAGGATGGTCTTTTTGGTTGTGCTCCTTCAGATTTAATCGCTTAGTTATGTTTATTTTGGATAAATAAATAAATGATGGTTCTTTCCTATCCCTCATAGACCTCTTGATTCTCAACATGAATCTCACTCGTTTACAACACTTGTCAATAAACCTAGCACAACTACTCTTCAATGAAAACGAGAATGAAAGTAAACACATGAGATTTACAAGGATCTTCGAGAATCAAGAATTACTTCCCAAGGACAAGGTAGAGCATACGCTCTCACAGTATCTAAACTAGGAACCACTATCCCACACATTCTATACAGTTTTTATGTGAATCGTCTACCCCCCTTGAGACTACAGTCGCGAATCGTTTTATCCTCTTTCCAGCCATTATGAGAGGATAAATGCAAAGTGTTCGTTGGAGTTGGGAAGGTGTAGCCATGGTGGGAATCGAACCGTGAGAAGATCTGTGGAGGGGATTGACTTGGGTAAAAGTTCATCGGGTACGAGAAGTAGAAGCATAGGGTATTAATCCGAACTCTGGCTGTCGAGTATGAATCCAAAATTATCTCAACACTCGACACCTCCTCACAAGTTCTCAAACACATACCCATCAAAACACAAAAACCCTCAAAAATAGACGTGGACCATAATTCATTAAAGTAGGTAAACAATCCAGCCATTCAGCTATCTCATCTCAAAACTGGATTATAATACACTCCCCACCCACGCATAAATCCCTTCACATCTTCGACTTCGCCTCACCCTTCAACTCAGCCGACTTTCCCTTAGCCTCCCCCGCCACCTCATTCGCCTTTTCCTTCGCCTGACCCGCCATCTCCGATGCATTGCCAGCGACCTCGTTGGCCTTTCCTTTTGCTTGTCCTGCTAGTTCAGATGCCTTTCCCTTTGCTTCGGAGCTGGACATTCCTGCGACTTCCTTTGCCTTTTGTGCGGCGTTTTCTGTGGGAAGAGGTGTTGTTAGTATTTTGTTGTGATGGGATATGAGGGAGGAGGGGGAGGAGTGGGATTCCAAGCGCGAAGTCGCAATGACGAGGTGGCTGGTGGTGATGAAGATGGGATTGAGATGGGATTGAGATGGGAATTGGGGTAATAGAAGGATATACTTACGACCGACCTCAATTCCATCAACCAAGACATCAGAGACTTTTCGATCGACAGTCTTCGCCGCGTTGACGACGGGTTCTGGAACGACCTTTCGGAGGGTGTATGAGGTCGAGAAAGCACGGGTGGCGATTGGAGTGCGGAGGAGGGGAGTGGTTCTGGTGAGGAAAGACATCTTTGATGGTTTTTATTGTATTGTCTTTTTCTGGAGGAATTGAAATTGATTGGGGTTTGTAGTTTTTAGAAGTGTGTATGGTAATTGGAGAGAAGGAATTGGGGGGGTTGAAGTTGTTTATAAAGAGGAGTTGAGGTGCTTGTGGCTGTTGACTTCATAGGACAGGGGTGGAGCTCTTTCTCCATATACGTCATAGCCAGAGCAAGCTGGAAACACCAGGAAAGGCGTTGTTTCATTGGTTTGTGGGGCATGTGATGAGGTACGCTGTATTCCTCGTGCTTATTCACTACTATTATTCAGGAATTGAGTTAAACCATTCTTGATTCCTCCTGAATTGAGGAAGTGTAAATTGAGTTCTGAGAATTCCCATCTTCACTCATCATGGCATTCCCACAATTCAAGCATCCCCTATTCGGCCATCGAACCGGACCGATGAAGCCGCCGCAACTACAAAGAACCTCGGATGTCGCACAAGAGGCATCAAGCTCATCATCTAGCTAAATTCCACATCAAAACTCCTGAAAATGCCTCCAACACTACACATCCGTCTGCTAGTGCGTCCCTGGTTACTGTCGCGCCTATCCCGCGCATACTCCACCGCTCAGAAACCCCTCATCAATGTCCACGATGTTCAAGCTCCCAACACCGGTCGAATCCGGATCCTCTCCCTCGCGAGACCAGAGGCCAGAAATGCTATCTCGAAGCAGTTATTGTATGAGTTAAGGAACAATATCGATAGTATCGCGGGGGAGTATGCACGGGATGGGAGCGAAGTACCTGTGGAGGATGGGGAGAATAAGATGGGGCCGACGAGGGCTTTGGTCATTGCTAGTGAGGTGGATAGTTGTTTTTGTGCCGGCGCAGATTTGAAGGAGAGGAAAGGAATGACACCGGATGAGTATGTTCTACGTCCACTACTAATTAAAGAATTGGCATGATGGAAATTGAACTGACAATACCCAGAACCGAAGCATTCCTCACCGTCCTCCGCAGCACATTCGTAGCTCTCTCCGCCCTCCCAATCCCCACCATCAGCGCCATAAGCTCCGTCGCTCTCGGCGGCGGTCTCGAGTTAGCACTCAGCACCCATTTCAGGGTCATGGCATCAACTGCCACCGTGGGACTTCCAGAAACACGTCTGGGTATAATTCCCGGCGCAGGAGGAACCTATCGTCTTCCAGCTCTCATTGGGATGTCTCGTGCTCGTGATCTGATTCTTACCGGTCGAAGAGTATCGGCTGCTGAAGCGTACTTCCTGGGGATTGCAGACCGATTGGTAGAGGTGGTGCCTTCGGAAGGAGAAGACAATCAGACGACTATGAAGAGAGCTGGGGATGAGGCGTTGAGTGCGGCAGTTAGCCTGGCAGGTGATATTTGTGAAGGGGGTCCAATAGCTGTGCGTAGTGCGTTGCAGGCTGTGGGTTGGGCAAGGGAAGAGGTGGAGAATAAGATGTATGAAAAGGTTGTAGGGACTGAGGATCGGAATGAGGCTTTGAAAGCCTTTTCAGAGAAGAGGAAACCAGTTTTCACTGGTAGGTAGCGAGCTTGTATTTGGAAATACGGGTGTAGGATTTACATATAAAGCGTAATACAATCGCTTTAGGGGCTTCACAAACAACTTCATTGAAAGTCTCCATACCTTTGGAGTATTCCGAGTAAATCTCCATGATTTTTGGGTACGGAGTACTCGAGCATTTTGTGAAAACTACAATTGCCACTTCTGATTGGACAATTGGATTTTCTGGTTCTTTGCTTCAACACCTCCCATGTACAAAATCAAATCACTTTCCAAGGCCCCCAAAACTGGATCACTCACAGCTACAAAACCTTCGAACACATTAAGCTTGTTTTCAAACATTACAGCATTAACCTTTTTCTATACACCAAAACTTGGTCACTTCCTACTCACTAATCAATCCTTCAAAAAACACATGAAACATCCACTCACATCACTGAACCCTGACATCATCGCCACCCCGCTAAACACATCTACCCCACCATCTCCACCTCTCATCCCCTGCACCATACTGTACACCAATTCATCAAAACCACAAATAACACTCAACACCACCACATATCAATCAATATCAAAAATGTCCTCGCCATCACAAAACTCACAAAACTCCACCGGATCGCAAGGTTCAGAAGGCTCAGCCGGTTCAGCGGGTTCGGCAGGATCAGCTGGCTCAAAGGGCTCAGCTGGATCGAATGGATCAAATGGCTCGAATGAATCGCCAAAAGAAACGAACGGATCACGAGCAACAAATGGGTCAATGAATGAATCTCTACCACCCGAAGCCATCGCTTTCGCAACAAGAATCTATGATGCTGCACGAGCGGGGGATGTCGCCATCTTTGGGCAGGCGCTGCTGAGGGGGTTGCCGGTTAATATGACGAATGAGAAGGGGGATTGTTTGGTGAGTCTTCTCGTTTATTCTTTTGTTTCTTTTTAGTGTTATGTGTGGAGTTTGAGGTGTGAGATTTGAGGATTTAATGGAAGGGCGGAAAGAGGTTTTTTATGTAAAAGGGAAAGGGGATGGTGTTACAGATACAGATACTGATACTGATACGAGGACGAATAGGTAATGCTAGCAGCCTACCACGGCCACGCAGCCCTCGTCAAACTCCTCCTCCAGCATGGCGCGGATCCGAATCGTCTTAATGATAGGGGACAGAGTGCTTTGGCTGGTGCGGTGTTCAAAAATGAAAAAGAGGTTATTGAGGTATGTTATTCTGCTTACTTACATAACCCCATCACTCCAACACTTATATATCAATACTACAACTTGGCAAATCTTTTCAAATTGTATTATCCACTTCACCATTCTTTTGAAAGGAGATGCAGTGCTTGACGATGCGAATGGGGATGGGATTGGTAACTAATCTGGACATAGGAATTATTAAAAGGAAATGCAGATCCGGATCATGGATCGCCTAGTGCGTTGGAGGCGGCGCGGTTGTTTGGGCAGGAGGAAACTTGGAAGAGGAGGTTTGAGGAGGCTCCAGGTAGGGGGATGGCGGGTGGGGGTATTTTGATAGCATAACGATTGGGGGTGATATTCGTTCGAAGGATGGAAAGAGACATTTAAGAACAAGAAGAAGAGAAAGAGATTGCAAATAAAAGTATAATCACATTTTGTGCTTTTGTCCATGTCTTGTGGATGAGGGTTTGATTTGAGGAACCCTGATGGGTTTTTGGATAGTCGAGCTGTATGTGAGGCTTTTATTTGAGGGTGGTGTAAATTTGAGGTAAGTATACATGTTTTTAAGATCGAATATCTCTTGAACCACCTTCATAGGACTCGCATTTCTCGGCCTCCATTGATTATTTTGAAAAGAAAATTAATTCATAATATAGATAACCTCCTTATATACTTGACCCTACTCTATTATTCGAGAATAACTACGTGAGCCTAACATTACAACAAACACCTGGGGATTAGGCTTCGCTTCTATTACTCTTGGGATGGTTTAGAATATACTTATATACCTAGGTATTGTCCATTAACAATTATGGTATTCTCGGTTATAGTATTCTATTACATCTCATATATATCCTTCCTCTCCCACAATCTACAAATTCACATCTAATTACGATGATTGATTATAAAAGTAAACTTATATAAAATCGTGATATATATAGATGAAAATATAAATAAACACTAATCGAAACTCCGACTATTATAAGTACACTTCTCCCCATCATTCCACCAATTGACCAACCAAATAACCAAGCTACTTTAACTAACCAACCAATCAATCAACCAAACAAATCAACCAAACAAATCAACCAAACACTGCTCTCAGTCCCCTCGCTTACCCCCAAGCCTCACCATCGGCATCCCATCAACATCCCAACCCAACCCACCGGTCATCCCACCGGAGGATCCCACAACCCCCTCCTATTCAGAACCACCAATTACAATCTCACCTACACCATCTAAGATCGAAAGGTTACACAAACACCATACCCACTAGTAATCCTACCCAATATATCGCGGCACCTGACGGAGCGGAGGAACAAAACATGCCGATTCCCGACTCCGAAGATGTCCGTTGATGGAAGGAGGAGAGGGAGACCGGAACTCCTGTTTGATTACCTATTCCGTTGGATCTTGTTACACGACGTCAATTGGAGAATGTGAGATGTAAGATGGAAGACCTTTTTGTTGATGCATGGAGTGTATGTATGTAAGCATCGCGGTGATACATGATAAGGCTCTAGGTTGCGAGCTGTAGTGGTATGGTATGGTGCTGATATTAATATATATACAAACCACCTCGTCTCTTCACTCCCCGCTTCCTCTGCGCATCCAAATTTCGAGAATTGGAGACTCGGCAACGATCTAATCTAATCCAATCAAAGAGCTCGAGGGGCTTGGTATGACAGACTTGACTCAGGGAATTATTCAACAAGTTTTCGGATAGCGATATTTATTCACTTCCATCACTATTTACTACAGCCATCATCACCAGTAACCAGGGACCAAGCGAAAAAGGAGCTCCCACATCCACTCGAGCCGAGGGGGACAGCAGGACTGGAATTACCTAAGCTCCCACAACTAGAGGGCTGAGGGGATTACTCAATCTAACCCACAAAGATCAGAGAACTATAAATCACCCTCGAGTCTCTACTTACTTACTACTTACTCAATCCTCCCTTCCGCAACAACAACAAACAAAACGAAAAAAAGCCAAAGCAAACGAAAAATGGGTCTCCACCCCCTTAAAGAGGTCCTCTCGACCAACAAACAGACGCTACGAAATAGCACCGCGGAACAACCGTTCGTAGCGGTCTTTACGGGTGCTACGCAGGGAATAGGATCTTTTGCTTTGCTGGAGCTTTGTAGGAGTGTTGCTTGTTCGTTATATCCCTTCTTTCCCCTCCTACTACCCCTTGATCCCTCTGACCACCCCTTTCACACTGTACACTCCACACCTTCACTCTCACTCTCACCCTCAAACCTCATACCTCACAACAATTTCAAACCCGCTCTCCCAAACCCAAACCCAAACCCATCCATCGCTTCAACTAACACCAAAAAGACCTCCAAATCCACCTCCTCGCACGAACCCCCACCTCCCCAACGGTCGTTGCACTAATCGCACAATGCAAGAATCTCTGTCCAAATGTAGTATTCAACGTGATTCAATGTAAGGATCTGGCGTTGATACGGGATGTGGATGCTGCTACGGAGCAGATTCTTCGGTTTGAGAGAGGCGAGAAGGAGGGGGGGAAAGGAAAGGGAAGAGTGGATTTGTTGTGTATGAGTCAGGGGTATCTTACTTTTGAGGGGAGGAAGGGTGAGTTTTTTTCTTCTTCTTTTTACTCTTTTGGTGATGAGGGGGGTTTTTGTGAGGGGAGAGGAGGGGAGAGAAGGGGATGAGGTGAGGTGAGAGGGAGGGTAGTGGGGTGGAAATACCCGAATCCAAGATCTCGCTTGCACTTGACCAAGACTCGAAGCGAGAAAGGGGTCAAGGGGGAATAAAAACCCAAAAACCCAAATCAAACCCCCCAAAAACAACGAAAAAAACAAGAGTACAGAAGCTAACCATCCCCAAACCCCACAGAAACCAAAGAAGGCCTCGACACCCGCTACTCCCTCATCTACCACTCCCGCATCCGCCTAACCCAAAACCTGCTCCCGCTGCTCCTCCAATCCACCCATCGGGGCGGCGCCCGCATCATCTCCGTCTTCTCCCCACAAGGCGAAAAACAGCTCTTCGAAAGCGACCTCTCTCTCCGCTCCGCCTCCCACTACAACTTCACCAACACCGGCTCCCATGTCGCCTACCTCAAGACCTTCTACTTTGAGGAGCTAGCGAAAAAGTACCCTGGGAAACTAAGCTGTGTGCATTACTTCCCCGGCTTGGTGGCGACGGGGACGTTTATGAATGCTACGTTACCGCTCTGGTTTAGGGTTCTGTGGACGCTTTTGAGGCCCCTTACGGCGTTGCTTAGTGTGAAGAGGGAGGAGAGTGGTGCGAGGATTTTGTATCATCTTTCTGAGAATTTTCCTGCGAGGGGAGAGGAGTGTGAGGGGGTTGCGCTGGCTTCGGATGGGACGAGGGGTGGGGGGGCGTATCGGGTGAATTATGATAATGAGGTTTTTCCTTGTAAGGGGGATTTTGAGAGGTTGCGGCGGGAGGGGTTTGCGGAGAGGGCGTGGGTGTATAGTAATACTGCGGTGGAGGAGATTGCGAGGAATGGTGTTTTTACTGGTTAGGTTGGTGTGATTGGATGTGGTTGAGAACTTGAGGTAGTTGTCTGGTGCGTTTTTGAGTCTGTTCCGGGATGATCATGTTTTTGGTGGGAGGGAGATGGAACAGATCTTTATATTGAGCTTGTTGCGGATCTTCGTTGGAAGCGAGTGATGATGAGCTTTTACCTAGATACCACAATAAAACATGGAGTTTCTTTTCGACGTTGTCAGCTTGAGCAAATTATGCACCCAAACTTACTGCGAGTCTTCAAGAAACTACTTCCTCTTTTCCCCAAGAACACTTTTACAAATATCACGAAGCCATAATGTTTAGGTGATTTGGCATTCACAATCTCGATATCCTAAAGAAGTATGCGATCCGATATAAAACCTATCTGTCAGAAGACGAGGGCACAATGTGGAATGGATAAGCTGGAATACAGAGAGAAGCTAGCTAGGGGGTGAGCAGAGCTCTAATATAGGGCTGCCTGTGGGCATGGAAGTGTCCTGAATAGGACTAGCGCCTTCCATGGAATATGCTAGTGCCACACAGTGGAGCCAGGAGTGCTCGTGAGTGCTCGTGTCGTAACACTATCTCCGTATACCAAAGAATCACAGGAAAAGACCGTACGTCCTCGACATACTGACTTTGAAAACCCCCTGAGCTGTCCAGGAGATAACGAAAACACTTATTAGGGCAAAACTAACAAAAAAACCAACAGTAAACAACCAACAATAAACAACCAACTTTCCACAGCAAGTCCACAAATGATCATACAACTACACATCTATCCAAAATCACGCTTAGACATCAACATCAACATCAACATCAACATCAACATCAACATCAACATACATGCAAGAGGCAAAAACACACATAAACATACCATTATCAAATAAGTTTATGATCCACCAAACTCCAAGTCCCAAAGAGTACTATGAGTAGCATAAGATCAACCTCCATCCGGTGTTAGCCAAGTCTTCTATTAACCGTCAATGAGGAGAGGCCAATCAAGCAGCAAGAATCTCCTCATATCCTCATTAGCTTATCCGCACTCCTCATGCACATACGAAAAAACCATCCGCTGATTCCAGGAAGATTACTCGTACCAGACACTTACAACCACACTCCCTCTAACAGCAGCAAAGCAAGATTACAGATAAATCGTCATGAATTCTAGCCAACTCTATAAGCCAATGGAACTTGTTGTGGATGCTTAGAACCCTTCGACGCGTTGTCGTGGTTTTGTTGTGAGTGGTGACGGGTGATGATAAGGAGTTGTAGACTGAAGGTGGTTCACTTCGTGATCTTACGTGAGTAGAGCGGAGCAGGATGTTTAAAAGTAAGGATTCGAGGATATAAATGCCTGGCATGGTAGCCACATGGAGGCACAGCACAGCATACATGTACTGTACTGTACTGTACTGTACAGCTGGAGGACCCGTGGCCATGTGAAGTTACTCTAGGAAGGGATCCTTTTCGATACTACATGGTTGGTTCCTAGGGCGCAAGATTTGGCTTGCTAATCCATTGCACAGTCTGTACTCGTAAGATTTACTTCCACATAAAAGAAAAGCCAGACTAGGTACTGTACAGTATCTCCCTAGAGTTCTCAGTTTAAGAATATAGTAACGCTTTCCTTGCCATAGAAAAACTAGACCTCTCTCTCTCTCTCTCTCTTTCTCTCTCTCTCGTGTGTATTCAGTACGTATTTTTCGAAACCCTTCTATTCCATCTTAACCTTCCTCATTTCTTCACGTACATTTAAAGGGTACATAGGAAGGAGATGGATGGTTGTTGGTAGCAATGTAGCAATGTCGTTGATCGTTAGGTTGGTTGGTTTCGAAAATGCTCCGTACTGGGGTAATGCCCACCTGTGTCCACCTGCATCTTCATGCAACCAATCCAATACTCCGTACGAGTACGGAGTATTGTAAATACTCCAAGTTAACCATGGTCCACGGGCATGGTGTAAGAAGATGAAAGTACTCCTCCCTCTACTCTACCGAGGTATTAAAAATCTTTCAATCCTTATCCAAATCCTCATTTCTTGATTGTAGTGTTAAATTTCCGATTCAGAATCAGAATCGGAGTTTGATGGGATGCCACCGAGACATTCTACCTTATTAGGAGGAAGGGAGGGAAGAACCCCACGTGAACAACCAGGATGTAGCTAGTTAAGTTTATCCATGATCCCTTCCCCGAAAGAAAAGAAAGGTGATGCGTCGCCTTGGCATGACGGCCGTCAGGGGATCTGCGCGCCTTATTGGGCGGGCAAGAACTGATCAGGAATATAAGGAACGACTGCGTGAATATTCATTTGTAGACTAAAGGAAGGGGATGATGTTGCGTTAGTTCAGGAGGTTAGTTTTTGCTTCTTCTTTTGTCTTTGATGGTGTTCTTGTGGTTGTGATCTAGAATGTCTTACTTCAAGATTGACAGGTGGTGGTGGAAGATAACGTTCAACGATCTGCATACGGTACATGCAAGTCAGTCAGCATTAAGTGGTGCTCATTAGACTTTTGTGGTGGGAGATGAAGGTGGGAGATTGGTGTTGCTGTCACTGTTACTCGGACGTGTTTGAAGATCTAAAATAGTAAGTAGGTCGGTTGTGTTACGGTACACCGCTCTTCTAGCGTCCCGTTAATAGAAAACATGGAGTATGGGGATGCAGGTAGAGATATTGAGTATTCCCCTTTGGGACGTGGCAGGTTGCATTATTGTGTCCAATTCGTACCTGGAGAGATTCCCCTGAAACACATTTCTGCAGTGATTCATCATTTGCGCCTTGATGGACTCGGTCAAGGGCGTTTTCTACAGTATCTTGGTTGACAACTACTACGAAGTAGAAAGTCTTCTATTATATGATTATACTTTTGACTCATCCCTGGTTCATCTCATCTTGATATACTTCACGATGACGGCACATGTCTACCCAACCCGCCGAAACCAACCCGTGGGCCAATCACGCTTTGCTCTGGCGAAGCCTCAGTATACTCAAGTAAAGTGCAAGACTTTCCGCGTCCGTGGATCTCGAAGTCGTCCGCGCACTCCACCCCTTTAGGTTCTCCTGATTTCGTATAAAAGCTTCTGAAGGGTCCGACCGTTGATGATACGACAGTTGTACGGACTTCTAGGCGATATCATATATGAATGCACCGCCAGCGTGGGTGACGGCGTGGATGATGGCCCTGAGGATTGGGGTTTGGTCGGGGAAGCTCCTTGAACCTGGTGGAATTGGATTGTACGGAGTATCGTTGGTTGTGGTAAATTATCATCGTCATCTGCGTTCTCGCGGTCGGTAGCTGCATTAGGAAGATAATGTGATTGTTCTGATGATTGGAATGCATCACCAAGTTCACGCATCGAAGCATTTTGGTGTCTTCTCAAGGAAGTAGTTGTATTACATTGTTACCCCATACTCTACTTCTCAGGCTTTAGTTTGCACTGCGCCTGCACCTCTAAAGTTTTACTTCTGCAGTAGCGCCGAGACCCTACGAACTCCCCGCTGTTCTCCAGCGTATCCCCACTATCTACCGCCTGTCACCCTGTACTTCATCCCAGTGCAATCCCAGTGCAATCCCAGTGCAATCCCCGCTGTGCTCGCCTTGGTGGCGCTAGAACAATTTCGAAGCAAGAAATTACATGCATCGATGAACGCGATACTGACCTGATACTGGTACCCTCAATCTCGACGGTTATTCTCCGCCCTACAGGATTCTTCATCACCATCACCAACCTGCCCAAGCTGCGCTCAATCGCCGTCCCTCGCCGCTTCGCAATTCCCCAGCATCTCAGGACGGGTACCTACAGTAGCTGCAGTAGTAACTTGGACACCGTAGCCAGCAGCCAGCAGCCAGCAGCCCAGACCTAACCCCAACCCCAACCCCTGTTGCCCCTGGCCCTGACCTAGAAGCACTGGCAGCCAAAATTAATGTACGAAGTAACTGATCGACAGCCCTGGAGCTCACGCTTCAATCTCGCCCTTTCCCTTTCGTTTTCCCTCTCCCTCCTTGCGAATCTTCGACGACAAGCAACCGACCCGCACCTGCACCTGCACCTGTACTGTAACTACCACGGCACCTCCAATTCCTTCAGCGTCGTAGTCAACCACCAACAGTCTCTACTGCTACACTACACTGCACTGCACTATACGGCACCAACCCCCAGAATCCCACGCCCACACCCACACCCACACCCACGCCTCATCCTCATCCTCATCCTCGCCCTCGCCCTCGCCCTCGCCCTCGCCCACCAAGCCTACCAAGCCTACCAAGCCTACCACTACCTACCGCACTGCCAATCTGTTCGGTACTCGTACATTTGCTCTGCAGTTGCTTGCTGGACTGGCAAACGCGTTCCCAGACCTCTTGGATCTTGGAATTCCCGTTAGCCTCTGAGACCCCCCACCGGGACTTTGTTTGCTCTTCGACTTGTCCCTAATAGGCCTTGTTTGCTCTTTTCGACTGGCCCCTAATAGGAATCTCCTGGGCATCGAAACTCTCTTCCCGCCCGGAGTGGTGAACTGGTGCTGTGCTTTTGCGGTGATTTGATGATTTGGCAGTTGGACAGTTGGATCATCCTGGCCGTCGCCCGGCGTGCTGCTGCAACATCATCCGCAACCCGTAACCGCATTCGCTCCGCCCCCTCTTCCCCGTCCGCCCCCAAGATCAGGAACTGATGTCCTCGGGGCTCAGTTCGCTTCCTCGATGCAATCCTACGAGAACTCACAAATGGTGTCCTCCAGGTCGGCCGGAGTGCCTTTGAACGCCAACAAGCGCAAGATTGGGAAACGACGAGACTCCTCTCCCGCGCCAACGCCTGCGACCCCTCCAGAATCTCGATTCAGCAAGGCCAATCTGCTCCAATCGTCCCGGGCGTCGAATAAGAAGCAGCGAGAGACCTTCCTAGACGATATCAACCCCGTGGATCCCGCCGCGAACAAAGACAATGGAGCCGGTCGCGATCGAGACACGCACGATCTTTCCTTATCACCACGACAAGTCACTCGCGACTCGCTAGTCAATAATATGCTACTCTCCCTCGACCAATTCTCCTTGGGCAGCGGCAGCCAGGAGGGGGATGTGTTTGGCAGACAACCGACCGCCAACCCAGACAACATCTACTCGAATTACAACGACGAGGAATCCTATCAGCCAGTATCCAACTTTGCACCCAGAGCGCAACGACCAGGAGGGCACAACTATTCGTATAGCTCCGACTACGACATTGCAGATGACTCCAGTCGATATTCAGGACCTTCCAGAGGTCGCAGGAGTAACAGTGGGTCGCCATATCAACCGGGTGCCGGGAGGATAAATAACACGAGAATCGAGGGTGCGAGTAATGTGGTTGGGTCTAGTCGCCCATCAGTGCCCATCCCCCCCCGGGGCATCCATTCACGAAGTGGCATGGGAAGTAAGGGAAGCAGCGCCAACAGTTTTGATCTTGGATACGCTCAAGTATTGGGCAGTCAACAACGTTGGGCGCATGGCCTCGGGGGGAGATCTTCGAGCTTCGATTACGGACGAGACCACCAAAAATCCCTTGCAAAGGCCGACTCCTATGATGCGGCGCCCATGCCCACCGTTCCTGGGGGACCTCGAAGGACCCGACCGACCTCCCCCATCAACACTTCACATGAACTCGCCAAGGATGAAGCTGGTCTCCCCAGGCTCGAACGGAAGCGGAGCGCGAAATCATCCAAAAGCGCATATCGGGGGAGGAATACGTCCAATGGTGGCAGGATTGACTATGGGCTCCGTGATAGCAATCGTGAGCTGCCACCCTTACCAGCATTTATCAGGGAACAAGCGGCGTCTCCCTTTGTTGGACACGGAAAGTCGAAAGGAGCTCCGAACGCGGGGCCGTCAACACCACAACCTCTCAAAGAACGACCCGGTTTCTTCAGGCGAGTGTTTGGCTCGTCCAGAAGTAATTCTACAAGTGCCCCAGAAGCACCCCCATCGCACGGGTCGAGTACTTCTACGGAAACGATGAACCGCCCGAGCAGCAAAAACCATATCGCCAATCAACTCAGAGCTCAAAGTGTACCCTCGCCTCGCGAAGCGCCTCCTCAAGTCCCCAAAGATCAACCCCAGGTCTTGAATAAGAAACCCTCCTCGTTTTTCAGGAGGAGAAAGAAGTCGGTGACGGAAGCCGAGCCACCAGTTCTAGCGGCTCTTGCGCCACAGCCTGTATTCGATGCAAGTGATTATGATGGGAAACCAGTACCTAGCCCAGTCAGCAGTCTAAGGAAAGTCATGAATCCGTACCTGCGTTCTCATTCAATCCCTCAGAACATGGATCAAAATACGGATGATGAGTCCCAGCAACACGCGAGGGGCTTCTCCCCGGATTACGAGCCGGATAAGACCGCGACCATTAGGACCGTCAGATCGAGCCTAAGGCCTAATCCTGATACTACATCGCCTTCTGGAGCTGCACAAAGACCATTCCTTAACAGCGCAAGCGCCAACACAAATGGACCGCATGGCACTTTTCTTCAGGATGCTAGTGATGATGCGCACCGCAACGCTTCCAAATCTGCGCTAATTTCCAGGGAAGGACCAGAGACAACCTCGCCTCCAAACCACGTGGGCACTGTAACATCTCAGACCGTGAAACGAGACATGGCACTTGTCGCAGAGTACGAGAGTAGACACTCGAAAAACCCGTCAGCCGCGAGGTTTACGATGAACAAGCCATCTCCGATATTAGAATCTCCCAGAAGCCGAGCGGAGTTCAAGCCATTTCTACCACCGGATACTGCTGCACCACTTGCCAAGGACGAGGACTGGGTTGTGTTGTCACCTACAAAGTCCACTCGTGTATCGGGGAAGGAAGATCGTGTGTGGTTAGAACCATCCTCCGACGAAGAAGAGGTAGCTGAACCAGCTCCTATGATGAATCAAACCGCCGCTCGAGTCTCCTCCGAGTCTAATGAGACGATATACAAGTCTGCCACGAGCTCACTCATTCTCACGAATTACGGTGGAGGTGACGAAATGCAGTCCTCGCCTCTTCCTCTGGCTACATCAGAAGCATCCGCAGCTCCAAAGGCTCTAGAAGAAGCCCACGAAATCCACACGGAATCTTCGGAAGTTGCAGAATTACCGGGTCCTTCAAGCGATCCAATCCCCGACGAGACGATTCCGACGGAAAACGATCGTGAAAAGGCCCAGAAAATATACGACGGCAATGAAGACTTTATCCAGAAAGAGCGCGCCGCGGCGTGGATGGGAGAGGAGGGCATAGTACGCGCGCGGACACTTGTGGCGTATCTAGGTCTTTACGATTTTGCCAACCTAAACATTCTCGCGGCGCTCCGCAACATGTGCTCGAGACTGGTTCTCAAAGGTGAGAGTCAACAAGTAGACCGCATTTTGGATGTATTTGCCACCAGATGGTGTAAATGCAATCCCAACCACGGATTCAAAGTAACAGGTTAGATGACTGCAGTTGCAGTGAGCAATCGTTTACTAATATTTATGTAGATGTGGTGCATACGATATGCTACTCGATCCTATTATTGAATACGGATTTGCATCTTGCTGATATTGATCAAAAAATGACTCGAAGTCAATTTGTCAAGAACACAATGCCGACTATTCGAAGAAGCGTTGCTGAATCTGCCCCTGATGCCTTTGAGACTAGGCCATCCATACTTCCTGGGAAGAGCCAAACGTTTGATTCGGTCAAGAGTGAGCCTACGATCAAGATAGACCGAGCTTCCGGGGAATATGTTGAGCGACCTTCATGGAGAATGTCTTTCAAGCCTCCTCCTCGTTCCGATTCCGATGGATCGGGCATTGTCCCCACCCCTTTGGATTACGATACTCCTCATGACGATTGCGGGCCGCTAGTAAAGGCTCCTTTTCACGGTACTCTACGTACATGGGAAGTCCAGGTTGAGATTGTACTCAAAGATTTTTACAATTCGATTCGGACTGAGCGGCTACCACTTTTCGGCGCCCCAATTGAGAAACCAGTCCTTCCGCCACCTTCTTCACATAGCTTGTCCGTCTTCGGAACTGGTGTCTTGCGACGAACTCCAAGCGTGCTCAGTAAAGCACCATCCGAGACTCATAGCTACGCAAGAGGAAGGACCGCAGATACAGTTCGCGGAGGTACAGGCAAGTGGAGTAACAAGAATCGCTCGAGGCCGCGTTTGCACCCTGGTTCTAGTCGCACTAGCTTGGATGACCAGTCGTCAATGTGGAGTCCATCAGCATCTTCAAGTACATGGAGCAAGTATTCACTTGGAAAAACTCAGACATCCATGTCTGTCGACTCCTTGGGTTCAAATTGGCAGGCCGACTACCAACAATCCATCGGGTTTGCGAATGCATTGAGCCAAGCCATCATTCGAGAAGAGCACATTGGAACTGCTTGTAGCAATGGAAGCGAGCGCGAGCAAGAAGAACTCCGTGCGGCTCCTTTGCTCGAAGATGAGTCTTTGGAACTTGCCGGAGCTCCATGGGCCAAGGAAGGAATCCTCAAGCATAAACATCACCTGGAATCGCTAGGAAAAAAGGCCAAGGATCGTAATTGGAACGAGATATTCGCTGTCGTTGAAAAGGGCTACCTCAGTCTCTTTTCGTTTTCGACCAAGAGCATGCGCAACAAATCGAAGAACAAGGCTGTGGGAGGTGTGGTTGGAGGTGGAAACTGGCAGGAGAATGCTCAAAATCTCGGCTCGTTCCTTCTCAGACAAACCATTGCCAGCGCTCTCCCCTCACCTGGATATTCAAAAGCTCGACCTCATGTATGGGCTTTGTCCCTACCGACTGGGGCTGTCCATCTGTTCCAAGTAGGCACGCCAGATATTGTCAAGGAATTTGTATCCACTGCCAATTATTGGAGTGCTCGTCTCTCAAATCATCCATTGGTTGGAGGTATTAGCAATATTGAATACGGATGGTCTGACGGCATCGTCAACAACTCGTTGGTTGAGGCCATCAAAGATTCGACGGCACCAGCAACAACACGACCCTCTACCAGTCACAGTCGCAGGCCCAGCATGCAGGGCTCCTTGAGATCCATAGCTAGTGTTGACCAAGGCCAATTTGGTGGAATTAGAGCCAGATTACCTGGTGACAAAGTTACGATATCCGATTGGACCCCTCCTACACAAAGCATGCGATCTAGCAACTTGATGGAAGCGGACCAATTGAAGACTCTCGTTGACTATGTTGCTGGGATTGAGGCTGAGCTGCAACTGCACAACCAATTACGAAGTCCAATGCTTTTAGCAGTAAGTTGACATCATCAACCCTTGTTGGACCTCAACTAATTAGAATAGTTTACGCCTCGGCACCCCAATTCCCAAAAGGCCATGGCTAATTGGGAGAAGAAGTCATCTTACCTCCTTCGTGAGATTGTGAAATTCAGAACCTATATCGACGTTTTACAAACCGCCGAGACCAACAAGCAGAGAATCTACGCTGAAAGAGCCGCTGACAAGGCTCTGTCAGAAGATTACGATGAGAGAGACATGCCCGTTGAACCGTTGAACCTGGCGATTTAACATGAGCGGCTTCAAACTTGTAACAAATATACCTTTTCCTTTGTTCGTCATATCCTTTGGCGTACCTTCCGTTGCATACGGCATGCAACGCCTTGTGCCTCTCCTCTTCATCGTACACACATCAGCATTACATTCACGATCAAGATACACCCAGGGGAAGATGGAACTTTTCCTCGAACAGCCGAGTTGAAATCTACCACAAAAGTGCTTGCTCTTTCGGGAAACATTAGCTTGATTTGGGATAGAACGGCGGGTTCTTTGCATTTATATAGCTTTTTCTCCATGGCTTCTTGGCACCCTACTCGAAGGATTGGATTCGGAATGGTCGATTTGCTTTTTTTTGTCTCTTCTGGATTTGGTTTTTCTTTCCGTCGCTTAACTATACCCCCAAATTGTTTGCGTTGTTGTACTAGTTTCCTTTACCTTTGGTTTGATTGTTTTCTTTCTTCGCTCGCCATCGATGAGAAGTGGCTCATCTGGTGGAATCTTTTCTCTTGGGACTCTCCTTTTCTTGTAGGGGTTTAATTGAGTGAGCGGGATTCTTCTTCCCTTGCCCCTTTGATGGTTCGTTTTTTTTTAATACCTTTTTTTATGATGGGATATGAGGTTATGAAATAGTCTATACGGAATGGAAGGGGATATGGAGACGGGCGAAAGTGTGGAGGGTTATAATTAGTGCTACAGTAGCTGGGGGGTGATGTCGGGCGAAGTAAGCAGGCAGGAAGTTTCTGCGGCTCCTTGGATGGGAGATTAATTGATTGTGTTTGCTGATTTGGTGTGGATGTGGTTCTCTTTGTGGGTTTGTTTGTTTGTGAAATTGTGAAATTGTGTGAGTGAGACTTGAGTAGTGGTTCATGAATAGGATGGGATGGGATGGGATGGGATGGGATGGGATGGGATGGGGTTCCTAGGGGGTTTTGGGGTGGTTTTGGGTGGTTTTGGGGATGAGTGTATGGGTATGGTGTATGGTAAGGTAGGAGATGAGGGTATATAGGTAGAATATTTGTTTTAACAAGGGCTTTAGGGGTAGGTAGGTAGGTAGGTAGAATCTTCTTCTTATTATTATTATCTATAGTATATATTAAGCTAAATATCAAGTCTATTTATATCAAGTATTCAAACGCCTCTTCCATTCCCTTCTGTAGCAGGTGCACATGAGTCGGCATCGGCATCTCAAGATGATCAGCATCGATTGAGGAACATCGCGCCTCCCCAACAAATCTCTCCCACCCATTAGGACCCAAGTCCGCATCTGTCTTATGCGGCAAGCCCCACGCAATCGCGCCCATTCTTCCATCTTTCATGAATCCCGTGAACGCTTTGGTGGGAATGTTCGGCTTGGCGAGCAAGTCCATCGTTCTGACATCACTGGAGATCCGATCGACCAGGCCCTTCTTGGCCAAGATAATGGCGGTGCGTTTGGGTCGCTCGTCCGTTGTCATTGGTGCGGGGTGGTATGCGGCGACGTTGGTGAAGATTGCTTTGAGGTGCTGCTGGGTGTTCTTCGAGGAGTCCCAGCCACCGCTTTGGGAAGCGATGCTTTCGTATATCTTCCAGCCGATTTCGGACTTGGACTGGGAGCCTGCCGGGCGTAGACAACACATGTCTATGAGCAAGAGACTGTCTACACTGCGTCCCGCTGCTGCGAGTTGACGGCAGACCTCGTAAGCGAGCATTGCTCCCCCGGAAAACCCGCCAATTTGGAAGGCGCCTTCGGGTTGTACTCGAATCAGGGCTTCCACGATGAATTTTGCGGCACTGGGAATTCCGGCTTCGGGTGTATATCGGCTGGGGCATTGGAGATATGGTGAATCGATACCGTAGATGGGCATCTTGGACTTGAATGGTGCTAAGTGGATATACGTGGCTATACTACCGGTGCCATCGGCAATGAGGTAGAATGGCTGTTTTCCACTGGATGGTCGACCTTGTAGTAGGATGACCCTTGTGTTTGGAGCGGGGGAATCGTCGTCCTCTGGTGAGGGATTGGACGCAATTTCTTCCTCGGTCATGGAGCATTCTGAAGTGCCCTCGGGGGTGCGCTCGACAAAAGAGAAATCAGAGCTAGATGTTTCCGAGGCAGCAGATAAGGAGGATCGTCGGTGATCTGAGAATTGGTTGCGTAGTTCGCCGATGGTGGGATAGTCGAGCATGAAGGAGGGGGTGAGGCCGGAGTCTGTGCTGCTGTTTGCTCGGGCGGCTATTTCGATGCCCATGATAGAGTCCACACCTGTTGGAGTTAGCGAATTCTATTTATCCTACGAAGAGATGAAGGGAAGACCTACCTAATTCGGCTAATTGTATGTCGTCAGTAAGATCGGAGATTTTGGTCCCGGTAGCCTTTGCGATACTATCGAGGATGATTTCAAAGACGCCAGTGCTCGAGGTGACCTTTTCTTCCTCAGCGATTACCTGGGTTTCCTCTTTTTTGGGTGTACTCTCCAGTTTGATAGATACTATATTTTTGGTGGTAGGTATGGGGCTTGTGGTAAGGTTCCTTGGAATCTGTGGTTTGATAGATGGGTTCCCCAAAACCACTTTCCCCAACAGTCGGTCCAGGGTTTCATTGCTAACTTCGTGGAAACGCAGGCGGGAGCATTGCATGACAAGCTTGTTGGACTCAAAGATATATACATCGCAGGTTGTCGTATCACTATCTCTCCGGGAAACGCGAACGTATGTGAGGTATTGTCTTCCTGGCACGATGTCAGCAGTCTGTTCGAAACTTTCGAATCCATCCATCATAAATGTCGTCTCTGAAGACTGGATGGGATTTCAATTGACGAGAAAGCCAGCTAGGTGGACGCGGGTTTCACCCCAGTAGGGCGAGGCTGCGAAATGGGTCCCTTTAGGATCATTTTGTAGGACAACCTCAGCCACGACTTCTTCAAAGTCGAGAGATATAAAGGCTTCTTTGATAAGCTTGAAGTGTACGGCATACTTGACTGTCCTTGAGAAGAGTGCGTAAAAGACGTCTTTCAGCATTCTATGTCCAGATCCTTCCTTGACACTTCTGATTATCTCGTTCATCCTCGCTTGGGCAAAGTATGAAACTCGGTCCCAGTCAGCCTGGAGATTGAGCGCGTCAACAGCAACCACTGTACAGTTACCAATATTAAAAGAGCTTTCTTTGGAAGAAGCCTTCCACGATATTCCAATCCAATCGCTCGAAGAGCGGTCCACCACTGCCGTCGTAAGCAGCTCTCCTTTGGAATCAACCGAGGCCTGGGTGAATGGCCGCTTGAGAGACACATCCCTGATCGTCAATATTGAATTTTCCGCAATTTCCTTCCCAGAAGACTGGAGTATGTATTTGGCAGCAGCTAGTCCCGCATCGCAGAAGACACTGCCTGGGGCAATGGACACTCCTCGGATTTGATGGCCATTAATGAGAGCGCTGAACCCCAGACTGTCCGTCGAAGCCCCCAATGTTACTACTGTAAGCTCTGGTGATGACGATTGCTGAACAACATATTGTGCGCAAGTTGATATTTGGCTTGTGGGAGCTTCGGCAGGAGCTAGTGTCTTCTTTTTCTCGTTCGCTTCGGTATAGGTGATCCAATAGTCTTTCATGTCCCATGAATATGCTGGTAGGTTCAATAGCTTCAACCCGTCGGTGAACGGGGTATTTAGCGCAAGCCAGTCGATGTTAATACCGTTGTTGTAAGTTCCAGCAAGACTTTTAGAGATAGATACCCAAGGATTCGTGTCTTTCTCGATGGTCGGAAGAATCTTGCTTGGAGATATTGAAAGTGTCGACCGAATGAAAGAACTGCAAACTGGAGAAGGTCCAATTTCAAGCCAGAGAGGGTTGGGAAATCGTTTTCAAGCCGCATTGAGTGCGCCCACGAATTCCACTGGCTGTCGAGTTTGTCTGCCTAGATAAAGCCCATTGAAGATACCATCTGTGTCTATGATGGAAGCAGTGACGGTTGATGCCACCGGGATTTTCGGAATCGAACAGGTAACACCGGCTGCCAGAGAGATGTAAGCATTTATCATAGGGTCCATCTGGAAGGAGTGAAAGCCGTAGTCAACCGCAAGAATATTCGGGGGCAAAGTCAAAGTTCTTTGAAGTTCCACAACATCATCGGTGGTCCCACTGACAACAGTAGCATTCGAACTGTTGATACAAGCGATCGTGCAGGAGGAGCTTGGAGTTTGGTCGAGCATATCTTGAACAGCAGCTGCCGGCGCCGAGACTGCGAGCATAGCGCAAGCACCAGCCTCACATCTTTCTAGGAACATTCGAGCTCGATGGCCAACAAGATATAGCACATCGGCTAGCGAAAGGACCCCAGAGATATGGAGAGCTACGTACTCTCCCAAAGAGTGCCCCATGACCATGGATGGTTGAATGCCGCACGATCTCCAAAATGCAGCAAGGCCAATTTCCAACGTAACGACAGCTAGTTGTGTTTGTATCGTATCCTTGGTTGAAAAATCGACATTTTTGTCAATGATGATATCAGCAAAAGCAGAAAATTTGTGTTCCTCGCAAATACTCGAGCACAAGTCCACTGTTTCGCGGAAGGTATCACATGTAGCATACAACTCACTCCCCATACCGGCATAGTGAGACCCCTGTACGGTGAAGACGAAAACGATTGGTGAAGCTTTTGTCGGTGCCATATCTGGCACGTCTAGCTCGAGCTTGTTAATGAGCTCCTCGGTTGTTGATGCAGAGCAGGCAAATCGAATAGGATGATGCATCCTTCTCGCAGTAGTACTATAGGCGATACCTTGAATATTGGCATCTGGATTTTCTCGTAGCGACTTGACAAGATTGCGCTTGTTTGCATGAAAAGAGTTTTGGGTCTTCGCGGAGGTCGCAAAGACGTGACTAGGTCGAGGGTCTAAGCCTTGTTTGGCGGCAGGTATGTAGTCTTCAATGACAACACAGCAATTCCCCCCCTGGTTGAAGACATCGTAAGCAAGGGAGCTATTTTGTTCGTGAATTGGGACAACTTACTGCTGCGTCAAAGTTGTTGAGAAGGATGCGTCTCGGCTTATGGTCAACAGACTTGAATTCTTTGGGCTCAGGGAATTTCAATGTTGAGTTCGGCAAGAGAATGAAAATTAGCATTAAGGGTGTTTGGCATTCCAAACTGCGGCGGGATGATATTTTTCTGTTGAACGATTTAGTTACTATAAAAGTATTCCATCGAAGCTTAACATACCTGAAGCATCATCAAACATTTCAGCAATGCGGCCATACCAGCAGCCTATGACCCAAGCGTTAGATCGTGAACCCAAAATCCGATTTTGGTAACCACTTACCGCTTCACTGTGACCGATGTTTGCCTTGACACCTTCAACTACCAAGGGCTCAATTCCTGTTCGATGCTTGAAAAAGTTTGTAACTGCCAGCTGGATCACTGATGCCTGTTAGCACTTATGGCCCACAAAAGCTTCTGCATAAGTTGCTTACCCTATTTGGTTCCCAGTGCCATGCATCTCCACATACGAAATATCTTGTGGTGAAATTCTTGCATTGCGCAATACCTTTTCGAACAACCGTTCCTGCGCACCAGCATCGGACGTTGTGATAGAAGTTGAGTTACCAGAATGGTTTCTTCCAGAGCCAGCAACCACCGCTAGGATGTTGTCATTCTGAGCTACGGCGTCCTCAAGTCGTTTTACGACAATTGATCCCTCATAATCGGCTCGACAGTAGCCGTCTGCGTCATCCCGGTAGGTTTTGCAATTGCCTGTATCAGACAGGACGCCGGATTTGCTGAGGCTGGTCCAGGAATGGGGATAGTTTGTGATATTGGCTCCCCCTACAACTGCCATATCAATGTCCTTGGTGAGCAAGCTCATACATGCAAGGTGGAGTGCAGATGCAGAGGATGCACATGCAGAATCAAGCGAATAGGTTGGACCCTCCCACCCGAAATGATAAGCGATTCGACCAGCTCCTATACACAAGCATCAGCAGGCGAGACAGTTTCAGTGAAGATCCAGGGACTTACCAAATGCACGCTGCGCGCCTTGCAGGGTATACGCATCGCAACCAAGGGTGTAGTGGCTTACCATATGCCAATCGTCGTTCGCTTGCCCATAGAAGGCTGCAATTCTTTTGGGATCTACTGCTCTCGTTTGACCATCAGGTCCATCAGAGTAGCCAGCTACCTCGAGAGCTTCGTAGGCACTCATCAAAAACTGCCGATGACCTGGATCCATCAATAATGCTTCTCTTGGTCATACGTGAAAGAATCTAGAATCGAAATTCCCTGGCTTGTCCATGAAACAACCGAATCGAGTGGCTGTTACATGTGTCATTGTGCTTCTCGCAGTAGAACTCTTCTATGTCAAATCGATCTTTCGGAACCTCTCTGCATAGGTCCTGCTTTGACATAATGACATTCCAGAACTCCTCAAGGTTGTCGCTGCCTGGCCCTCTTCCAGTCATTCCAACAATGGCAATCCGGTCTGATTTGGGAAGGCCAGTACCCTCCAGTGACTTGTCAGTGTGAAGAGTTGTTGTGTTTCCTGCGCCCTTCATGGCACTGGCTAAGTAGCCCAAATGGCTGCTGGGGCCAATGACTTTCACATCACAATGGACATTACCAGTGCCGAGCCAGGTATTGAGCTGACCGATGACCTTCTTGATATCCAACGGCAATGATAACACTTGAAGTACCACAGCTCGGAGCAGATCTCCCCAACAGCCATAAGCTGCGTGAGGCTCGTCCATACCCCAGACATTGAAGTCGGGGAGAATTGGGATGTTATGCAGTGCCGAATCCCCAACCATCCATTCCAGGTCCGCCTGGGACACAGTGACTACATGTTGGAGAGCGTGAATGCTCAACTCATTTTTGGGCAAGTTTTTCAACGCCGGGCATTTGTGGATGACAAACTCTAGGACACTTGGTGGCCCAATAACAGTGCTCCAACGATCTCCTGTTACACCAACTTTTGCTCTTTCGATAGGGGGGACGCCCTACGGATAAGCGATTAGTCAAAATTGCATACGAACCCCCCCTTTTTTTACTTACCATTGCTTGTTGAAACTGATCAAGCACTTTGCTAAGCTCATCCGGCGCTATGCCTAATACTGCCAAGCCCCACACACCAGGACGATCCTCCATGGCCCTTGATCTCACTGACGTGAACCTGCATAGTCTAACAAACATACGTGCTGCCTCCAAGACTGCGGCATATAGAGATGCAAAGTCTTTAGAGATTGCTAGGGTAGAAAGGTTTGTGAGTCCACCTGAAATACCGAGTGCCTGTGGCTTGGGTTCTGTTGCGCTCAGAAGGTCTGGCTGTCGCTTCACCCATCTTTTCTTCTATTAGCAACGTTCAATTACATTCTAAAGTCGTCAAAATAATCAATACTTACTGTAAGAGCATGCCAGATCTTACGGCATGTAATAGAAAAGCCCGGGCTAAGCCCACCTCGTCGGCTTTGTGACGATATTGGTCTGCCAGTTCAAGGAGACTAGAGTAATCGCCGACGCTCTCGCGCAAAACCCGGTCCATTCCTTCGGATTCTTCTTTGATGATCCGAAGTAAATCGACATCGAGAAAGTTCTTTAGCCATGGTTCTGTCAAAGCTTATCTGTAAAGCTGATCGACTCCATCGACCTAGGAATCGGTCTGGTCCCCAAAGTATAGAATGGTGCGTGAAGTATGATTTATAGCGATGATTTTGGTAGTGCTACGTAATTATGTAAGATAGAATTTTGCAAAAGAGTAAAAAGAGAGGGAAAAAGGTAACAAAAAAGCCAAACGAACTTTGAGTTGCGTTGTCAAAAAGTTTGGTTCTTTAGTCTGTACTTTATTTGATTTTTGATCAAGCAGTTTCCTTTGCCTAAGTTTGGAGATTCAGGTCACAACAGCATATGCCAAGATAGATAGGGACGACATGACAGAAAACTGGGTTCATTTCGTCCTTACAGTCATTGTAGGCGTGGCGCTGCTGACCCTTCATGAGTTTTGATGCTTTGCACAAGTTTGGAGGGGGTATGAATGGTGGTGAGCCTTGTTTTATAGGGAGTCAGTGGCAGAAAACCCTAGAGCAGAATGCAGCTTGCTGCTCAGTGGATACAACCAGTTATTTTTGAGTCGCTTGCCCTTCTGCTTTTCTTTCATCATTTGTATGTGATCTAGACCAAAATCGACTCCCTGGCTCACAGACCTCGTCGAACCGCAGGTACATGCTTCTGGATTTGATACTGTAAGCTCTGACCTCACCTCACTTAAAAGCCCCAACAAAATTGTTTCCCACAGCCCACGGGCACATCCCTCCAGGTGGACAGAATAAGTGGGGTTACTTTTAGCCTGTGCAACAAAATAAGCGGGGGTGGTTTTGGTAGTGCACGGGCTAAAAGCACCCCCGCTTATTTTGTCCACCTGGTCATGTCCTTAGATTTTACAGTATGCAAGCGAGAACCACCTCCCTTTTTCCTACCATTTTCTACCATTATCTAACATGTGATAACGAATAATATCCCGACCTGAGCGGTGAAGCAATCTTTGTATGTGTTTCAAACAGGGAAAGCATCTTTCTGTCACAATAGGTGGGGGGAAAGGGGAGAGTGGGGGGTACACTTTCCCATCTTTATTCGAGCGTACTCGAGTACTCGTACAGTCTCGCTTAAATGCTACGCAAAGGAAAGACGTTATTATGTTCTTTGTCAACGAACTGTTTCCTCAGAAGAAAGTTTTGTACTACTAATGATATTTCAGCAGCGTTTGCTCAGATGCCAAAAGATTTCCGAGTTCTTAGAACACTCAGCCAAGTAAATCTTCATTATACTACGCCAATATTCAGATACTCAATGAACCCGCCACGGAGAAAGTAAGCTGGCGCACAAGTCGGAACACCGGTGCGAAGTAAGCTAATTTGTTGACTGTCAAGATAGTAGAATCGACACTTCAACGCGGAATGTAGGTTTGTTCGTGCACATGAATCAAGGATGCAAAGTTACTGCATGTTAAAACCACGAGGTGAGTAGGATAACGGCCCATCATGTGCGTTGGAACAGTACGCAAAATATTCCCTCAAACGCTTGACTTGGATGCGAACGAAGTTAATTGAAAAATGCTAAAACCCCGACTCGGAAGCTGCTCAGCGATCTCACGCACGAGAACGAACAGCTGACAAGCACCTTTGTAATCGTCTTTCGGAAAATTAAGAGTTTGATATTGTTGATTCCTGTCAGATGGAATTTGTCGCTGGCTTCAATTTTTATCAACAGGGTTCACTAGGGTTCTTATAACGTATATTTTACTTGTGGCCAGCTTGAGGGGGGATTTTGATTGCGCTATCTAAGCAACAAGTATAAGTTTTGTAGAAGTATAAGTTTGGTAGAGAGGTTTCGCCATAGATGTTTTTGTAAAGACTTCGCAGTCAAGTTCATTCTTAAAATTATACAGAACACGAGCAATATACAGAAACACTATTTAGGCAACAAACAGAGAGAGACAGAGAGAGCGGGATTAAGAATTACCGGTACTAAAAAGTTAATCTACCGGTTACTCTTCTTTTCAGGACTTAATTGAGTATAGTTCTATATAATATATAATTCTATTTACTCTCCTCGTACGTTAAAAATGCGACCCATTTATACTAGCTAGAAGAGTTATATAGTATAACACTTAGGTCATACACTTGTCATGTTTCAGAATTCTGTCCCTTTAAGGCCGCATATGTACATCTAACCTTTTAAGTTTAGGACTTTTTAATTAAGCGACCGGGCCGTTCGGAATGATTCCTAGGCGCGCTACGGGGCTTGGTCCGACTTTCTCAGTACCACTTAAGTTGTAGTATTACTGAATACCAAGACTAAAAGAGGATACCGCAAACTTGAAAAATTAGATGTACATATGCGGCCTTAAAGGGATATTTTACTCCATTCTAACTCTTTACCGAGATCATGTAAAGTAGACGTAAACAAAGCCTCTTTACAATCTGTTAACCCAGTTATGTATACACTATCAAAGGTTGTTCATCATGACAAGATTTGGTAGTAAAACTTCTCTAATGCAGGCCCGGGGTTTCGGAGTTTAGCACTTTATCCCACATGTCGAAGATAAACCTTAGGTGCTTGCAGTCAGTGAAGAAGTTTAACCTTAATCCAGGCCTGGACCTCTCTGGCTACCACGCCTTTTCTGCTTTTTACAAGTTGTAAGATCCCTAGCGGCATACTTCCATAATATCACAAGCAGGCACGCAATTCTGCCCTCTACTCTTTGCGACCCTTTCCAGCTTCCCCTTTCCCCGTGCTTGATATCTATCTCCCTGTTCGGTCTTTTCTCTTATCCTTCTAACCCCCGTGAGAGCGGGCTGCACAGTATACACATGGAACACAAAGTTGATTCTCCACAGCGAGATATTTAGGGCTACTTCCATTTACTTTGTCCCAAGCGAAACAAATTTAACTCTTTCAGGGAGTTTTAACCTGTTGCGAAGCTTAGCCGCCCTAGGTGACACTCATGCCGCCTAGGACGAAGTAAGTCCCGCATTCTGTAAGTTTCCTGTGAGTTTGTGACTTACTCGCCGTGTTAAAAAACCCGAAAGATGCGTTTATACTTCTACATTTCCAATCCGCTTTGAAATCTAATAGACAGATTTCGTCGTCAACTTTAACTTTGTAGATGAAGTTGTTTGGCGTAAATGCGGAGTGCATACAACGTGCATATATACACTTATAACTTGTGGAGGGATCTTGATTGCGCGACTTTAGTGACAAATTATCGTTCCTTAAGGTATAGAACTTATATCAGATGCGTAACGAAGTTCGAGCCCGATTTGTGTTAAATATACCGTGCGATTCTACTAGCGAGATTAAGTAGAGAAGGCTAGATAACTTCAATTGTCGCACAGAGCCGGCTACGGTTAGTCACTAATTTATGTAATAACTTGCGACCTGAGCGTAGTTAGAATTGACTATATTTGATCCTCTCCTGTCTCTGAACGTTCCTGTATCTTTACACCTTTGGCACAGTCATTGCATGGATTTTGTACGCCTTTTTGAACGAACTTGACACAAAATCATCGACAAAGATAAATGAGAAATCTCTCTGAAAAATACCCAATAGAATCCAGAAATCACCCAGATCCGTTTCGAACTTTGGGGCCCGGAGAGTATGATTTATGTATTCCAAGACATGAGATAAATAGGTATGTTCCTGTTTTCTTTCCCATGGGTATTAGTGGTGCAAAAGGTATGCATCTTGATTTATGGCATGGTTCCGGTTTCCGCAGCAGCTTTCAACCATGTCTCTCTCTCCTGTAATCCCTTGAACCACTTGTCCACATTCGAATACTTGGCGAATGCCTCCTTCCACTTACCCGCCTTTAAACTCGCTCCATTGGGCAGATGAAACAGATCAGCCAAGGTCAATTCGTCCCCCGCAATATATTTTTGTTTTTCCAAAACCTTGTCATAAAACGAAAGAACTGTATCGAGGTCCGTTTCTGCCTGAGCAACTCTGGCTCTGTCGGGTGGACCAAGGCCCTTTGCTCTGCGAGACTTACTATCAGCCAAAATACGAAAGCAGTAGAATGGGTAGACGAAAGGTGGGGACGGATTTACGGTTTGATAAAAAGCTCGGTTCCTATAGTCTCGGCTGCTGCAGCAAAATAACTTTATTCCACTGAACACGCTTGCTCAAAGCGACCGTATGCCTCATCGTCCTCCGGGATCAACTTCTTTCCCGAAGGATACTTTCTATAAGGGCTTATTAGAGGGCGACTCATGCATTTGTAGATGCACCACTGCAAATTATTACCGGCTTAGATACTTGCAGATAGCCCTGCTCTCAAACATCAAGAATCCGTTATCATCCAAAGCGGGTACCTTTCCAAAAGGCTGCAGCTTTTTATACTCCTCGTTTTTATGCTCCCCCTTAGCAATGTCAACAAGGACAAGCTCGTATGGTAGCTCCTTCTCGAGAATTGTGACCAAGACGCGAGATGTGGTCATGGCTGAGCCATATAATTTGAGAACCATCTTTGTCGTTGCAGCTTAGGATGGGATGATGGTTGATACATGGAATAAGGTGGGCGCGCGGGGTCTGAACGAGAAGCGAGGCGGGGTCAGCCTAGCTCCCCCACCTGTGCACTGTAGACAGTACGGATCAACCTCGGCACTCCTGCAAGGAGTGCGTTTCGCTTACCAGCACATACAACTCCAACCTCGTTTCGTAAATCTCCGCCAAGTTATACATCCCTAATTTTTATTGATACATTCCTTTTGAGTCATCACACCTCTTAATGCCAACAATATACTCTTGATCTAGTTCAATAAAGTTTGACCAGTGTTCTGAATACCACGATTGCTACCCGTGACATAAAATAGTAGGTTAGCGGCGTTTATAGAGATGGATATAGCTGTACAGCAGGATCATTCATTCCTGCTCGTCATCTGAGTTATTTTCCCTTGATCACCTCTAGATCAAATCTCAGATTTGCCATCATGCCCTCCACCAGCAACCCATTGCATGTTCCTGTCGCAATTGTCGGCATGGCATGCCGCTTCCCAGGCGATGCCACATCGCCATCCAAGTTTTGGAAGCTTTTGCAGAATGGGAAGGGTAGGTCATGCTGGTTGCGCTATCACTTAAAGCCATTCAACTAACAGAGCGAAGATGCTTACTATGCAACAACAAACCGCTATAACGCGGATGCCTTCTACCACCCGAATGCTGCTAATCGACAAAATGTTTTGGCTACCAAAGGTGGCCATTTTCTCAAGCAAGATCCCTATGCATTTGATGCCGCTTTCTTTAATATTACAGCAGCGGAAGCCATGTCATTTGATCCTAAACAACGCACAGCCATGGAGGTTGTGTATGAAGCTTTGGAAAACGCCGGCAAGCCTCTAAGTCGAGTCGCTGGCACCCAGACTGCGTGTTACATTGGTTCCTCAATGAGCTACTATCGAGATGCTGTTGTACGAGACTTTGGACATAGCCCTAAATACCATATTCTGGGAACCTGCGAGGAGATGATCTCTAACCGTGTCTCCCACTTTCTGGATATTCATGGTCCTAGTGCGACTATTCACACAGCCTGTTCATCGAGTCTTGTAGCAACTCACCTTGGTTGCCAGAGTCTACAATCTGGAGACTCAGAAATGGCGCTTGTCGGCGGCGTTGGTATGATTATTAGTCCAGATGGGAATATGCAACTAAACAACTTGGGATTCCTAAATCCCGAGGGCCATTCGAGAGCGTTCGACAAAATTCAGGGGGCTATGGCCGAGGAGAGGGCTGCGGGATTCTTGTCTTAAAGCGACTGGATCGTGCTATGGAAGACGGTGACTCGATTCGAGGAGTTATTCGGGCCTCTGGTGTCAATTCAGACGGGTGGACGCAGGGTGTAACAATGCCTTCGAGCGAAGCACAGGCAGCCTTGATAAAATATGTTTATACATCACATGGGTTGGATTATGGTTCAACGCAATACGTCGAAGCCCATGTAACTTAAATAAGATCCGAAGCGTTAATGTGAGCTGACTACAGATTAGGGTACAGGCACGAAAGCTGGAGATCCGCAAGAGGCGGGGGCAATCCATAGAACGATAGGACAGGGCGCTACAAAATCACGCAAGCTATGGATTGGCAGCGTTAAGCCAAATGTAAGTGTATCACTCATTAACGTTAATGTGGCTAATATTCAACATTGGGCACCTCGAAGCTGCAGCAGGTGTAGCCGATATCATCAAGGGGGTTCTAGCTATGGAAAATGGACTAATCCCGCCAAATATCCATTTCACGGAGGCAAATTCTGCTATTCCACTGGATGAATGGAACATGGCTGTTCCTACGAAGCTGACCCCTTGGCCAATTACCCAAGGCGAACGGCGTATGAGCGTCAGTGGTTTTGGGATGGGAGGTACCAATGGACATGTCGTTTTAGAGTCGTTCACTCCTGGACGTAGGAAACTCATAAATGGCACACTCTCGATAGGCCACCACGCCCATAACCCTAATTTCCAGACCAATCGACATAGCAAGAAACGGTTGTTTCTGATCAGCAGCCAAGATCAGGCTGGCTTCAAACGTGTAGGTGACTCACTGGTTGAGCACTTGGATAGTCTTGGCCCCGTCGCGTCGACGCCGGAATATCTGGCCAATCTTGCACATACCTTTGCAGTAGCAAGGTCTGGCCTATCTTGGAGAGCGAGTATACTGGCTGAAAGTGTAGCTGAGCTACGTGATAAACTTTCAACAGAACCAGGCGCAAATGCCACTCGAGCAGCAAGTAGTGGATCACGGATTGGGTAAGTCTTGACTCGTAACAAGAAATATCAGATGTACTAACTCTACGATTCTTAAAGGTTTGTTTTTACAGGACAAGGAGCTCAATGGGCTCGGATGGGCCTCGAATTACAGGACAGGCCGGTTTTCAAGGAATCTATAGCAAAATCTGCGAAGGTCTTGGAAAGTCTCGGCTGTGAATGGGATATAATCGCCGAACTAGCTAAAGGCAACGATGAATCTCGTCTCAGCATACCCCTGCTTTCACAACCCATTTGCACAATTCTACAAGTTGCATTGGTCGACGAATTGAGGTTCTTGGGTATAATGCCGTTGAAGGTTATTGGCCATTCAAGTGGCGAGATTGCTGCAGCTTATGCTATTGGTGCTCTATCCCATGAGGATGCTGTTGCAATCGCTTACTTTAGTGGTAAAGTGTCGGCTGGACTAACAAACCTCAAAGGAGGCATGATGGCTGTCGGATCGTCTCCAGAAGAAGCCCAGAAGCTGATTCTTGATGCCAAACTCACTACTGGCACTGTTACTGTCGCTTGCGTCAATTCGCCTTCTAGCGTCACACTTTCAGGTGATGTAGCAGCACTTGAAGAATTGAGAGCCATCTTGGACGAACGTGGTGTGTTCGCTAGACGGCTGAAGGTTGAGGTGGCCTATCACTCTAGCCATATGAACTCTGCCATGGCTGAATATTTTTCGTTGATTTCCCATATTCAGCCTGAAAAATCATCTCCAGGGCAGCCTATCCAAATATCGAGTGTTATGGGTGTTGAGGTAGACTCTGAACTATTGGGTCACTATTACTGGGTTCGCAACCTCATCTCGCCAGTGCTTTTTGCCGACGCTATTAAAGAAATGGTTATGCCTTCCGATGGAGATGGAAAGAACACCATTGACCTATTGTTAAAGATTGGCCCTCACAGTGCCCTCAATGGACCAATTGAACAGACTTTGGCTCACCATGGTATTAAGAACGTTGCTTACACCTCAGCGCTGATTCGCAACGAAAACTCACTGGATTCCATATTGAAACTTGCTAGCGAGCTGTCACTTCAAGGCGTGTCGTTCGACGTGCAAAAAGCCAACGGAGATTCAAATTGCAAACTTCTCACTGCTCTTCCCCCATATCCATGGTAAATATGACAATCTTTAGGCCCATTAAACTATAAGCTGACGAGTCCACCCGTCATACAGGAACCATTCGAAGAGTTTCAGAGCCGACTCTCGCATCCATAGGGAGCTTATCAATCAAGAGTTTCCGACCAGGAGCTTGATTGGGGCGCAGCTTCCTGCAATGGCTGAAAACTCATACGAGTGGCGGAGCTTCATCCGACTTTCAGAAGAGCCTTGGCTCCGTGGCCACACCGTTGGTACTATTGTTCTATTTCCAGGAGCGGGAATTTTCAGTATAGTCTTAGAAGCCACCCAACAACTCGTAGACAAGGCAAAGACAGCCCGCGCCTTTAGGTTGCGTGATGTTAACCTCTTTGCTGCTATGGCTCTTGTAGAAGATCAGGCTACCGAGGTCATTATTCACTTGAGATCGCATCTCGTTGCTACTACTGGATCCACACAAACTACCTGGTGGGAGTTCACGGTCTCTTCATGTGTTGGCACAGGCCAAATGAGAGACAATGCAAGAGGCTTGGTCACAATCGACTACAATGAAATTCAAAGTCAACAAATGGATGTCGAGGACGCCATGATTCGTACCGCACAAATTGCTGACTACCATCGCGTTCTCCAAGACTGCCCAGAGACTTACTCCAAGGATAGATTTTAAAACCATATGACCAAAGCATCGTGGACTTATGGCGAGCTCTTCCAAGGGGTGGAGAATTGCCATCCCGGATACGGCAAGACAGTTTTTGATATCAGACTTGTTGATATCGGGGAGACATTTAGCAAGGGTCAACTTGCACGACCATTTCTAATGAATGCTGCATCCCTCGATGCGGTATTCCAGAGCTGGCTCGGAGCTACATACAAAAACGGTGCCTTCGAGTTTGATAAACCTTTTGTTCCAACTGCTATTGGCGAGTTGGAAATATCCGTTGATATCCCAGCCGATGCCGACTATGTCATGCCAGGATTTTGTCGTGCAGAAGGTTATGGATTCAACGAGCTATCCGCTGACATCGCCCTTTTTGATAAAGATATGACGAAGGTATTTTTATCGGTGAAAGACTTCAGAACGTCTGAGTTAGAGATGGAATCAGGCAAGCCTGACGGAGAAAGCGTTGAGGTTGATCCAGCCGACATTACATCCGAAGTCAAGTGGAATTACAATATAAATATGCTGGACACCCACCAAATCAGTCAAATCATGAGCAGGTTTCCAGCTCAGGGAAGGCTCACCGAGGTAACAACCAACCCAATCTTTTAACACCATTTTCCAGAGTGCTTTCTGCTAACGTCGGTGTAATGAAATATAGCTTGTCCGTATGATACTCCACGTGAATCCAGAGATAGCAGTTACAGAGTTGATCTCAGAGGCCAATGATCGTATAAAGGCATCTGTAGCACAATTGCCTGACGGTGCCTTTCTCCCAAGTCGTGTACGCTATGCTATTCCAATTACAATACCTGGCGACGGGGCCAAATTTCAGTGCCTTGATGGGGCTGGTTCTACACTGCCTGTGAATGAGGCTTCTGCTGACCTTTTAATCGTTTCGCTTGGTGCTTCAGACTCAGAGACGCTCGGAAGCCTCCTTTTGTCGGCAAGTCAGCAACTGATGAAACGCGAAGCCTATATCATCGTTACTGCCAACAATAATGCTACTGCTTCATCTTTGGTAGACAGGGGTTTCAATATAGTGTCGAACATTGATGACCACAACTCTCTTGCTCTGTACATACATCAAGAACCAAACCCGGAAGTATTGTCGCAACAGCCATCGGATCAGGAGGTTGTTATTATCCAGCCAGCGACAGCAACAGCGGTTTCTGGAGAATTTTCTGCGGTATTCTACAAGTCTCTACAGCACCAAGGCTACAAAGTTCTCTCCAAATCCTGGAACGATGGTATAACGGCGTCGGATGTCAAAGGCAAAATTATTGTATCCCTACTAGAGCTGGAGCAGCCACTTCTGGATAGATTGTACGAGCATGACTTCGAAGGCTTACGAACTATAGTTTTGAACTCTGAGAGAATCCTCTGGATTAGTGCTGGCGAAAATCCTGCACTTGGAATGGTGGACGGGTTTGCAAGGTGCATGATGAGCGAGAATGCTGGTATCAAGTTCCAGCTCTTGCATCTTACCGCGACAACAGGATTAAAAGATGGCCCATCTCTTGTAACCCGCATCCTTAGCACAAACAGCGTTGACAATGAATATCGAGAGTTGGACAGCATCCTTCAAGTGGCGCGCATTTTTAAAAATCACAAGCAGAACGAAAGTATCCGCCATCACTTGGAAGACTCCACTCGTCTTGAATCTTTGGCAGAAGGGGATGAAGCTCTCCGGCTCACCATTGCGAAGCCTGGTCTTTTGGACACTTTAAAGTTTGTCTCGGACGAGCGTATGCTACCGTCACTTAATGAATTCGAGGTTGAAATTCAGGTGAAGGCGACGGGAATCAAGTAAGTACAGCGTGAAGTCCTTTGTTGATAAAAGAAATTCTAACCTGGCTTGATTGCTTGTAGTTTCGAGATATTATGGCTTGTATGGCTCTGATTCCCGTTAAAGCGCTGGGTCAAGAAGCGAGTGGGGTAATAGCGAGAACAGGAAGTAAGGTGACCGATTTCAAGGTTGGTGATCGCGTTAGCACTATAAGTGTTGGAATACACGCAACGAGGATACGAGTCGACCAACGTGGCCTCGCCAGTATCCCCGATTCTCTTTCTTTTGAAGATGCAGCGGCAGTCGGTGTAGTACACATGACAGCATATTACGCTTTTTCCTGTGTAGCAAGGCTCCAGAAAGGACAGTCTGTTTTGATACACGCTGCAGCGGGAGGTGTAGGGCAAGCGGCAATCCAGTAAGTTTCGTCATATACCGTTGGATTCAAATGTGACACCTCTGACATTACGATTTTCCTTAAACTAGCGAAACATCTTGGCCTTACCATCTATGCTACTGTTGGAACAGAGGACAAGCGCGAACTTATCGTCAAAGAGTACGGCATTCCCGATGAGCACATTTTCCACTTGCGAGATGCTAGCTTCGTAAAGGATAGACTTTCCCCTAGCTATGTTACCACCACTTCGTAGTCTAATTACCCAACAGGGAATTAATCGAGTCACGGGTGGTCGTGGCGTCGATTGTATACTCAATTTCTTGTCCGGTGAGCTCTTGAGGGCCTCCTGGGGTTGTCTTGCGACATTTGGAAACTTCATTGAGATTGGTCTACGTGATATTACAAACAACATGCGCCTCGATATGCGGCCTTTCCGGAAGAGCACTACGTTCACATTTATAAACAACCATACCCTATTCGAAGAAGATCCTGACGCCTTCTATGATGTGTTTCACAAAACTTTCAAGTTAACAGAAGAAGGCATTCTTCGGCCTCCAAGCTCTGTGATGGTATATCCAGTTGGTCAAGTCAAAGATGCCTTCCGGACCATGCAACAGGGCAAGCACCGTGGTAAACTAGTTTTGTCATTCGCAGATGATTCCAGAGCCCCCATCCAACGAAAAGCCAAGGACTTATTGAAGCTGGATCCTAAAGCTACATACCTTTTCGTTGGAGGCTTGGGTGGTTTGGGCCGCAGTCTTGCGAAACAGTTCGTGGCGTCAGGAGCTCAGAATATCGCGTTTCTCTCACGATCTGGTGGTACTACACTCCAGGTAAAAGCTGTCATTGCCGAACTCTCGGCTATGGGGGTACAGATCAAGGCGTATTCCTGCGATATAGCTGATTCATCATCCTTCCAAGCAGCTATGGCAGAATGCGCGCAAGACCTTCCACCAGTCAAGGGTGTTATTCAGATGGCCATGATACTACGGAACATTGTTTTTGAGAAGATGTTTTTGAGAAGATGTCATACAACGAATGGACTATTCCTTTAGGACCAAAGGTGCAAGGAACATGGAATCTCCATGAATATTTCAACCGCGAGCTCCCGTTAGATTTCATGATTTTCTATTCCTCGAGTTCGGGCATCTACGGATATCCTAGTCAAGCACAATATGCTGCCGGAAACACATATCAAGACGCTCTAGCCCACTACCGACGCTCCCAAGGTCTGAAGGCCATTTCGGTAAATCTTGGTATCATGCGAGATGTTAGTGTATTTGCGGAATCTGGCACCAGTGGAAATATCAAAATCTGGGAAGAGGTCCTGGGAATTCGCGAACCGGCCTTCCATGCTCTTATGAAGAGCTTGATCAACCAGCAAATGGGAGACATTCGTAGCGATTGTCCTGTGCAAGTTTGTACTGGATTGGGTACCGCTGATATTATGGCTGCCCATGGTCTTGCCAAACCGGGGTATTTCGAAGACCCACGTTTTGGACCTCTTGCTGTCACCAGTCTTGGTATCACTGGCTCAGCAGAGACCCAAGGCTCTTCTGAATCACTTGCTGCAAGACTCCACAAGGCCACTAGCATGGATGAAGCAACTGAAATCATTAAAGAGGCGTTGGTCAACAAGATAGCTGATATCCTCCAAATGCCAGCTTCAGAAGTTGATCCGAGCCGGGCGCTATATCGCTACGGAGTGGATTCCCTTGTAGCGCTTGAAGTGAGGAATTGGATCACAAGAGAAATGAAGGCGAATATGGCATTGCTGGAAATTCTAGCAGCTGTGCCTATTGAAAGCTTTGCTGCTAAGATTGCTGAGAAGAGCAAATTGGTTACTGTGCTTTAGATAAAAGTTCAGTTTTGTAGAACTTGAGTAATCTCACAAATTTCATCGTTTAACAACTGTGAAGTCCTGTCATAACAACTTCAAAACTCACGAACTTCTTAGGATAAGGTGGTCATACAAATCACGCCAACAGAAGAGCTGAAACGTAATGAAGGCAGTAAATAGCAGACAAAATCAAATATCGATGAGGCAGTCGTTTGAGAACGAATAGATTGGCCCTCAGACTCCATTTGGCGCACAAGGAGTAAGGTTTCGTGACATGATAATTAGACTGCCGCTTAGCTGGTTGCACTGTCATGACAACGCAGCAGTTGATACTCCTAAAAGTAAAACCTCGATAGTTTCTGGTGCCAGGTCCGGGGTGCTACATTATTTCTGCAAGAGCCTTCATCCTCCCATCGACTAGTTTGTGAATCTTGCCTTGAGAAGTGCTGAGTGCTGTTGCTCATGCATGACCAGATGCGTAGCCTTAAAGCTCCATAGTTTAAATAACTTAATTATCGATGCTTGAACCCAAAGCATACAGTCTTTCTTGGTAGTTACGATAGGCTTTAACTGCCAAACTCACAGTGTTTATCATATCTAAACAAAATCGAAATCAAGTTACTGTAACATATGCTTTTTTCGGCGAATCATGAAAAAGTATACCTGCAATGGCAAGCACTAGGTTAGCCTCCGTACATACATATGTTCTGTGTAAGCAAATGGTAGAGAACTCAACTTATATTTAACATCAGCTGCGTAAAAAAGACATCGTGATTCGACGGCTGATTTACTACAAAGCCCTGCAAAAGAATATCGCATTCCTGTTCCACGCACAACTGCTTGGAGCTACTGTTTGACTATGGGGCTGCCACTTCCCAACGATGATAGTAAACAATGGGACCCATTCGCAACCCGTACAAGATTGTTACTGGTCGTGGTTTCAGTAAGAAAATATCCATATCTCTTTGTTCAAGGCACCTTTAACTCTAGTCTGTCTAAAGCTGCTCTTCTCATGGTTTTTCATTCTGAATCCCATCCGTCTACTCTTCTTCCACCCATTAAGTAAACTCGCTGGTCCGAAGACCTGGGCCGTCACTCGCTGGAGCGTTTCGCGAGCAATTATTTCAGGTAAATCCCACGATATCATTCTCGATTTACATAAAAAGTACGGACCCATGGTACGAATCGCACCTGATGATCTGGCCTTCCAGTCCATCTCTGCCTGGACAGACATTGGTGGCCACCGCAGAAATGGTCTGGCGGAAATGAGGAAGCAGCCCGTCTTTAATGAAACCTTCAAGGACAATCTGCTCGGTGTCGGTCCACGTGAAGATCATTCGAGGATGCGTAGGATCTTATCCCGCGGATTTGCAGCCTCAACATTGCAAAGGCAAGAGCCTTTTCTCAATTCTTACGTCGATAAACTCATTTCCGAACTCTCGAAACGGTGCGATGATGGTAAAGCGCTGATCAGTATCGAAACTTGGTACAGTTTCATTGCATTTGATATCATTGGTGGGTTGTTGTCCACTCTATCTTTGATATGTAACCATCAACCAATAATTAAATGTGAAATATGTAGGTGATTTGACCTTTGGGGAATCTTTCGGTTCTCTTGATAGTGGAGGCCATCATGTCTTCGCCTCTCTAGTCTTAAGCACTACGAGATTCGTCACTCTCGCCAACTGCCTGAAGAGAATTGGCGCAGTCTGCCTACCTTTTCTGTTCTTCATCAGTAAGACTTGTGCCACTCCGCATTGCCAATATCTCTCTTTCTCAAGACTCTAATTCCTTGTTTTCTAGTGCCAAAAGGGCTCAGTAAGAGGGTAAAAGACAATGAGCAGTTGAATGACGCCAAAATTCAAAGACGTCGTGCGGTTGGCACTGAAAGACCCGATTTCATGACAGCTATGATCGGTAACGGCGAAAACGGGGAGTCTCTATCGGAGGCTGAGATTACTTCAAATTGCCCTGCGCTTATGCTTGGAGGCGCGGAGACCATTTCCAGCTCTCTTAGTGGCACAACTTACTACCTGGCGACGAACCCTCTTGCATTAGTGAAGGCGGTCAACGAAGTTCGTTCGGCTTTTCCCCGCGAAGAGCAAATTACATTACCAGCGACAGGTCAGCTTAAATATCTCAATGCTGTTCTCACCGAATCATTACGAATGTTCCCGTAAGTTTAACAATTATTTCAGCCTTTAGAAAATGATACAAAATATTGAAAATATTTAGTCCCTTTTCTGGAGCCTCGCCGAGAGTGGTTCCCAGTGGCGGCGCTACAATCGCTGGACAATTTATTCCAGAAAATGTATGTCATACTATCCGCAACATTGCCCAGTTTTACTCGCACGTGGCTTAACTAACAATTTACCTAGACTGTTGTTGGTATCTGGCATTGGAGCATGTCTAGGAGTCCAAGATATTTCTTGCATCCTGATGAATTCCATCCAGAGCGCTGGCTTGATGATCCTCGTTTCAAGAACGACCAGAAGCAAGCTTATCAGCCGTTCGCTGTTGGGCCACGCAATTGTATTGGGATGAACTTGGCGTATGCCGAGCTCCGTCTGGTTATAGCGCGGGTCTTATGGAACTTTGACTTGCAGCTTGATGAGTGTTGTTCGAATTGGGTAGACGATTGCCCTGAGTATTTCGGCTGGGAGAAAGTTCCCCTCCTGGTTCGCCTTGCCCCTGTACAGAGGTAGCAAAGGTGCATGGGGAATGATAAGGATGTTAAGTTACAGAATCTACAGCAGAGTTAATACAATTGAATTTTTGCCTTCTGCCAGTTGCCATCTTCAAGCGAAACTATGGTATGAAACACAAAAGTCAAAATATTTGCTATAAGCGCAATGAGTAAACGTGTGAGCTGGCTGAAAAAAGTACATGAGACATTGTTAAGTAGATATCAGAGTACGGCGATGGAAACTAACTTTGTGGTTTAGGAAGGTTGGTGGTGGTAGGAATGATATGGAAGCTCATAATGGCTTAATGAAGCTTTTTCTTTCAAAAGTATACGCATTATTGTCATTCTAGTCGCAAGAAGATATATGGTTACTCATTACGAAACCTCAATAACTCACACTATTATCTCCGTATGTATCACCTTAGCTTCGCATACCAGCCCACCAATAAGATCCAAAATAAGACACAACTTCACAGCGCCTTGATCAACGCTGCCAAATCGTACCTAAACGTGAGTTACGTGACACGATCGGTAGGTGTATCAGCTAGAGATCTGTGGCCATATGGTACCAAGCGAAAAAAATGGGTCGATAATATATATCGCGCATATTCGGATAAGTTACTCTGCAATGCTCCGTATATAGAAACCAGCCATATAAATCTCACATGGCGCATAGGCCAATTGCATGCTTCAGCTTTAGCGCGTGATCCACTAGTACTATTCACCTAGCTCAAAAAACAATTTATCCTTTGAAGTAACGCAGTTCAAGTCAACCAACAACGAGCAACTTCGAAGTAGCTCAATTTGTTGTTGGCCAGCCATAAAAAAACCAGGTAATGCTGTGTTAAACCCGGGCGGCTTGCTCCTTGCTATACTGTATGCTTAGTGGGAGTTGGTTAGGATTTTTTGCCGTTTTTTATATATAGTATTTTTTTTAGAGGTTCTTTAATCTTTTGATCTTTTTGAGAAAGTTAAGCGATACGAAATTTTTGGTTCAAGCGCTCGCTACATTTTGTACATACAGTATACAGTAATAAGTTAACACCAGGTGGAAAAAGTGACTTGCAGTATTTTGTCCGTGCATTTTGCCCTTTTTTTATTACAACATTATTGACAGTGCTATAAAAAAATAATACCACTTCCTACGAATTAGTGACAATACTGTAGTGTACAGACTAATAAACCCTAGGTTGTATTGTCCACCTGATGGTTAAGTTAAGCGAGGTTCAGCCTCTTAGCGCGACGTCCTTCCCTTGTAAATCACCTATTACAACAAGTCGTTTCAATAGATATTTTCTCTATATTCTCATTAATCTTTCTATAAAACAAATCCCGATACGTATCTAAGAACGAAATCGCTCCGGTTCAACGCTACACTCTTTCTATGCTATTGTAACCATCAAATCGACGAATTGATCAACACTACCAGTGGTTCGTTAATTAGTACGCATGGTGGAATAGACAGTATTATTTGATCACTTCTAGGATGCGAATTATTCGTCATCTAAATTAATAATTGTAGTTGGTTTTAATTAAAGCACACCTCTCGCCCAAGAAAGTAAATACTTGTAAAGCAACCTAAAATAATAAGTAATTAAAGCACAATGCCTCGCAAGTCCTCTAAACCGAAACAAGCAAAAAGTGAAGCTATTCCCAAATACGATTATTTTGCCTTTGTTTTACGTCCGGCACCAAGTCTCGCTCTACTTCGTCCTTTTTTTAATAGTGTTGTTTCCTGTCTTTTTAGCTGTCTTTTGTCGTTTTTATTATGCTGGGGGTGGAAAGAAGGGTGCAAAGTTGACGCTAGACGGCGACATAGCCGGGTCGGCAGCGTCTATATCTATATTAAAGTAACAGTAAGAACAATAATAGTAGTGAAGTAATAAGGGAAGGGGCGGGGAACACAGACCCTCATATAGATTTCTATGTTGTTGTAGTGTTTACTTGCCACATTCTATTCTTTATTCTACACCTACCACCCTACTTGTTCCGCACTGTAATACTCGTAAGCCATAACAAAAGGCCATTATGGAATGGATTATCGTATTTGTGACGTCTATAATAGTATTCCTATGGTACGGCGGTTGCAATAGTCTGATTGGTCAAACTAGGAAATCCAGGGTTACCATAGCACATCTCTCTTAAGTAGAAAAGCAGATATCTCTCCGATACTAATATCAACTCAGGATCTATTTTTAGTAGCTGCCGCCTCAGCAGTCAATTTCAATGCTCTGGGTGCATCATCCTTCGGTATGTAAATCTCTACAAATTGCAGAGTATCCGCAGCAGTAAAATCCTCATCCCCAAAGATCTTTTTAACCTCTTCTTTCGTCTTGATTTGATACGTCTTGTACGTTCCTTCTTTAGCGCCGAAGACTTTAACAAGATCTTTGAAAGACCAGGTTGCAATGTCATTGTATGTAGCGTCGAATCCGTGGATGAATCGTTCGATGGTGTAGCCTTCGTTGCAAATGACGAAGCCAAAGTCTGTCAGTGAGCAGAACGAAGCCTTGGAAAGAAGCATACATAATTGGTTTCAAGTTTAGGCGAATTAAGGTACTTAATTCCTGAGCAGTCAGTTGAAAACTGCCATCCCCAACAAATAAAATGGTTCGCCTCTTCTCGTCCATGTCTCTGGCCGCAAGCGCAGCACCCTGGCAAGCACCGACCGAGTATCCAATACTACCCCAGAGCACTTGACTAATGGCCGTAACAGCCTTCGGAAACTTTGTCTCCAAGATTCCAAAATCTGCCGTGCCTGTTTCGGTGACGACAATGTCTTTTTCTTTGAGAAATTCGCCGATTTTGGGCCAGATCCAAGCTTGTGTAATGGTGGGTACGTTATCTTCGTTTTCTGGAAATTTGTTCTTAGCGATTGGACCGGGAACTGGGGAGAGTTGTTTGTGGTCGACTTTTCCAATTATTTTGCGGAGGACACCGCGCATGTGGACGCCTGGATACTCAGAATAGCGAACTGCTATGTGGGTGCTGTGAAAGTCAATTGTGTTCAATTGTGAGGTTTTATACGAGAAGCCACCAGTGTTGAAATCGGACTACGACCATCGCTATTCTGACTATTCTATTCTGCATTCTGAGACAAGTTTTTAGTTGCGATGGACTTACATTGATGGCTCCTATTGTTAAGATCAGATCCTCTGTCCCAGAAACCACCCACCATATGCTATCCGGCAGTGAAGATCAATGTCGGAAGCTCCAACACTCCCTCAAAAATGGCACACAAACAGACAGACAGAGCGTATGGTCTCTATTAGTTCCAGTTACAGCTTCTTGGGGAGACAAGCCTTGTGTTTGAAGCAGCACTTGAGGCCCGTCTACAGAACTACCCCTCGGAGCTTGATAGTAACACTAATGACGAAAATAGAAGAAAGTGTAGTCCTTGAGCCGCAAGTACAAATTCCACGAACATATCACGCGATTAGGATTCCTTCATTTAGGTTTCTTTACTTCATCGACCATTTGTAAACATGCTCATTGTTCAAATTAATAGTTATTGCGATAATCGTAGGCGTGGCACTACTGGTCCTTCGCAAGCTCCGGAAGTAGGTATATTTAATTAGGTGGTTATATTTAATTAGGAGTTTCTGGCCCGTGCGGTATAGGGGTGGTCTCTCCTACTAAAAAATGGATTTGTATATAAATTTATATGGTACAGATTTACGATTTAGAGATAGAACCTATGAGGCTATACGAGTATTTTTTAAGTACAACTTAAAAAGGTAAAATTAAGGCTATTCCTAATTCTACTAATTACTTCTATTACTAAACCGCTGACTACCTTATATTTAAGTACTATCTATAGCCTACCTATTTTTATAATTTACCTAGGTATACTAACTCTTAAAGTTAAGACCTTCAATAATACTAAAAGTAAGTTAATTAAGGGTGGTTGTATATTACTACGATTTTTAGAAGATATAGTATTACATAGCTATTCGAGGGTATCGCGTGCCTAAGGTGGTGTTAATACTCCTCGCGAACCCCTGTGCCACTAATCAAATCGTCTCTATACCGCATAGTCTAGAAACGCCTAATTAAATATAACCACCTAAATAAATGCACCTACTTCCGGAGCTTACGAAGGACCAGTAGTGCCACGCCTACGATTAATGCCAACTTGTCTCCTCTACGTCTTTGATAACATTATCGTACTATAGCTAATATCGTACTAGTAAGTTTCAATATTGTTTGCCACCCAACCCGAAATTAAAGATATACTAATCTTATTACTAAGCCGGTATGCACTCAGATCTTTCCAACTTGCGGAGGAGCCAACATTCTTTTCTAGTGCATCTCAATTGTTATCGTGTACAACGTTGAAGTAAGCGGAGTTGTTCTCGGTTCTGTAATCTTTGCAGAATGTGTTACGTCGCCCGGTAGAGTGATCGTTCCCAGTATTATTTTAGTCAATGTACGAAGATACTGTACGTGTCTTGAAATAAGACATACTGTTTGTTTCGTTTCACCAGGGCGTATCAAGGGTTATGGTACCAAGTAAACAGGGATTTCTCAGCCTGCCACTTGACATAACTACTGGCACGTGTCCAGTGTTCCGTGGTTCATGGAGCAGGTCGTGTCTAATAAGTAGCTTGCAGGTGAAAGGGTCACACCAAAGGCTCTCTTGACTTCACCGACTACGACCAACCAATAGCCGTTCCAACACAACCAACTACCATTGAAGTCTGCTTATGAGAAGTTCAGCTTCCCTCTCAAGTCATTGACCTAGATCGAGTTTAGCCTTTTCCCACTCTTTCTCGAATATTAACACCATGGAGGCAATTCCACCGCCCACACAAGACCCCTTTTCGCGTCCCCCGGATATCTGCCTTCGTCGCTGCATTCCAACCCATATGACAGTGTGAATTTGTTCAAGGATGTCAAGTGTAAGAAGGCTATGGGGATCCATTGGGACACTTGGTATCTTACGGAGGAACCAGCACTTGGGCCGGCGAAGATACTAAAGGATGCTTTGGTGAAAGCTGGTATTCCAGAGACGGGAACATTTGATGTTTTTGAGCCTGGTGAAAGTCAGGAATTTTAGCTTCAAGCATAGGAAATGGAATTACAGGAACTCTCACGAATCATAATCGGAACTGATCTTGAAGCAAAGTTCGTGATTGTCCTACCAATATAATATCTTTCCCGCTCCAATTTCCACCCTCGCCCTCATCTTTCCCAACCTTAGAATCCTCTCATACCCCTTCAACTCAGCAAAATAAACTCCATTTTAACGCCGCTTCCCCTATGCTACTACCTCCACATGCGTTCCTATTGATAACCCCATCCTAAGTAACATTTCTACAACACGAAACCATCTCACCTGCCCCCCTGACGAACAAGAACTCCCAGCCTCCCTCCCGCTTTTTAAAGATCCGGGTACAGCAGAAGTACGCAGAATTGGCCGTGTGGTTTGTAGGCGCGTCTTTACGAGGGGTGATTGTTGGTGATGATTGCCATGTCAAGAGAGATTGCGCTTCTTCGTCTCGGTAAAGGACAGGAGAAGGCGCTAGGGGAACGGAGGGATCGTTCAAGGGGGTTGGGGCGGGGGTTTTGCCACCGCGCGGGGACTAATTCGTGATGTTCGGGAGTATCCCAGGTACTCTGCTGATGTCTCGTCAACGTTCGGCATCTGGAATTCCTTTCCATTCCAGACCCCCCCTCTAGAATAATCCTATCCCTTTTAGGATTTGGCTAGAATTGTTCTATTCTAGAGGCTTATATTCTATAGAATTTCTAGAATTTCTAGATAGAATTTATTATATAGCCGGGAAAAAGTCGCCCTAGTCCGGGTAACTAATAGGAGGCTTCTATTCGGCTTTAGACTCTATATTATACCTGGTATAAGGTCCTATTAAAATGTCTCGTGATTATCCCCCTTATTACCCTAGACTAATCGTAGCTAGGAGCTTATAGAGGGCTAGTAGTACTACGCCTACAATTACGTATATTATACTATAGAGAGTCTCTATAAAAGTAGTCCCTATTTACTTAAATCTAATAATAGATATATCTACTCGTATACTATTTACTTAAAAACTACTCCTAAATACTACGTTTTAATTAGTTAGAAAAGCCTCTAGAATCCTATAGAACTCCTGGAATTCTAAAGACTGATCGATAGAAGTATTCTATTCTATTTTATAGGCGCTCTAGAAGTATTCTATATAGAATATTCCACCTGGAATTCTATGGAATATGGTTCCATTTTCCGAACGTTGTGTCTCGTATAAAGCACCGATCGAATGTGAAAGATTACGGGATAGAGGCTAGGGTAAGATCTAGAGACACAGAAATAAAAGCTTCTATTTTCTAGATGAAAAATACATGTAAAGAAAGACAAGAGATAGCACCTTTATTTACTACAAGCCGGAGGGTAAGAGTATACATAATGGTTTTTTGTTGTTGTTTTTCTTTTTTTGTAAAGTATTAACGAAAACTCCTTAGCAAGGTCTTGACTAGAATCATACTCCAGGTAGGTGGGTACTTAGGTGTAAAGTTTTGTTATAAAGATACATACTAATAAGCGAGAGGGCTTTTACTGCAAACACTTGGGAAAACCCCCCCGAGGTATTCTCTGCTTGTTCTATAAGCAAAGTAAACTAATTCAAAACTGAACATCCCGACTAACATATCGTCGCGAGAGCGAAAATACGAGATATTTGCTTTTAACTTTACGTCGCGGTTACTATAGAACCAAGTTTCCTATACTACTAGTAATACAAGAGGGAAACGTAAACCACTTCACAAACATCTAATCCTACCGATTATACACTTCTCTAAATGAATATATTATATACCTGAAAAGCGAAGCTCTTAAGGTTAATAGTTATTTATTCCTAGAGGCTATATTAGTATAACGGCTAAAGACAAAAATGCCACCTAATTAATTAAAAACGACAGAAATGCCACCTAATTAATTTTTTTGCGACAGAAATGCCACCTATATACCACTTATTTTTTTTATATATGTTTTACATATAAATTTGATGAAAATAGAACTTACAGTATATCTGTCGTAAAAGGGTAGTATTTCTATCGCTTATTATTTACTTTCTATATATCCTAATAGCCTCGAATATAGTAAATTGATAGCTTATTTACTAGCGCGAATCCTTGTTTATTAATAGCCTCTATCTAAGTATAGCCTCTATAAAATATTAACTAGTCGTATATTAATAACCTTAAAGTATATATAATATACTACTGAAATAGAACGCCCTACGCTATTACGTACTCTATAGTGTCACGGATGCCAACAAAGGATAAAGTGTATACAGCTTTTGAATCAATTGCTAGAACTAAAACCGTAGGTACGAAGAAATCAAACTAAAGAGAGAAGAGAATCTGAAAGGAGCGAAGTTATTTAAGTTGTTCCAATGCCAAGTCTCGTCACGTGCTTGGCCAAGCGAATGAAATCCTGTCAAATGAAATCCAGCTCCGTCACAGTATATATTAAAGAGTTTTTCTTTTTCCTTCTTATAGTAATATTCTTATATTTTATTTAATATAATTATTCTAACTTATCTTCTATTAGCATCTTAGGATTAGGTAAAGAAGCTAGTCTTATCGAAGGTAGTCTCGAAGAAGGAGGAGGAGGATTTATCGAAGCTAGTGTTTTCCTAGTAGTTTACTAGTATTCGAAGGTTCTACCTTTCCGCTTATCTTATCTATTTATCTAAATACCGATATTTTAAAGGTATTATTAAAAAGTATATATAGTTATAAATTAAGTACCTAGTTCTTAGTATTCTTAGCTAGGTGTCACGAATCACGTGCTCACGTGATACTTGTCATAATAAAGAGGCGCAACCCTCGACAGGCACATCCAGGTTTCTTATAGCAAATAGGGATTGCTTAGGCCAGCTAAGCGATCCATGGATTTCCTTTAGTTACTGTCACGTGATTGATGGGCATCAGAGGTGGTCGGACTGACGACCTCTGAGGAATCAGGATCGATCAGGGCGATGAGCACTGATCCGCGAGAACGAAGGTTCTATATAATACTGGCACGTCTGCCATTAGATAGGAGCTTCGTGCTCAACTTAGTTATCAATCTTATCATATTAGTTTGACATCTTTGATACAAGTAACGAGTTCACTTCCAAGTGAACAACCCGATAGTCTTCTTCTTATCATAGCATACCAACCAGCGAACACCCAGCCAAGTTTAGTTAGCCAGTTTGAGTATTCGTTACACTAGGCTAGTAAGGGAAATCTAGAAGCTATTTAGTTAAGGATAATAATATAGGCTTTACCCTTTAGTAATGTATTAAATAATATAACGTTTATATATAAAATCCTATTTATATCTTATAGATTCTAATAAAGAATCTTAGAATATAAGTAAGCCTTTTAATCTATACGCGCGTAATACTAATTAGTATTAGTATTACTAGCGAAGTAATAGAATACGGTATAACTTTATTTAGTTATATTACGTATATTATCTAAGAGAGTATAGTATTATAGCTAATATATCTAAGTATATAATATACTATCTAAGATAGTTTTATGTAATTACCCTCCTTTCTACCCTAGGACCTCAATATACCGACATATAATATATTATAATAATTTATTCCTATAAGTTACTTATATTACTTAAGTTTTTAAAATTAAAGTTTATTATATTATTTTAGTAGAATAAAACAATAAAAAGTTAAAATCTATTACTAGAAGATAGTTTGTATAATAATTACTTAGAACTTTTAATACCGTGGTATAGCGAGGCACGTGTTCCTAACATAAGACCCTTGCCTAAACCTGGTAGATCGGGTCTCTTTAATTGGGCAATTTTGCGAAAAACAGGGTTCTTAGGCTGCAATACGATAAGCTGATAAGTTAAGCCGATAAGGCGATTACAAAATACCCCGCCAATGAATTTCGTCGCAGACAAAACAACTTCGCAACTACAACAACGTCGCGGACGCTCGATACGACCAACCACATCACATGAAGCCCCATCACGATGGGGAAGAAGAGGGCAAAGGTCGCATATGTCGTTTTCCAAGGCAGAGTACCAGGTATTTACGACGACTGGGCTCAATGTGAAGCACAAGTGAATGGGCACTCTGGTTCGGTATTCCAAGGATACCACACAAGGGAAGAAGCTGTCGCAGATTGGCGCGATTTTCAAGAGGAGGAAGCCCGCGGGACCAAAAGAACTCTGGATGAAACAATTGATTCCATCACTACCCGCTCTGCCAGCGCGGATCAGATAGAAAAGAAGCAACGGATAGTTGCAAACATCGATGATCCTTCCTCGAAATATGCCGAAGCTCCCAGACCTGTGGAACCTGGTTCACAAGATCCCCCATTAATGGCAGATCCAGAGATGATTGAGGATGAAGGCGAAGGGGTCCAACTCACAGCTGAGCAGAAGGCTGTTGTTGATCTGGCGCTGGCGCGACATAATATTTTCCTGACTGGCGCTGCGGGTAGTGGAAAGACTGTAACTCTCAAGGAAATCATACGACAACTACAGGCACGGCACAAATCTCATGAGTCAAAAGGTCTTCTCAATGTACATATCGTGGCACCAACAGGCATTGCTGCGTTGCCTTTGAATGGGAGAACAACATATTCATTCGCTGGATGGAAACCCGACTCGCTGCAAAAGCCCATGAAGGAACTCTTGGAAATAATTAGGGCTACCACTGTGGAGGCTGTAAAACATCTCAAGGTATTGATTATTGAGGAAGTTTCCATGGTCGAAAGCCAATTTTTGGAAAGACTGAATCGGCTGTTTCAACATATCCTGTTTTCAAACCTCCCTTTTGGTGGAAAACAAGTCATATTCGTTGGCGATTTTCACCAACTTCCCCCGGTCAAACCTTTTCAGTTCTGTTTGGAGTGCGGGGAGCCAATGTCGAATCGAGGCTGGACTTATTCATGCAAAGCTGAGATACCAGCTTACCAACACGCGTGTCAAAAGGTGAAATTTGACGCGGGAGACAAATGGGCGTTCAAAGCGCAGGTGTGGGCAGATCTGAAGCTTCGACATGTTAAGCTCGAACATATACATCGTCAAAAGGATACCAATTTCCAAGATGTTCTCAACAAAATACGCAACGGTCTGCCATTGGAGGACCACGAATGGGAGGACCTGGAGAGAACAAAAGAATTGCCCCCGAATGCCTTTGCTGTTAGGCTGATGTCGAGAATCATTATGGTTAACCAATTCAACGAGATAGAGTTAGCCAAATTGAGCACGGAGGAGAGATCTTGGACCGCATTTGATACTTGTGTAAAGAAGTCCTACGAGAATTCTGACAAGTTTCCGCCACGGTAAGCTACTTCTGTTTTTGTTCAGCGATCAATATTTCGTGGTCAACGACCATGCTAATCAAGGCGCCTCGAAAATTAGTTCTACTGCAATCGCCGCAAAACTCAAGGAATTGAAAGACGGGCTCAAAGACCATAGTTTCCAGACCGAATTAAAGTTGAAAATTGGGGCGAAGGTTGTGCTTCTGCATAACCTCAATCCCAAGTTAGGGCTGGTCAATGGGTCGCAGGGCGAAGTGGTAAAATTCTCGGACGCAGAGGGCTGGAAGACGAAAGAAATATCGCAATGGGAGTCGATGAGAGCTAAGGATTTTACTGGCCGGAATGGCTATTTCGTGCCCGTCGTGAAATTTTCGAATGGGAGATGCCACTCTATCCCACCAATCATTCATGATGCCACCAAGATCGACGGGAATGATCGTTATCTAGTTTCGAGATCCCAGATACCGCTCACACTTGGCTGGGCTTTGTCTATACACAAATCGCAGGGAATGAGCCTCCAGTACGCCGAAGTCTCTTCTCGTGATATTTTTGAGCCTGGACAATTATACGTTGGTGTTTCTCGGGTTTCTACTTTGGAGGGGCTAGTTGTAACGGGGTTCCAGAGAGAAATGTTGGGGTTGGACGAAGAAGTTACCAGGTTCTATAATGAAACTGCGTGGGAGAAGTTGGATGTGTAAAGTATTTTGTACACTACCTATAATTGTATAATGTAATATTTCACCCGAGTCAGGGAACCAATGAAGTCGATTTGTCTTCGTGGTGTTAGATGGGGGCTACAATGAAGTAGGTACCTAGGCAGGTAAACTCCCTCCGATGGACCAGAAAGGCACCGGAATTTTGGAAAATCATTGTCTATTATGTAGCGTGACTTGAAGCAAATTCACTATACTTATTAATGAATCGGTTTGTAGAACGATCAAATCAATCAACCGAAACCCCTAGAAGGAATGTCCTGAAACATTTGATTACTTCATTAACCTACGCTAACACAAAGGAAATGAATTTCTGCCACTTTTCTTGGCCACAGAAGACAAGTTAAGCTCTTGGTGAGTATGGAATACTGTAGGATTCGTTGTCGACATCCCGAGGACATGAAGTGGGTGAACTGTAAGTGCTCTCATCCACCAGCCACCCTTGGCTATAATATACTCCATACGTCTCATAGTTTGGTTGCTTGACGCCTAAAAATGATTTCAGGGTTAGGGTTCCTCCTCCTGGCTCAGCACAGACCTGAGCACGTGCGAACGCGCTACCGGGTATTTGAAAGCCAACGCGTCCTCGATACCTGTAACACCGGTGCAACATTCAACCTTCAATCATAGCCCCTCCTCTCTGCAGGAACCCAAACATCAACACCACCACTATGGCGCCCATCAATAAACGTGCGCGGGCGGTTGTTGAAGATGAAGATGGCGATGCGTCGTCTAGCCGTGCAAGAGATTCAGTAGGTATCTACACGATGGTATTGTGATCTTCACTGACTTGCACTTCGCAGAGTCGCAAAAAGGTACGATTGTCGAATGACTTAAGACCTGCTCGTGAGGAAAGCGATTCTAGTAGCAGCGAAGATGACCCCGAAGAAACCAACGGCTACTCGACGGCGCCAGCAGCTACACAACAGTATGAGGACTTTCGAGATCAAGGTTTCCGCCATCTGGCGAACCCAGACCAAGACGACAAGAGAGCGACACAAAAGCTTCAGCGGAAGATTGCCGAACGAAGCGAACTTATAGGAGACAACCATGCGGCCGAAAATGCCATTATCGAAGAGATAACCTGTGTCAACTTCATGTGTCACGACAGACTGAATGTCAAACTGGGGCCATTGATCAATTTTGTGGTCGGGATGAACGGAAGTGGCAAGAGCGCTGTTCTGACTGCCCTCACCTTGTGCTTGGGAGGCAAAGCATCATCTACTAATCGAGGCACCAAGGTGAAAGACCTGATCAAGTCTGGCCAGGAGCATTCAGCTTTGATTGTCGTGCTCAAGAACCAGGGCAACGATGCATATCAACCAGAAATCTTCGGTAAATCAATAATCGTCGAGCGTCACTTTTCGACAAGTGGCAGTGGTTCATGGAAGCTCAAAAATGAATTCGGCAAAGTAATTTCCAAGACAAAAGGCGACGTGGATGATATGATTGAGTACTATCAACTTCAGGTGGACAATCCCATGAATGTATTGACTCAGGACGCCGCCAAAACCTTCATTACCAAGTCGAACCCTCAACAAAAATACAAGTTTTTTGTGGAGGGTGTACAGCTAGAGGCTCTGGATAATGACTACAAGATGGTCTCCGACAGCTGCGACCAAATCGCTGAAAAACTTGACGAAACTAAGGATAATCTCGACGATCTTAAGAAAGCCTTCGAAATTGCTATGGAAAAGTCTAATATCGCAAAGCAGTCGGAAGGGTTAAGAACTAGATTGAGAAAAGTACGCCAACAAACAGCTTGGGCGCAGGTGGAACAGGTTGAGCGGGCTTTGGCTGAGAGAGAAGCCGCCTTACATGACGCACAAAATGCGGTGATTCAACAAGAGGCTACGGCAGAAGAAAAAGGGAAATCGTTCGATGCGCTGGACGAGAAATTGGAGGTGTTGAAGCAACGTGAACAAAAGGCTCGGGAGGAGGAAGGCCCTATCAGGGGAGAAGCTGAAATGGCCAAAGAAGTTCACGACAAGGTCAAGGGCGCACTTGAAAAACTGCGGGCTGATCGCCAGAGCATCAAAACCAACATGGCGGAAAATGACAGAAAATTAAAGAGCATCCAAAATGATATTAATAAAGAAGTTCAACTTCTCGAAGCCGCCAATGGAGGGGCTCAATCTGTAAAACAAGCAGAAATAGCAGAAGCCGAGCAAAATCTATCAATAGCCGAAGAATCACAGAAACGATTGGAGGCCGATATACCAAGATTGCAACAAGACGTCACAGAGGCACAGACCGATGCCGACAGAGCGGCAAGAGCAGTTGCAGATAAACGCTCAGAATTTGAGAGTGCCAACGCACGACTAAGAAATCTCGGTCAGGGACAAGTGCATCCATTATCAGGATTTGACCCCAAGCTACAAAATTTGGTCAAAATGATAAACGCTGAACGGGGCTTTCGAGAGAAACCGGTTGGCCCTATTGGCACGCATATCAAAATTCGAGATCCTTTCTGGTCACAAATATTAGAGTCTGTCTTGGGTAACGCGCTCAACGGCTTCATTGTGACGAGCAAAGCTGACCAGCAGTTGCTTACAATTCTCAAACGCAGGGCCAATGTAGATCAACATTGGATTCCAGTGATCATCGGCAACCATCAAAGTATTGACACAGATGCACATGAACCAGACCCAAAGTATCTTACCGTCTTAAGGATCTTGGAAATTGACAACGAACTTGTCAAGAATCACTTGATAATTAGCAGCATGATCGAACAGTCCCTACTCGCCAAGACCCGTACGGAGGGATTCAAAATTATGTTTGAAGGTCCAGAAAGGCCTTTGAGACATGCGAAACAATGCTTCGCTCCCCACGATACTCGAAGAGAGTTTGGCCATCGATTTGCTTACTCAGGTCTAAATAAAAATCCAGACATGACTCCCCTTAACATTAAAACAAACTCGAAATCGCGAATGCGTACCGATATTGATCGCCAGATTGCTCATCAGCAAGATACGGTAGCCCAACTGGACCGTGAAGCGAATTCACTCGAGAACCAACGTGGTCAAGCAGCGGCGACATCGCAAAAATGCAAACAGGCTCTCGAGAGGAATTCTCGAGATCGGAAGGCGGGAAAGGTAAAGATCCAGAAGATTCAAGACAAGATTGAGGATCTTAAAACCCAACTAGAGCAATACAACGTCCAAGATGGTCGGTTGGATGGCCTCAGAGAGGAGTTGACCGAACGACAGAGGGAGCAATCACAGGACGAAACAACTTACGGTGATATAGGCCTGGAAATGCATAAATGCAATGAGGAAGCTCTGGAAAAGAAACGCAAATTGGACGAGGTCAAATTGCGCTTGCAGGATCACGAAGCTTTGATGGATAAAATTTTGAGAAGAAAATCGAATTTTGAACAATCTCGCGAAATAGCTTTGCGGGAAAAGAATCATCATATAACATTGATTCAGGAAAGAAAGGACCAACTTGATCGCTGTGAGAGAAAACGAACCGAAGCATACGACCATGTTCAGGACTTCATTAGTCAAGCCAGCCAAATATGTGGTCGAGTAGTAGTGCCTCCGGGCGAGACTTCTGAAACTCTGGAAACCAAGTACGAGGCGCTCAGACGACAACTCGCGGAAAGGGAGAAGAACCAGGGCGGTTCTGATGAAGAAATTCACCAAAGAGCATTAGCAGCCAGGCAAAATCTTGATAATGCAAGAGCTGGTAGAGACGAGTTGGAAGATCTTCTCAACGTTCTCAGACGCTCATTCGCCCTACGAATGGTAATGTTCCGGCGTTTTCAGAGATTTATATCGGCCCGTTCGCGAATTAATTTCAATTATCTGCTCAGCGAGAGAGCGTTCAGAGGAAAGCTTACTATTGACCACCAGGCAAGACTACTTGATGTCCACGTTGAGCCGGATGAGACGACCAAGAGTGGAAAAGGAAGAAAGACTAAAACACTTTCTGGTGGAGAAAAGTCATTCTCTTCAATTTGCTTACTTCTGGCTCTCTGGGAGGCTATGGGTGCGCCACTGAGATGTCTTGACGAATATGATGTTTTCATGGATGATGTGAACAGAGATGTCAGCACAAGAATGATTGTAAGTTTGATTCTGATTTGCTTGTTGCCTCATAACCTTAACAACATATAGATCAGCGCCGCTCGTCGGTCAGTTGGTAGACAATTTATCCTGATTACTCCCAAAGGCTTGGGTGAAGGTGCCGGAAATGGAGACGAAGATGTCAAGATCATCAAGTAGGTTCTTTGCTCATTCAATCAACATGTCCTGTATAAACGATGTGGAATTGTTGCTAACGATTCTTCAGATTGCTGGATCCTCGAAAGAAACAGCAACAGATTGATGAGATGTTGCCTAGAGCCTAGTATGGTAACAGGAAATCTGGGGAAACGGAGTTGTGGGCGTATGGGTTCTATTTTGTATGATGGTATGGGGTGGGCGTAAAACAATACTGGCAAATGGCGTTTGTTTATTATGGAATCTCAGTAAGCGGATCTTAGCTGGTATTAGCAGAGCTAGTTCTCCGACTCATGACAATGATACATGTCTACATATTGTACAAACCACACATAGCTTTCCATCTCTATGTTTCTCTCCTTCGGTCTCCATCCTGTAAAGTTGTACTCGTAAACTTCCCTTTTTTAAGACTAGATCCTCACCCCCCTCGACCTCAAAACATTCAACCCCGCCCTCGCATTATAACCCACCCACTCCCCCACACTTCCCACCATCTCCCCCAGCACCCTACTATCCTCAAACCTCCGATCTAAAAACTGGCTCGTATCTTTGAAATCAGAGGATTTATCCGTCGTCATGAAGAGCTCGGTTGCAGCATAGATTGTAGATAGCGTTGCGCGCTTCGTGTACCAGGATGTGTCGACGGATGTGTCGCCTGCCAGGTACCAGATTTCGTCTGAGAGAGCGTGGAGTTCTTGGAGGGCGGTGGGCAGGTTGGAGGGGAGGGGTGTGAGCGCCAGTGCCTGTGGGGCGTTAGCTTTCAGATTTGAGGATGTGAATTGGGATTGTGATTGAATGAGATATAGTAAAGTAGGAATACAAACCTCCTGCCACCGATGAATCACCTCCCGATTCCCTAGTAACCGCTCCCAAGTCAACTCCTTCACTTTCCTTCCTACACCTACGCCCTTCCCCGCATCTTTCACTACCACGCACGACTTCAATGCCTCTCGCTGTCGCCACAGGTGGAAATGCACGAGTGCGAAGGCGCCTTGCGGGAATAGATTCTGTGATGCGGGGATGTAGCCTTGTGCGTGGGCGCCTAGGCGGAGGGTCGTTGGTGTGAATCCGTGTTCGGGGATGTGTGGGAGGGAGGAGGTGAGGATAGCGGTTTCGAGGGCGGGGAAGGGTGAGGGCGAGGGTTGGGAGGGGGTGTGGTATTTTCGTGAGATGAGAGAGGATGGTTTTGGGAGGCGGAGGGAGAGGGGGAGGAGGCGTTTGGTTGCCATTTTTGGGGCGTTGTGTTGGGTTTGGGAGTTGAGGTTGGATTGTTGGACGAGGCTGGGAGACTTTTCGGGCGAGGCTACTGAGCGAGCTTTTAATTGACCTTTGGTGGTGAGGTATAAGTGGGTCTTGGTGGTGTGAGAACAGAACAGAACACCGACTCAAGTCTTGCAATTTCTTCTCTTTCGAGATTGCAGTAATATCCCTCTTGATTTTGTAGAAAATTGGGTCCGATTTCTGAATTGCGAGTTAATATCACTGTTTACCTGTTTAAATGTTTCACTAATTGAACGCGCTTCGTAGAGGGGCAATGGAGGGGAAACAATTAAAACATGGTACTCGTAGTCATTGATTGAAGATGTTTTCTCAAATACCAAATTCTGTTCTGAGAGCTCAGTATCAGCATACTAAAAACATTGGACCATGTTGATACGAGCCGTTAACCATCGCAGAGTGCGACCTATTTGGTTATGGTGAAAAAATATCGAATTACTTGAGATCTAAAATGTATAATATGTTAGGTATTAGAGATTTCCCTGGCTTAACTTCAAAGGAATATGGTTTCACCAGAGCAGGAATTGTTTACAAGACGCGATACTAGATGATCCATATCTAGCTTCTACACTCAAGATACTCTCAAGCTTTCAACTTTCCTGTACCTGAATGTGGCAGAACTTGTTATTGGTGATGTCACAATTTCGAAATCTGATGACTTTACTAAGCTGGTGTATTTCTAGTATTTTGATCCAAGACGAGAGGTTTGGGATTTTGATGAATCCTTGTTGTGTTCAACTACGCCTCACAGTATTGTGAAGCGGTCGGTCTATCTCCTCCGTGGTCCTTGTCCCGCGAGGAATGTTTTCAGGGCGCGTAAAGTGGTGTTGAACCGTGGAAACCACTCATTTCATTATTTATACATGTATTTCATTATTTGCACTGTTTCCGCATTGGGATACTACTCCACTCTTTTTACCCCTATTCTCATATATATACTCTGTATAATAACTGCTTTACAATTCAATCAATTCTACATGACCTACTTGACCCCATACCTTGGAAATCCAACAAGTGGTTTTTAGCCAACCCCATCAAAATATTCTATTTAGTATTATGTATAACTTCTACAAAAGTTAAGAGAAACTCATATAAACTTCGGAATGTATTAATTACAAATTACATGTAGTACCACGTTAAATCCGAAACTCCGACCGTAAAATCCCTCTAATTCTATATATAAAAAGAGACGCGTTTGAATCAGGGGCTCGTTAAACACGAAAATATCTCGCTAAGGGATAAGGACCACGGAGGAGATAGTTTTGGGGGGTTTTGAGGTTAATACATTACACTTCTTAACTAAATATTTCACATCGAATAAAGCAAACAAGGGACTTTATAAATAGGGGTAGGGCTAGGGGGGATTTAATTTAAAGAAGGGAAAAAAGGAGGAGGGATTGCCGTGGCTCTTGGACTCGTCAGTTGAACAATGCAGACGATTTTTCGGCGGTAGGATATCAGTAATCTAGGAGAAAATCATGAGATGACTTAATGATAGTGACCAAATGTCTCCACGATTCTCAGTTCCGGTGGCCTTGTCAGGAAGAGGGCACCAAGGAATGTCTCTAGAGGCAATGGTTCTCCCAAAAACTCACACCAGAGTACATCCCTCTTGGGGTCAACGAGAAGATCTGCAACTGTAACGCCCTGAGCTTGAATTGCAGGACTCACAACCGTTGTTGCAGGCGAGAATGGAGCGACATAGTTCTTTAGTAACTCATATCGCCACTCTTGGTTGACCGCGAGGAGTGGACGGGGACCGTTCAGCCTAACGACGAAAGAGTAACTCGCGATTTCGCTTGAGGGAGCACCACCTCGGAGGACTGGAGTGACGAAAATTGAACGCTCATTCGTCTCACTTATAATCACCTCGTTTTCGTTTGTCTCAATTTCATTCGACTCATCGTCCTCTTCCGCCAGTTTCCAGATTTCGACTTTGAGCTCGAATGGGAGCTTGTTGAAGTTGTGAAAAGTTGATAGAGTATTGTTAGACATGTTTCTGTGAGATAAGGGTGGTTGTGTAAGAACTCAAATCTCTCGATGGAAGATTGGAAATTAGGGTGGATATATAGATACATCTGAGTAGTTGTTCTTTAATAAAACACGGTTCGAAAGTTGGAGAATCTGCTAAATAAGCTACTTGGACTGTTTAAAACAATGGATTAATCAATACTCGTAGGAACAACAGATATATCTTGTTCACTAGTACTGTAGTATTGTCTTTTTATTTAACCGCATTGCCAGATATATAGCCATACTCGGTAAAAACTAATTGCAAGTCATTATCTTATTTTAGTATGCTTCCTTTCTCTAAGAAGATCCTCGTCACAACGCGCTTTTCCAACTTGATTTCATATTGACGATATCTAAAGCGAGCTGAGAGATAGCGTATATTTCACACTGGAATAAGACGGCTAGCTCCGTTGATAACCATATGAGCCCTTTCCTTTTATAGATAAAACAACGCCAAGTTCGATGAGTTGATTCAAAAAAGAGAAGAATCACTGTTTGCAAATAGCCGTAAACGACCGTGTTATTAACACCAAAATTGACCAATCAAGCTTTTCAATTCCTCGCTTAATAGTTTTAATACTCAAGTTTTCGCTTTTTATTCATTTCAAATATCGTGGACCGTTTCTTTCCAAGTCCTTTCTCCGGCCTCCTCCGCCCAATGTTTGCTCTTTATGCATCGCAAATCAAGTATAATCGCATTGCACGCTGTCTGCTTCATTTTAAATGTCAACCACGCTCTTCTTTCCTAGTACTTTTTGTTCAGGTGCGAACTGAGTAGGTGACCTGATGTTGCGCTTGAAAATCTTGTCATCTAGCGGCTGCATCTATATATAAGAAGTTTTAGATAGCATTTTCGCCACAATCTGTCTTATCATCCTTCTCTTCAGGTCAGGTCTTCTTGATGGCAAACATACTGTCACGTGATGTATTCAATTGCACATGGTGGTGAATTTGTCGTAACAGGGTGTGTTCTACAGGAGTAGTATAGTCACGAATATAGCACCAACTCATGTAATTTCTTCCACAGGTTACTAACTGCTACTGCGTGTACTCTTAAATAGATGCTAATTTGTACTAGTATATATAGACTGTATTAGATTGAGGTATTCGGCTCTGAAAGGCATCCTCATTCGTTGGGCACATCTTGAAATGCCTTACGGTTATTCAATGCCCCTCTTTAGCCTCATGAGCTCAGTTTTTTCAATCAATGTTGCTATTATTCCTAGCATGGATTGCCACAAGTAAGCCTTGCCCTTATACTTTTGAATTTGGGGCTTAACCGGCAAGTCGGTCACAATAACTGTAAGAATTTGTGGAATCTAACCCAGGTATGAGCAGCTTACTTACATTCTCTGAGCGTAAACAAAGGTTTTGTTATATGACATACCACCTGTCCTTTATTGTCCAATCCCATTGATTCCGAACTAGTCCATATTGTTTTGACAAAGAAAAGCAACAATCTTCAGATAGGAACAGGAAGGTGTTCTGCCTTCTGATCAGATGGGTCTTCAAATTGTAAAGTAGGTACAGATTTTCCTTCCAATGTCTCTATCCTAACCCACTTTTATATCAGAACACCATGAATAACCATGTCAATACACAAGCCCAATTCGCTAACGATATGGATCTAGCAACAATCTTCGAACTTCCGATAGAAGTTCGAGATCAGATCTGGGAAGACCTGGTTCACACTGGCGGCAATGAAAATGAAGCTGTTGCCGAGACAGGGAACCTAGAATTGGTAAACCCTCTCTTGGAAGTAAGCGCGCAGCTCGCCCAAGAGCTAGACTCCCGCACTGCGGCAGTTTGCGATGATATGATACTAATTATCTCTAGCAGATCATTTTCCAAAATTTATCAATAGAATAGTTCCTTTCAGAACCAATGATATTGAGCAATATATTCCTAAGATTGCACTAGAAATAACTATCTGGGCTAGAGGGAATGAACAGTCAGTGATGCCATTTGAAATGACAATGACTACTGGGCGTTACCTTTCGAGACTTGTTTCTTTCTTGAATGCGCAACGTTCCTATCTTCATTTGAATTCGGCAGAAGTTTCTGGCTTTGTTCATGAGATCTTATTTGAGATGGACTTGAACTTTTCCAGTGAACATCCAAGCATAGTGATTATGGAGAGTCTGGAGAGAATGTATCCCTGGTTCATATTCTCTCCATTGGGAGGTGTGGGGGCAGAATGGTTCGCAGAGAATGGTCACTGTCCTAGGGTGACTATCCAAGGCCTCAGCTCTGAGATAACTGAAGAACTTCGGCGTTCTTGGAACGCAATGTTATTCTCCTATGAGTCTGCTTGCTTGGGGATGGCTAGAGAATTTGTCACCCAGGGACGCCTTCTTACACAGATAGGGCAGTACGCTAGCGCACGTGCAATGTATCTTCTTGCAAACTGTTGGATGACTCAGGATGCATTTCCATCAGATAGAGTCTTCGATGTAGAAGCTTTCAATATTTTCACTAGTAATGAAAGATCACTGCTCTACGAAACCTTGATAGCGTTATCAGAGCTCTCACTCAAACTTGGTCGAACTTCCGAAGCACACGATGCCCTCGTCTATCTAAAGCAGGAACTCCAGATTTCGCAATCGCCAAATGCCAACTCATTCAGGAGCGAAGTCGACGTTCTTCTGGTCGAAGCATTGCGTCAGATAGATGTGTCCAGCCAAGCTTTGCATCTTGAGGAACCAGATGTCCCACAAGGTTCAGTCGACATGTAAGCGTTTCATGCATCCCCCAGGTAGATGGCCTGTAAATTAGTCAGGGATGAAAAGACGGTGAGCCGCATTTCCTCAACCACCCTACCACCCTTCAACCACTTAAACAATAAACCTTTGTTTTGTCACTCAACATAACCTAAAAACTCATCTCATTCCTCAAATCCAACAGCACTAGAGCCTCGCTTGAAATAACTTTAAAACATGCTACTAACTTTCAGTAAAACAAACCCTTCGTAGAAAACTGTACCCCTCTTATTTGCTATTTACGCGTTTTCTATATCTCTATACTAAGAAACCTACTTTCACTAGGTAGGTAGAAAGAGAGAGGGGGAGACAAAGATAAATACAGGGTCTATAGGAGCATGGTAGCATAATAGAATTATGGACTTACAGGGCGGAATGTTAGGTAGGAAAGTAAGTACTTATAGGTAGTATTCGACGATATAAAAGTGTTAAAGGAAGCGCGAGAGAATGCTTTATAATATAGAGAGATAATAATAATTAGAATATAAGATAGTATATACTATAGTATTTAAAATGTCTATTATATCAATAATTATAACCTTGTTTTATATAAAAAGTAAGATCTAGTAAATAGAAGAACCAGAACTAGATCATTTAAACCTATTATATCGGTTCTAATACCTCTATAACCAAAGCTATAACCTCCTTTTATTAGGTACTTGTTGGCTTCAGAGTATATAATAAATAAGTCCTTATAGTGAGGTGTGATTACGTAATAACTTTTCGACCAATCAGAGAATTAAGGAGTTTTGGATTTTTTAACCACTTCGCTCGTAATCACATTATATCATATCACTATAAAGACTTAATTATTATATACTCTAAAGCCAACAAGTAGGTAAGATTTCATTAATTTCATACCTAATTAGAAGGTAATTAAGGGGCAATTAGGAATACCCTATTAGCTGAACTTACGGTACAAGACATAATATAGCCACGGTTAGAACCTTCTCTAATATCACGATATATCTTATCCAAAAATCATACTTTATATTCCAATTATTCCGGTAGCTTACGAAAGGCTCGGAAAAGTCAATCCTCGGTACCGACCGGACCGATAGAAAGTATTTAGAAATATCCATCATTAAAAGTACCTACTTTACAGTTTCTTCCTAGGTAAAAGGGGTCGGACTTCCGGATAAGGGATAGAAACTCTAGGTTTCAAGTTTTAACTTGAAATTTAGGATTTCTGCCCCTCGTGCTCCTAGAGGGGAGAATTCTAACCAATGACCCCTCTATTCGCCTGCGGTCTAAAATCCTAAACTACAACTAAACTTGATAAACATTCTAACAGAGTTACGAGCCAGACCGCTCATAGCATAAAGTAAACTCTCAAACTAGTAATCTGGAATCGATGGATTCTTTAATACAGGCGGTCAAAAGGGGGCCGGAGTCGCTTCTCAGTAGGTAACAGATTATTTCAGTCTAAATACAAGTAGAATTATAAATTTGTATGCTATGATATGTTGTACTCCTAGGTTATATATGTTAGCAATTTCATTCTCTAATACCTATGAATCCAGACAGTATCCATACCCTCGTCCACCCCCTTTCCCTAGCTACAGCAATATCACGAACTACTAACAGCCAGCACGCGCCTATACTGGCGTGTAACGCAATCAGGGTAATACAACCTCTAACCCCTAACTTCCTAAGCGAACCCTCATGCGAGTAAGGACATCCAGGTGAATCGCCAGCACCGGCAGTCAACAACACACGTCGTATCTTATCTAGATTTCTTTCGAAAGATATACTCATATAAAATCCCTTTTCAAGATCACTACTAGTCATGGCAGAAGTATTATAGTATACATAATACGGGAGCCCGACCACGTATACTTTGGAAGGTAATTCTTTCTTCAGGAACTTGAACCTGTTCTGCACCGGCTTTTTCGTAGTACACTTGGACTGAATGTTTGTAACATGAAGAGAAAATATAGATAGAAGAGAGAACCAAAGAATTTCATACGTATATCGACTTCCTTGCCGAAGCGGGGTACACACTATTTAGTGAAGCTAGCCAGTGTTCTTTTGTAATTACAAATTCTAGCCCCACCAGATGCTTACATACCACACACAACCTGCAAGACGAAACTAGCATGAATGGATAAACCAGCCGAACCTATTGTACGCTCATCACGCGTATATATGGGAGAGTGCTGTTGTTGCTCGGCAATGTGAAATAAGATACACCACTTCATACTGGATAATTAGGGCGATCGCCAGAGTCAATGGAGCGACGACAGATATTGTGTAACCAAATCAAAAATCACCTGAGTAGTTCACGTAATTTATCTCGTGCAGATAGTAAACATAATTTTTGAAAAGATTCTTTTATTGGAGACAACTCTCAATGATAAATATTGGCGAATGCTCATTCTTCGTCGTCTTCGTCTTCGTAATCAGCATTATGTTCCGGGTTCATTGGCCATTGTCTCGTCCAGATATTCATCCCAATCTTGAGTCCACTCGTCACGGGAAGCCCAGCATGCAGCGTAGAAGTATCCCCTGACCCATCCTCCCGTATATTCTGCCAAAACACGGCACTTCCAGGAATTGGTCGGAAGGTCACGCCATTCTCCCAAGGCTCATCACAGTCAATATACTCGCACCACTTCTCGTCTCTTGGTACTTCTAACAAGGGAAAATTTGTTCCACCGCCAGTGATGTTGGATGCTGCGACATATGCGAAAAACGAGGTTTCTCGATTGCCTCCCATTTCGGACGTTTTCTGTAACTCGGCTTCAAACCAATCCGTGTGAGCATTGTATTTTTCGCCCGTGCCGTATTTTACGAGCTGGATACACTCCAGGTGCTCACGTTTTGTATCGAAGCCTTGGAAGGTGAGTGCCCTGTCTTCGATACAGCGAATCGTGTCGTCTCGAGTAAGTACGGCAGATTGTGATGTTCGGGATTGTGCTAGAGTTGAGGTGCCATCATCTTCTGCGACCTTGGATCGTAAGAAATCGTCCTTGCTAAAGGGTTTTCAGTAGGCTATTCGGGGTCATGGGAGATGTAGGATGCGTACGCTACTTCCTGGACATGTTTCATTTCCTTGTCCGTTAAGAAGTTGGCTATATAGATGACCAGCGGGTTCTTGGAAATGATCTGAGTGCGGTAAGGAGGGTTATCGCATTTTTCGGGTGAGAAAGGTGCGAAAAGTGATTGCTTTGACGAGCTAGCCCCGCCCTCTACTATTCCAGCCAGCAAGCTGACCACGGTGATGGCAATGACAGAAAGACAGCGAATTTGAGGCATGTCGGTTTGGGGGTTGTGGTTGTGCAATGGCGGGGTGACAATGGTGATATCCGTTGTACGTTGGTCCCTTGAAATGCTACAAAGTACGGAGTGCTGTAGTCTGAAGAATACTTGTACTAAAATCTTTTGAGATGGTTCAGACTTCAAAAGTCCGACTACGGTCCTTGGAGCTCGGCGCTCTGTGCACTAGCTTTGGTATAGCGTGTAGGTAGCTTCAACCGTTGAAACTTAATCGTAGGCATAGCCGACATGTTTCAAAAGCTACTATGCTATGTTATCATAGCCCCGGCCAGGGTAGAACGTTCAAGGGCAGAAAAATGATGTAGATAAGGCGTCAATTGTCTATCCACCGAGTTACCTGGTCCAAAAGAACACACACCGCTGGGCTTATTAGACTACAAATTACCTTGTAGATTCTAGATTTAACCCTCCCACTACGACCTCGAGGCACTTTCTGATACACATGTGGTAGCAGCTAAGGCCATGTGTACTCAGAAAACACTCTTGAGCTTCAAAATCGTCCTGATTCGGTAAAGCCATGTGTTCAATATATTAAATTCAGGTAGCTACTTTCTCACATGATCCGACGCTCCCCTACTCCAAGTAAACACACGCAAAAATTAGGCTTTTTACGAAATTTATACGTATCTTTCAAATGACGACTTTACTCCACTCGGTATTGCCCTATTACTTCGAAGTTAATCGGTATAGTTGTCTAGACCCATATTTTGGATTCGACTAGTCCGGATTTGTACGATATTAACGTTATATTTTGGGATATCTACCTAGGCAGAGTTTGGATTCCGAGACCTCGAGACTCAATTGTGTCTTCCAGGGGTCTTTACTCTGTTGCCAACCTTCGCCACCCTAGACCTACAATGCTTTCGCCTTGGACGAAGTACTGTAGATTTCTGAATACCTCCGTGCACAGGGCCTAAGCAGCTGCCTCAGGGTCATTGCTTTGGAAAGTACCTACAGTAGAGTGGGTAGCTAGCTAGCTACTCCGTACCTTCCTTTAGGTACAGTAGTCTAGGTAGCCCGCAGTAGCTTACCAGAACCAGAACTAGGCAGGTACAGGTAGCGAGGTAGCGAGATGCTGCAGCCCGCAGGTGCAGCACTGTACGGAGGCTGGGAGGGTAATTTACTTACTACGTACCCATACGCCAATTCGCGCGCTCGGGATTTTGTTCGGTTTATTGAAGCCTTGTTTCTTGCGACTACCCTGTCCGCCCTGGCCCCTACTATTCCACCTCCACCTCCACCCCGGCCTGCATTAGCTATTCTCCGCCTTACCGAGTAGACCTTGGATCACAACGTCAACGTCGCATGATATTCTCTCTCCAAGAACTTCATTTTTTCTCCAATATCTGGACCTGCAGGAACTTCAGTAAAATCGGAAACAAGATGCCGTCGTTTCTTGCACTTGCGGTATTGTATCTGGCAGCAACGGGGAATTGCTGGGAGCATATTTCGAGCTCGAAATTAAAAGCAAATCTTCAAAAGCAAGACGATGCATTGGTAGCCTGTGAGTCTCAACTTCAATTTTCTCGATATCTCCCATATATATACATATGTGACATTTATAAACAAGCAAGTTTCTAGCTCTGGCACCGCTAACACGAGATACCTATAGTTATCGCAGTAAGCTAGACTCTCTTCCAAATTAGGATTCCACACAAAAAGATTCCCAACTGACATCAGCCATCGAATCTAGCCAGATACGTAAGATTATTGCCGATCATATATCACGCTTCTATGCTCACATCCCTCAGAGAACTCGCCAAGGCCCTGGAGCCAGAATGGACTGCTGCAAAGTCAAAAAACAACTCAGAATTTTATAGCATCGATTGCATCGCAGAGCACCAATTCTGCAAAGATCTGGATGTTGCCTCCTTCCCAGCTATACGACTCTTTCAAGGTCCTGAAAAATGGAGCCGATATCGAGGCGAGAGAAAAGCCCCAGCGTAAGATCTCTCTACAACTTCCAAGTGCAGCGAGCACCGACTAACAGAGTCTTGAAGCATGAAGGCGTTTATCAAAAGAGCAAGACGACCAGTTGTCTCAAAACTCAATTACCAAAACGTGACCACCTTCCACTCGATCGACGATGCCGTATTCATCGCATATATTCCCGAGGAAGGCGATCATGAAGACCTACTTGAGCATTTCATAGAGCTGGCGACACAGTTCCATGACGCCCATTCTTTTGGGATTCTTGTCGACAAAGAGCTTGACGCTCCTAGAATCACATGCTATCTGCCAAATGAGGATGAACCTCGAGTTTTATCCAAACGGTTCAATCCTTTTCGCCTCAAACAATTTCTATTTGACTCAACGGAACCTGCGGTTGGACAGCTCTCAATAAGAAATGAATTCAGCCTTCACCGTGTATGTTTTCTCTCTCTGACCCCCTTTTGATCATCAATTCTGATGTGGAAATCTCAAGACCGAAAGTTCGCTGCTCTATATCTTTGCGGAAACCGACGAAGAACGCGCCGCTTTCAGAAAGCAACTGTCAGGGATAGCCAAAAAGTTTAGCGAATATATCACCTTCCTCACCGTAGACCCCGCTGTATACGACCATATGCCTGCACAGGTAGACTTGGATGCCAAGAAGATGCCCGCAGTGGCGGTGTATAATGTACAGCTGGGGCAGGTGTTTCCTTTCGACCAGTCCAAGGAAATTACGGCTGCGTCGATAGAGCAATTTGTGTTTGATATTGTGGAAGGGAAAATAGAGCCTAGTGAAGGTATAGTCACGCTTGGGGATGATGATGATCATGAAGGGGGTCATGAGGAGCATCATGATAAGGCTCATAAGGAATCTAAGGAGGATAAAAAGGCGGATGAGAAGGAGGATGAAACAGCTGACCAGAAGGAAGGTCAAAAAGAGGAAAAGGACAAGAAACATGATGAATTGTGAAGTATATCTATCTCCAGTTCATTAGCCAGATAGTGTATCACCATCACCATGTACTTCTAAATCAAACTCTTTCCCTAAAGTTCCTAACTTGTACCAATCCCTGTACATGAATCAATTTCAAAGCCATTCACCACGCTTCACGATTGTTTTGTTTGTTCACGTGATCCACCTCCGGAAGCCTGGTCAGGGCTGGCTTCCATTAGCTTGCGCCCAACACCTATAAAGAAGTGGTAACTCTTACGCTCTGGCTCACTCTCGGGCTTCATGATAATTCTCATTAACCATACGATTATACGACTTCAATACCCTGATTTCCGGGTCCTGTACGACTTTACTACCTTTTCCCCTATGAAACTCTCTTCTATCCCTTGCGCTACCCTTATCGTGTACAATTAAAGGGATAAATGGGTCTTAGAGATAATTTGAGTCCTAGATATCGATACTACTTTTCTCCTTTACTCTAGGACACCTAACTCGTACGTTATAAGGCGGGATTAAAGGGGGGGGGGAATAAAGCTATTCGTAACTTTAAAAGTACTTAGGAGATTTAAGCAGCTTTGCGAGTAGCTAGGGGGCTACCTTTTATCTCCTCTTACAAAGGTAGGTATAATTAAAAATACAATTTGAATATTTAAGTGTCTTAGTAATTCCCTCTAAGCTACCTTCCCCTACCCTATAAAGGAATAAGGATAAATTATTTGCTAGCTAACTAATGAATTCCTCTTTGACTCGAGACTATTACTAAGTAGACGAGAGGAATCAAGCTGTCTCTACACTATAGAAGGTTCTTTAGAAAGTAGCGTACTAATAGAAGTAGGAATAAAGATAATAAAGTTATACGAATCCTTAAAATTAGGGTATTAAAGTCGTATAATCCAAATATATATATCTCGAGAATAGCTAATTACTACTAGGCGAGGGCCGTATAGAAAGTTACTAAATTAGTTAATTCTATATATCTTATATCTCTATATATACGAATACTCTATTATGTATAATAAAGAATATTAGAGGCTACCTTCTCCTTTAATATAAGACACCTATAGCTAGAGTCTTTAAGCTCTTATCTTTTACTATAATCTTCTATCTTATATTTTAAACTAAATAAATAAATAAATATGCTGTTTTTTTATAGGAACTAGGATCTAGTACTTAACCTAGCTAGTTACTTTATAAATCTAAGGTCTATAATCTAGATTAGAGCTAGAGTTAGATTAGCGGTAATTTTATTAGTACTATTATACTAGGGTAAAGGGTCCGTTGTTAATTTTTTAACCTAGAAGAAATAGAGGTAAAAACTAAAAAATGGAAATATCATTCTGTCACGAATCATGTGCGCGCACGTGATGAGTGAAGACCAGGCGGCGCCCTGACAGGTTGAGCACTATCATAGCTCTTATAGCAAATAGGGATCGACTAGGCTAGCTAGACAATCCAAGGATTTCCTTTGGTTATCAAGTCACATGACGTGGATCATTTGGATCTGAATGATCCATGATCCAGGAGCGTGGATCTGACGATCCAACTACACTCCCGTGGAGAACGAAGGTTCTATATAAGACTGGCACGTCTGCCATTAGATAGGAGCTTCGTGCTCAACTTAGTTATCAATCTTATCATATTAGTTTGACATCTTTGATACAAGTAACGAGTTCACTTCCAAGTGAACAACCCGATAGTCTTCTTCTTATCATAGCATACCAACCAGCGAACACCCAGCCAAGTTTAGTTAGCCAGTTTGAGTATTCGTTACACATTCCTGGATAAACATGAGAAGGTATCTCCAAGGGTTATAGGCAGAACGATCTTCTTTTACAAATTTACACCAGGATAACAAGGAGAACAAAGACCCTACTACCCCTTTACCCCCTCTATACACACCAAAACTCAGAGAGAGGCTAAGACTAAATCCCCTCCTACTCCACATTCTCAAACCCTTCACAAGCATATTCATGATCGTAGTCGTAAGCGCAGAGTCCTCGGTTAATCCAGAGGTAAAATAATATACTGGCTTAGTCTATACATCTCTCATGGTTCTTCTGAATACAGATATGCCACTTCCACTTCCACTTCTCCCTCCACCAATCCATTCCATACATCCACTCCATCTCAATGAATATATCACATCACCAGGCTTCAAAGCTTCAAAAAACAAAAAGATAGATTCGTCAAGGTCTTGGTATAGTAACTTTGTTTAGTCCTTCCTAAACTTCCTCAACTCACGAATCGTGGTTTGGGAGAGGAACTTTCGCGGGTTTAGTATCAGTGTATAATTTGATGATCAATTCAATTATAAACTGTATAAGAACTGTCGGGACATGGAATCTTTAGAAGTATTAGAGGGTTATATTTACATCGTAACTGTATCACAAAACGATCTTTCCATAAGAATGTTGGGATAGCAGTAGCTACTAGACCCTAAACCCTATAAGCCGACCCTCTTATCTTTTCTTATCTAATAATACGAGTAGTGGACGAAACTAACCAATACATCCTATAGTATACCAAGACATAGTATACACCCTATCTATGCAATCAGCTAATAACACGCGAACTTGAAACATTCTCTAAAGGAGTATTCAGTTCGTCTCAGGAAATTTAAAAAGTGGTACTGAAGTCCTACTATTCCTCCCTATCTACTTTCTTTCTCATCTTACGTGAAGACTGAAGTGATCTTTTGAATGGTAGGGTGGCGATATATATGTATTTTTTCTTTTGATTGTAAAGGTAAGCCTCTCCGTAAATGACCCTTTACTTATACCTATCTATGTATTACCTTCCCTTCACCCCCACCGAATACCCTCCAAACCAGTACCCAAAAAACCCATCAACACAGTCCCCAAACCCTATGCACTTCAAACCCCCACTCCAGCCTCCTAGCACGCTTTCATATCTTCAGAAAGCTACCCCAGCTTCTGCTAAGTTACTCAATAGAGACACTGACCAGGAAGTCCAAGGTATATCCAGTATGTTAAGGATTTAGTTTGTTCCTGGGGGTGGAGAGGCATTATCTCGTTAGAAGGTACTGTAGTATTGTAAGGAGTCATATTATATAAGTACTGTACACAAGAAAATATCATGAAAACCACAAAGAAAACAAAAGGGTATAATATATATCTCGCATCCAATATCCCCGTACTATCCGAGCTGCAAAAAAGATCCATGAAAAGGTCGCTCAAAATATCCTTCGTGAGATCCAAAAAAGCCATCTATCCAATTTCCCCATGCGTCATCATGAATCCCTTTCTATACTCAAAACAACCCAGCTACGATAATCATTACACCTCCGTAAATACCCGCACACATTATCCCCTCATTCTTCAACAGCATACTTCGCTCAAGCATGCCACCTTGCATTAAGACAGTAAGGACGCCGCCTACCACAAGACTCGTGGCCATGATCCGACCAAGAAGTCCAGGAATAACGGGAAATGTTAGGATAGGGACGAGAATCGAGACTGCCAATGCGCCTGCAAATGCTTGGATGGCAGGTTGTGGCGTGTACTCCTTTTCCACATCCGCAGTATGGGGAGCAATTGTTGGTTTTGGCTCGACTGAAATTGAAGGTGCATATGAAGAGAATGATGAATCTCTTGATGTCGATAGAGCAGTAGAGGAAGATGGGGCAACGGAAGGAGTGTTCTCAGAGGTATCGTAAGATAAGGATAACGATGAAAGTGCGGAACTTTGCTCGGAAAATATGGTGACAAGGTCATCCTCTGGATCAAGGAAGTGCGTCTCACATTCCGTGATGGGACGTACATTTTGCAGATATGTGCGATATGAAGTTACATCCTCGTGGTTTGCAGCAGCAAGAGAACGAGTTGAATTGAAGGAAGCAAGTGCTTGATCTATGGGCTTCATTAGTTCATGGAAGTGGATGTTGAGGTAAAAACTTACTATACTGAGCTAATTTGAACCCAATCTTTCCGAGAATATCCGTTTTATGCCATTGGAGTTCTCCACCAGCAGCCTCGGATTGTCTTCTAGAAGCAGGTATAATATGGGTTTCAGTTCTCCGTGACTGGGTGTCATTGTGATCTAGCCGTTGGAGCTGTTCCTCAAGCTCACTTAGCTCATCCTGCAAGTGTAACAACAAACGATGATTAAGAGCCTCAAATTTTCTGTAAATTGGCTTGATCTTCTCTCCACGTTCAGTCGCCGAAGGCGTCGCGCGAGACGAAAGCCGCGATGCAAGTAGTTCGTAGCCGGTCATCGGTACTTTTTCTGCTCGTAGAAGGGGTTGCTGTTTTATCTTTTGTTGTGGTCGAGCACTGAGTGCCGTAGACGGAATATGCGGAGTATGCGGAATATGCGGTAAGTTCGCGAATCCCATCTGCATATTTGGTGTCCCAAAATTATACATTTGCTCATGGTAATTTTGTCTTTGCTGCGCCGCCGCCATCTGAGAAGCAATTTTGGCTGAGGTATCATCAATTGGTGTTGGTTCCACTTCCAGATCATCTCGTTCATCCTCCTCTTCCTCGTACTCTCCTTCTTCACCATCCATACTTCTTTCGGGACTTGTACTGCGGTCTGTATCTTCATCATGTGCCGCTTCAGAGGAATTATCGTCGCCGTGAAAGCTAGACGCAGATGAGGAACTGCCAACATGCGATTGTAGCATGCGTGTTGGTAGGGATGACTCTGTTATCGTCCTAGTGAGCTGCCCTGGTTTCCGTGCGAGTGCCGCGTCCAGCACACTGCCTTCTTCTTCGTCCCTAGAGCCAGCTACCGAACCTTCCGGGTCCAAGTATGCGAATACATTCGGAGCATCAGGAACAGCGGGTGACCTTGGTGCCTCGAGCAGTTCTGGCTTCTTTTCTACAGCAGGCCTTTTGGTGATAGATGACTGTGTGACAGTGGAATTGCTACCACTTGAGCTACTGGACTTGTTGGTTGTATTCGTCAATGAAGTAAGATTTGAAATAGTCGAGGGCGAGGTCAATTTTGCCCTTGCGGACGACAATAACAACCTGTGGCCTTGCGCTGGTTCTTCAACCTCAGAAGAAGATGACGAGGACGAGGAGGACGAGCTTATGTCCCGACTGCGGCTGGAATGAGAACGACGGTGCCGTGAACGATGCTCATGCTCACTCTGCCTCTCCTTTCCTACGCTCTCCCTTTTTGCGCTTATATTCTTGGTTTTTCGGCTCGAAGGATGGCGAGTCCCGCCAATGATGCCAATGGGAGACCTATGATATCTCTTGGATCTTTCTCTCTCGCGTTCCCTCTCCTTGCTGATGTTGGCCTTGGTCATCGGCATTTTCGGTTGGTGTGCAGCCTTCACACGACGGTGTGACCGTTCTTGAGCCGAGCCTTCGTCTTGGGATTTTAAGTGCCCTTTTTCATCTTCGGATATTTCTTGGATCACGGCTATAGGAGATCTGTAGCCTGTTGCCATTTCGGGACTACAATTCTAAGAAATGCTCGTCAGTCTGTCTCCGGAGAATGCACAAAAAGCAATTATACATCTGGCACGAGTGACTAACAAGGATCACCTTGATACGTCTAGTGGGTTGGGCTGCAATCGTGACTTTGGATTGGGTATACTACGGCGGTGTGCTGGTGGTGTCGTCAGGTGTTTATGAAAGCTACAGCCAATTCGCGGGGGCCATGATCGGTGGTTTGTTGCGGCTTGCGTTGGGAGAATGGAGCTGAAGTTGGCGACGAAGATCATGATCTCAGGATGGAGGGGCACCGTTCGTAGAGCAATCGCCGTCTGATATAGGGCTTGGGTGGATAGGGGGAGGGGGAGGGGGAGGGGGGATTGCATGTGGCTTGGGGATGCCTTGATGATGGGGAGTGAGAGGTGGAAGATAGGTTCGCTTGTGCCTCCTGAGCTTCTCGAACTGAGGGAGGCGTTCCACTCGCGTTTCGAGTATTTTCAGGGCTGAGGACTATTGGTTGTGATGGTTGGGTATCAAAGCCAGGTGCGATGATGACGAAGTTGGGGGACTTTTATAGGGGGGCTTTTGGGGGGTGGGGGGTGTGCAGGTGGGAGATCTGGCGGGGCAAAAGCCCGGAGGATGGGGGAAGGAGCAGGAGCCCAATTCAGGGGGGCAGGAAGGGGAGGGAGGGGAGTTTGGAGGGGTCCCGGGGTCGAATTGGGGGGGAGGGGGATGGGATCTGCCGGAGCTATTTAAGCGATCTGCGGGCCGAAGAAGCCTCGGAGTGCCGGGCCCGAAGACCTGTCAGAAGCTGTGTGTCCTGTACTCCGTACGGAGGTAGCTAGAGCTAGCTACCGCTTGGCAATTCGTTGAAGATCAACACTCCCCCATACTCAATCGCGACGAACCAGAACGACCACGACCGCGCCCACAGCGATTGAAGCCAGCAACAGACAGCAACAGACAGCTCCAGCACTATATTCCGTGCCACCATATTTGGATTTCCCCTGCTCACCTCACCTCTCAACACTCCTCGTCTATCCAGGCTGGGCGACGTGCTTCTCTTCTACTCGATTTCCTGGGCTACGGACCGTATGGCAATCTCTGGGACCAATACCTGAGAAACACGACGCGGCGCACCGTCATCGTCCATCTCACCCGAGATCGTACACCAGACCATCCATTTGTCGCACCGGTGACCAGGAGAAGTAGAGGTACGGCTACAGGCTGCATATTCGCTGTGGGTCCCAGATATAGCATGTACAGTACATGTATATAACCCCTCTTCACATTCGCCTCATTTTGGCGGTATCACCACGCCACCAATACCCGTGATTGTCCGCCATTGCACCCTTCCCCTGGCTGACCCTACGAATGGTATCTTACTTTGGAAATTCGAATCTAGACCAGCGCCCAATCTGTTCCTATTACACTCCCTCGAGCCTTTGGCTATAATTGCCTGCGCCCGACGAGCCTCACGCACAGTTGATATCTGCCAATGGCACGTCTTGCCCCCGGTGTGCTGCGGAGGTATCTCTTAGGTGGTCAGCTACCATCAGGTGGATATCTCAATAGGCTCAGAACCGTCCAGCGGTTACCCGCCATCTCGAAAAGGTACCACGAAACACAAACAACTCCAGAAGTGACGGCCCATTCTGCCGCGATCCCGTTTCGTAAACAGCTCAAGGACGATGCCAAAAGTCGAAAGGCCGAAGGCACAAGTAAGATTGCAAAGGTCAACAACCAGACCTTGGAGAAGTGGGAGTTGACAGTGGGAATCGAAATCCACGCGCAGCTCAACACCAAACGAAAGCTCTTCTCCAGTGCCAGGTCGACTATAGACCACACGCCAAATACCCAAGTTGAGTATTTTGATTTAGCTTTGCCAGGCTCCATGCCCCTCTTCCAAACAGAAACCTTGATCCCCGCCTTACGGGCAGCTTTAGCCTTGAATTGCAACATACAGGAACGTAGCAAATTCGATCGAAAGCACTACTTTCATTGGGATCAACCTGCGGGTTATCAAATCACGCAATACTACGAGCCGTTTGCGAAGGATGGAAATATCACATTATACGCTCACGATGGAATCGCAAAAGAAGATGGGGAGGAGATAAAAATCGGAATAAAACAGGTGCAGATGGAGCAGGATACGGCCAAGACAATTTCCGAGCCAGGCGATATACATTTGTTGGACTTCAATCGTGTTGGATTGCCTTTGATCGAAATCATAACTCTACCGGTGATTCACCACCCAAGCACAGCAGCTGCCTTCGTTCGGAAGGTCCAAATTCTTCTCAAATCCGTGGATGCTTGTGTTCTTGGTATGCAGTCGGGTGGTTTACGGGCCGACGTGAACGTTTCTGTGAGGCGCCGCGATGCAGAGGAGGGAAGATATGAATACGCTGGCATGAAGGGACTTGGCCAAAGGACTGAAATCAAGAATCTAAGCAGTTTCAAGGCTGTAGAAGACGCCATCATAGCCGAGCGCGACCGGCAAATTCAAGTTCTGGAATCGGGGGGAGCTATTGAAGGGGAGACAAGAGGCTGGACTATCGGACATAAAGACACAGTTCGTCTAAGAGGAAAAGAGGGAGAAGTTGATTATCGATACATGCCTGATCCTGATATCGCACCGGTTATCATTGGCCAAGATTTGATTGGTCATTTACAGTCAACTATGGGCGTTCTTCCTGATGAAGAGATTGAAATTCTCACCAAACAGATCGGTCTGACAATCAAAGATGCAATGTCACTTCTGTCGATTCATGAAGCCGGCATGTATTATTTCTTCCGGGATGTGGTCGACGAGTTAATGTCTCTTAATGGCCATCCTCGTGAAAGTGTTGAGGAAACGAGCAACTCGGATGGATACCAGAAAGACCTCTGGAGGCTCGGCAGACTCGCTGGAAATTGGGTTTTACATGAGATGGGCGGCTTGAATCACCCTGAGGCGAACCAAGAAAATCCGCTAGATATGAGAAGTGATGGATGCTGCCGGATTTCAAGCGTCGAAGTTGCCAAAATTGTCTTTTACCTTGACAGGAACCGTATTACTGGTGCTTCTGCCAAGAAAGTTCTGTCTACTCTATTCAAAAGCAGCTATGAGACAGCGCCGTCGGATCTAGAGGAGGCCGCAAAATCTTATCCACCAGCATCTTTGCAGTCGATTGACGAAATTATCGAGGAAGCTGGGCTGTGGTTTGTCCCACTCTCTGATGATGAATACGTTGACCTTGCGAATAGCATCTTGGACATGAAGGTGGTCGAGGAAATTCTGTCGGGCAAAGAGGGTAAGATCAACTTCTTATTGGGCAAAATGATGCGACAGGACAAATCAGGAAGAGTTGATCCAAAGAAAGCCACGGAGGTGTTAAGAAGAGTTATTGAGGAACATAGGAAGTAATGAGTATCGCGTACAAAAAGTATAAGATAAGCATACTCCAAGGGAGATGGCACATATCCGTATACTTTCAAAGGTTGGCAGATCATTACCCTTTTCTCCCTTGACGATCTCCGTCCACCTTATCGTCCACATGCTGCACGAGTCGAATTCAAGCACACAGGCATACGCCTGTGAACATCACTTTTTTTTGTACCTAGAGTAAAGAAGGTGGTCAGCTCGGACAATCCACTCTCTAGCCGGAATCAACATAGGTGGATATGATACACAGGTTCATTTTAGTTTTTGCAAGTTTTTCGCTGTCACTTAGTGGTTTCTAGCGCTCTGTGTATAAAAATTGGCCAAACTCAAGTAAAAATAATCTAGAGTAAGCAACGGGAAGTACCTACTTCTTTACTCCGACTATATCAGTCCCTGTTTTGGGGTGGACAGGACTGTCCCGAGCTGTCCACCCCCGCTTCAAGTGCCGCAGCTTTGTGGGGTTTTGCGGGGTTTGCTACAAGCTATCTCCTACAGCATGCATACCTACGTCGGTGGTTTTACACGTACTTTCGTTGCTTTAGTTACCTGTATGCCTCTGGCGCAAGTAAGGTCGATGATATATATATATGTATATATGTAAAGGTTACGAAATCGACCATTTATGTTTACGTTATCTTCAGTGGGTTTCTAACTGCATGGCTCTGCTGCTGCTGGTTTTCGTCTGTTAATTGTTGTTATTGATATGTTCACAATGGTTCTCACTGCTTGATTTGACTTGATTTTGTGCTTCTGGACGGTGTTTTTGCTGCATGGGGTTTGGGATCGCGGCGTTTACTTCGGTAGTTTTGGATTACTCCCGTCTACAGATTAAAACACTTTCAGAAGGTTGGCCACGGGTTGAGTGGTGTATGGGGAAGGTACCAGTTTCATTCATGGTGGACGGCGTCCACTATTCCTGGAAGTCAAGGTCGGCGAATTCCAGTATGTGGACTACAGTAGCTGATCTCATTCGTTAGATCTTCTCAACGGAATGCGGGGGATAAGGAACTCTCCTGTGAACCCAGGGGATTTTCTGGGGTAAGGTTCGGATACACGTTATCGTCCCGTAGTTGAGGGGGGAGGATTGCAGTCGAAATTGAGCGGTCTCCGGAAAGTGGGTATTGTTGGAAGTTCAAGGGAGCTAGTATTGCACGAAGGTAAGACATAAATCAGCTTGTTGTGCCATGCCGATACTCTCCTCTTTCTCTTCATCCATCGTCTGCTTGACATTAGTCTTTTGCATTCTTCATTTTATGTCATTACATAATAGTGGTTTCCTTCATCATGAAGCACTCTGCTCAAGCTCTTGTTGGACTTTTGCTCCCGTCCCTCATATTTGCCCGTGTATATCCCAGGTCTAATACCACTGAACTCGGATTATTGGCTACTGGTAATGTCGACCTTGGGGATTGGGCTGATGCTTACGCAAAAGCTCAATCTCTTGTTGCTAAGATGACGAACGAGGAGAAGATCAGCGTTATCACTGCAGGTTCTGTCGAATCTGCTGGTTGGAAGGCGCTTAACTTTAAGGATAGCGCTCAGGGTCCTCAAGGTACACCTCACTCTCTACAACACAATGTGAACGGGAATGCTAACTCGGATTCATAGGTTATGAGTATGCCACTGGTTTTGGAATGACCTCGGCTCTGGCTCAAACATGGGATAAAGCAGCTATATATGAGCAGTTCAAAGCTATCGGGGACGAGTTCTACGGCAAAGGTTTCCAGGTTGCCAATGGTCCATCTACACAACCGTTCGGGAGAACACCTTACTCAGGCAGACTGGCTGAAGGGCTGGGTCAGGATGCTTATTTGAATGGTGTTGCTACTGGACTTGGCACCAAGGCCTTCGTTGATGCTGGTGTCATTTCTGGTGGTAAACACTTTCTACTTAACGAGCAAGAGACAAATCGCGCTTTGAGGGGTGATAAGCAGCCTTACTCTGCTGTCGTTGACGATAAGGCTTTGCACGAGACTTACCTTTGGTACGTTCCTTCCAAGCACCCCTCTCTTCCCACAACTAATATGATATAGGCCTTTCTACGATGCCATCAAGGCAGGAATGGGAAGTGTCATGTGCGCTATGAACAAAGTAAACGGTTCCTTGTCGTGCGAAAACTCCGACCTTCTCAACAAGCTTTTGAAGACCGAACTTGGATTTCCTGGTCAAGTACAGCCTGATGTCTCCGCACAAGCTACCCCTTTTGGCTCTGCAAATGGCGGCCTTGATTATGGATCCTCCAGAATCTGGGGCACACAGACATTGATTCAAGGTATTGCTAGTGGTAATCTCTCCCAAGCTCGTCTCGATGACATGGCTATTCGAAACATTATCCCATACTATAAATCAAACCTCGCCAACGGCAAACAGCCACCGCTCGCCCAACAAACTGACTATGTCGACGTTCGAGCGAACCACAGTAAAATCGTCCGCAGCGTTGGGGCCGCCTCCATTGTTCTGTTGAAGAACATCAATAATGCCCTTCCTCTTTCAAAGCCTCGCACCATGGCTATCTTCGGCAACAGTGCTGGTCCAGCTACAGCAGGCCCCAACTACCAGTTCACGGTGGACGGAAGCCCTTCAACTTACAATGGCCACCTCGCGGGAGGAGCAGGTTCAGGAATGACTTCTTTCCCGTACCTTATCACTCCACAGCATGCACTCACCAGCCGCGCTGCCGAAGACGGAACCATGATCCGGTGGATTCTAAACAATACCTATACCAATACAATTCCCTCTCTCCCTACGCCGCCAGGATTACCCCCTCTCTTGTCTGGTGGCACCGCCCTCCACCTAGACATTCCCCCTTACGCAACTGGAGCTGAAGTCTGTCTCGTATTCATCAACGCTTTCGCAGGCGAGGGAGGAGATCGTACCGAGCTCCGAAATACAGAACAAGATGCTTTGATTACCACCGTCGCGTCCCATTGCCCTAACACCATTGTAGTCATCAACACAATCGGTACCCGTCTCGTGGAGTCCTGGATCGAGAACCCCAATGTCACAGCTGTCCTCTACGGCATGCCTCTCGGACAGGAATCAGGGAACTCGATCGTGGATGTCCTCTACGGAGCCGTCAACCCCAGTGGTCGTCTAACCCACACCCTCGCTAAGAATGAGGGCGATTACCCGGGGATCTGCACAGAACTCGTGTGTAACTTTGTCGAGGGCAACCTGGTGGATTACAAGTACTTCGATTCCGCGAACGTGGAGCCGCGATTCGAGTTCGGTTTCGGATTGAGCTACACCACATTCAGTTACTCAGAAGTCACCATCACCACCACCAAGCCCGAGGCTCTGGCTAGCAAATACGCCACAGGGAAAGTTGGTGTCGGCGGTAGGACGGATCTGTGGGATGAGGTGGCTTCGGCTTCTGTCACTGTTACCAATAATGGGACGGTGGACGGTGCGGAGGTTGTACAGCTGTATATCTCTTACCCCGAGGAAGCTGCGCAGCCTGTGCGTGTACTGAGGGGATTCGAGAAGATTACGCTTCCGGTTGGGGGTCAAGGGAGTGTGGATTTTGGTTTGAAGAGGAGGGATTTGAGTTTTTGGGATGTTGAGGCGCAGGAGTGGGCGGTTGCTAAGGGGACTTATATGTTGAGTGTTGGTGCTAGTTCGAGGGATTTGAGGGTTAGTGGGACGTTGGTTGTTTGAGGTTATGAGGGGGGAAATGGAGTTCTCAGTGGATGAAATTTGGACAGGGGCGTTGTGGTGTTTATAGATTCGGCTTGGTTTGACGTATTGCTCGGTGATTGTTTTGGTGGTAGACTAGTGTTTAGAGGCACTCTCTCTTATTTCTAAAAGTACAACTCATTTTGTTATGGTCCTACCTGTACTTTGAGCAACTGTGGTGAATAAGTGACGATACAATATATCTAATCCCTTCTATTCGCAATATTTCCCTGCATGGACTTAGTGAAGATTCGATCTATTCATAATCCAAACCTCTCTGGTCAGGAGATATAAGACCTTTTGGTATAGCTTCATTTCCTGGGCTATACTCTACGTGCCAATTGTAGTCCTGAATCAAGCATAGGGTAGCTAGTACTAGAAATCTACTACCTTTGGGAAGTTGCGTTACAATCCCTGAAATTGGCAGATGAAACGAATCAAATCAACAAAAATGGAAACATCTGTTGATGTCGCCACTGGATATGTAGTCATCTCAGTCTAAATAATATGTGTTATTTGGACCTTTATTAGAACATTCATAAATCTAATTTGATAAATGGAATCTTGAAAATCCATCCAAATTGAATTAATTTTTACACTGTGGAGCCCAATAGCTATGAAACGCCTATCTCCTTTGTGTTAGGGGCTCCAGAATGCGATCAACGAATGGAAGCGCCCTCATCAGCGCTCGGCAAATAGAACCTATTCCATAGAATTCCAGCGATTCCATTCCACATGAAAGAATTCCAGAGCACCTTTAAGAAGGAATGAAATATTATATCCAAAAGCCCCTGGAACTCCATTATCCATGAAATTTCTGAGGCTAATTCTAACCAGTATTTAAAAGGGGTGAATATTAATTAAGTAGTAATAGACTAGTACTAAAATAACCTTAACCAGCTATAATTACGCTACAAATACCCACCTATCTAGGTAATCTCGAAGTTGTATATAGTAATCTACCTAAACTCCTCGCTACTAATACTATATCTGTCTTTTATAATATCCTGACTCCATTAGAGAAAACACGTTTAGACGATACTATTATAATAAGTAGTTTAGAGCGATAATTGAGTTAATTAAGGGATCGGAGAGTTACAAGATAATATTTTATACTAGTAATATTCATAATACGCACGGACCCGACAGCATCCAGGCTTTCTATTGGTCCACGAAGCGGACAGATTTTTTTTCCGGATCATGTGATTCGGTTCCATGGAACTTCCATAGAATAGGGGGTATGGAATAGAATTCCAGTTGCCGAGCGCTGGCCCTCATTGCAATTTGTAGGTGTAGAGTTTTGTGAAAGGGAATCTCAGAATACTAGTAAATCACTATATTAGTATTAGCATTAGTGTTATACTAAATAAGTGCCTAGTACTAATGTTGGTTTGACTTATCGTTAATATGTGAGGTGCAATATAGGAAGAGGCTAAACCTTAGTATTAGACTATTCCTATTGTTAATGCACAACCGAGCAAAGGTAAGTAGGGCACCGCTATTATATAGTGGTGCCAAGCCCTACCTCTGTACGGTCGAGTGTAGCTACCTAATCGGGTATAGCATATAATCGAGTGAATGTACCCGAATATATTATACCGACAACTAAGTTTCGCCTTACTTTCTCATTGTTTAGGCTCTCGCTTAAACTTCTAATTGCGGAAAACCGACACCTTTGTCAGCTTTTTTCTTTCATGAACGCCATGAAAAGCTTGTTCTTTAGATCGTAGTCACATTTTACCTGAATACATTTTAGTTTGATACAACTCACACAATTTTTTTTGTATTCAATACTTTCCTCTACATATACATACATCCTATGAGATGAGTAAACGCACGGCCAGAGATGTCATTGAGGGGCCAAGCTTGAAAAGGCCCCTCCGATTTAGAACAGTCAGTATTATCTTGCAGTCATCCCCCCCTGGTTTGCTACTTTACAAAAGCAAAAGGAACTAGTGTTTCTGTACTTCCTGCGCCTCCAGGTGAAGAAAATAGACTAAATTACGATGAAATAGAACCGTGCGCCAGACTTCGAAGACGCCGACTTTTTATTGGAAGATAAGCAGTTATATGATCAAATGCGGAATTGGGAAAGGTATGGTCTACATGGGTTTTCTATAGCTGAATTGGAGGACATGGGCTGTTGGGGGCATGAAAACGCGCTACCGAGTGACTTGAACTGCCCTATACATTCTATCTACCAAAGGCAACGGTGGTGGATGGAGAAAGAAGCAAGAAAGCTGGATGTTGGAGATGGATCAACAGCACGGTGGCCTGTATTCAATAAAACAGTGTGGGATGCATTGCAACCAAGCTTGCGTTTAGCAACCAAGCTCTTGTTGAACAGGAATCTTTCTACATTGTAAGATAACACTCCCTATTCCCTTCATCCTTGCATTGAATGAAAAAAGTCTAGATTCTTTGATATTTGCACCTCGGGAGGTCGTCGACGGATCCAAGCTCTCTGGTAGGTGGCCCGACCACAAAGTATCTGGTGCTCACCAGTTTCGCCTACGGAATGGCTCTGGCCCTTTGGACCAAAAGAGGTGAGAAGAAGTTCTTAAAGCGGTGGAAGATATGGAGTTATCTTTCAAGTTAACAATTGCCTACAATGAACACAAGCCCGGCATATTTGATGTATTTGGATGGACAGATAATCAACCTCGAAATCTTAAAGGTCTTCCGGCCACAACAACTGGAAAAATGTTCCTGTCGATATGGATGGTAGATCCTCTATTGAAGAGTCAGCTGGAAGAGTCAGAGAGACTCGCGCAGCAGTTCCAGATAGCTGTTGTGGTGAGTTGATTTCCCCTTCGGGCTGTCAGGGCTGACGATTTAGCTTATACATGAAACAATGGTAGTTGTGTTCTGTTGAGATTGGAAGATTCCTTCCCAAAATATAAAACTGATCTCATGTGTAGCATGCAATTGGTTGGAAGATAAAAACTCTGCGAACTGATATACCAAAGCTCAATCTACCCCCAGGGCGGAAACGTTGGAAAGAATATGAGCCAGTATGTAGCTAACATTCTGGCAACTTCATATCGTTTACTTACAAGTTTCCTATTCAGTTTTTTGAGGACGAGGAGATCGCAGAATTGGGGCATGCATGGGAGAATTCTGTAAAAATGTCGACCAGTTGTACTGTTTTGTACTGACAAAACCAAAACAGGTCTTTGGGGGAATAATGCCATCGTTAAGCGCTCCCGGGAAACAGGTACCACCAAACGTAAGAATCGCGGGTACTTATGCTCCTCTCCTCAGTTCGAGGGTAGAAACATGGCCAGATTGGAAGCAATACGAAAGTTATGGGGAAATCTCGATCGTCCCGAGACTAATAACGAATCGTTTTGGACCCGGAGCTAGCAAACTCGCTTTTCCCGTCCCAAGCATGTACATTGAGATGCTACAGCAAGAGGAGTTTTGGAATATCATTGTGCCACAAGGGAGGACATTTGCTTTGCGGATTCCAAAGATTTTCGGTATAGAGAACGTTAAAGGCAAGGGGAAGTTTTTTGTTAGAGGGGAAGACTTCCAACGCTTACTTGGAGTAAGTCATTTTATCAGCCCTTTCCTGAGCTCTTGTAAATTTCTAGACATCAACGGAGTTTGTAATGCTACACAAAAACCCCCTCGTGTTAGATCACTTAAGCTCACTTCAAAATCCTTCTATATAGGGCCGAGATCCTGGTTCTTATCAGGACCCACCACCGGCACCTTTATCAACCAACGATTATTCAAATTGGCACACTAATCAAATACAGATTATGAAGAAACATGCAATTAAAACACAGCTTCGTGAGCAGAAGGGGGTAAAGGGTGAGGCTGGAGAAGATCAGAAGCGCCTTGAAAGGGCTATTTCCGCATATCGTGAGAAGGACTATTGCACAACATGGCTCAATATAGAAGACATAGAAGACAAAGGGCATCAAAATCTCGAATTCCAAATAAGACTCCTAACAATTCTCTTACGAGGCACTGAAAAGCTTCTGAAAGAAGGTCGAATAAGAAACCTTCAACGATATTTCTACCTATCGCTCTCGGATCTGTTTAATTATACGAAGACGATCCGCGACGGTATTACTTCAGAGCTACAAAGATATATTCGGAGCTTGCGCACATTTTTATCAGTTATGGTGCTATGAAGACCGAGGATTTGGCTGAGAACGATTTCAGAGAAAGGCTTCGGGATGTTGTGGCGAATCTTGTATTGCCAAAGGAAGAGGTCTACGATATTGACGATGCTTTCTTTTATCGTCGGGAACAACTTATGAAGAATTCAACCCCAAAGAAGACACAGTAAACCAGGGTAACACAACTGTGTCAGGGGCTTTTCTACGGGGTCTTTTGGTGGAAGAGCCAGGTTACAACAAACGAGAAGAACTGATAAATCAACACTGGGTTATTCATGGTACCTGATCACCCTCGCCCAGCAAAGGTTATCTGTGAATTTTTCTGCCCCTTTAGCATCGTTTATTGTATTCTAAACTGTTTTATAGCTATTGAATAGAAGTATTGACACTAGCATCAAAATTCGTTATAATGTACTAGCCACAGTTCCATTAAAGTTACAGCGAGGAGATAAGACCAAACCATAAGGATAATTTACTAATCGCTTTGACTACTGTGAAGAGGACAAAGGAAGTTGGTTTGGAATGTGGTGAGAACTTACGCTAGTACTAATACTACTAGAAGAACTCTTTGAAAGAATAACATCTATCTGGTATCTATATAAGCCTGCGGCTCCTGTAGAATCACCTAACAACCTCAACGGATTCTACAACTTGTCATCTCACTCTCATCAAAATAACAATTCATTAAAATATCTAAGCAATCATGACAATGCCCACCGAAATGCCAGAAAAGCTTGTCAGGCTGTTAGTCAACTATGTCGCCGCTGCTGAAGCAGAGCAGCAAATCTCGCGTTACACAGAAGAACAAGAAACCACCTCAATGATGCTAAGTGTCATGATGTTCAATAAGCATTACCTTCCCTTGGTCAGATCCTCACGCGGATATTATTAGGCTATCATTCCTGAGAAGGATTTACCAGAATCTGTCATCAACTTCATCAAAGAGATCAAAGAAGTCCCTCAAACAGAGATTGACACTTGGGATTTCGAACATAGGAAGTCAATGTATCACTTCAAGGGGTTTTTACAAGAAGAGGGCTTTGATCTGGGTATAGATCTTAAGTCTCCTGAGTGGCTTTCGCGGTGGATTGAATAATAAAGGATGCATTAGACCCTGCCAACAGTTCGGTTGCCTTCTCATCCATGGCTGATGTACCCTTTCTTGAGATCAAGAAATTTCCAAACTTGGTGTCTCTAGTATTTTTATTATTGGGTTGTGGCCGGAGGTTGTCTATTTAAATAACAAATACTCAATTTGTACAATTTCACAACCACCTAGCCAACAACCCTCACTGGATCCTCGCACCGTGTTTTCCGCTTTCAATTTGGCGTTTAAATAAATCGAAATTTCTTATGTAGTTTAACATTAGACCACTTGTAAAAGAAATCATGTAATCAGATTTGTGCTCCACGCTCTCGCTTGCTCCGATACACGATTCACTTGGCCAAAGAAGTCCTATTCAGCGGCTGCATCAAAACAGTTCGCATAATTCTTTACCATTGTCGTACAAGTATCAGAGCTAAATAGTACAGAGTGACCTAAAATAAACTTTCACTTTTTTCCAAATGTCTTAGAAGTGATGATTTGCTCACGTGATACGAACCTATAGCTTCAATGACGGGACGGGAAGGAAAGTCTTCCCTTTAGTCCGAAAACTGACACATGTATATCACAAACTTAAAATGATTCACATGCTCTTTTTGCCCTCGGATCAAGTTAGATTCCCCGCTGTTCACGGCTAGTATCATCCATCTCTATTTCAAGTTTCAACTGATCCCAAGCTCATGACCCACACTGAACATGGGGCCCATGAAACACTTGGCCTGCATCCGCCGTACCTACGCAATTCTGATATTAACAGACTGTCGTGTAACACGCATTCACAGATTCCCTGCTTCAGGCATCATCCTCAACTCACATCACAATTTGGAGGGGTATTTGTCGAACAAACACTCCTCATCTCGACCAGATTTTGGAATCTTAACTTCACCGCCATTTTGACACTCGAAAGAAACAACGATGACGGGGATTAAATTTTACGGCTCACAGGTCGGAGGACGCGGAACAACTGCAAATACGCATACGGGTTCGCCTGTCAGCCTCGTAAGACAAGATGTTCAATCTGCGTTATCCTACGCGGCTTATGTTCCCTTTATATTCCTCCCCTTACTCCCGCAACGTTCGGGCTGGCTAGGAGAACTCACACCGACCCGGGGAAACAGCTGGTCTTGTTTTCTACACGCTATACTGTTGATTCTTCAAGTTCCGTTCTTTCTCAGTGTGCCGTTCTGGTTATGTTTTCCCGGATGGGCTGTGTTGGCTGGTGTGATTGTGTTTATGGGCGTCAATAACGGGATATGTTATTTTTTGAATGGAAGTAGGATGGAATTTATAAGTAATGAGAAGTATGCGGATGCGACTGCTCATACGAGTGAACAGTGGGTATTTCTGAATGGAGTTGCAGCTGGGTAAGCGAATCCCCCTTTCTGCTTTGTGTAAGCAATGACTAACACACATCCAACACAGTGAACACTGGCTGCAGACGAATATTGATCGGCTAGCGCTGACTTTTGGTCGTCCAGTAATCGGTCTACATAACAAAACGTAATTTTCCGTCCCTTCTCATATCACAAACTGTCTAACGTTCCACAGAAATGGAATCCTCTTCGATATCATCCAATGTCTCATCCAACGAAACTTCAAATACGCAACCAACGACATCCGAACCTGCTACACCAAAGTAAAAAGCATCCTCTACACGCAACACATAACAAAAGTAGTATTTGTTATGCACTCTCAAGGCGCAATCGAAGGAGTAATGATCCTCGATTGGCTCTTGCAAGAAATTCCCATGGATCTCCTCGCCAAACTAGAAATCTACACTTTTGGAAATGCAGCCAACCATTTCAATAATCCACATAAACATCTACTTACCCAAGAGCGAGCACTTGCTCTTCAATCGAGAAGGAAACGACCCGAGCACGGGAAAGCGATTCGTCACATTGAACACTACGTCCATACCTACGATTTCGTTGCAAAATGGGGGATCTTGAGTTTTCTTAATCCTAGTAAAGCATCACCAGAGGTGCCGCGATTTATGGGGAGAGCGTTTTTGAGAGAGGGAAAGGGTCATCTTTTAACACAACATTATCTTGATAGTATGTTCCCATTAGAGCCGGCACCGGAACACACCGAGGAGGGGTCTGATAGGGGTGGCATCGGTGGAAGTGGATTTTTGGGAGCTGACGTTATTGGAAACACGTTTATGGAAGAGGACATAGATTGGGTTGCTAAAAGAAGCGAGGCAAGAGCGGGACTGCGAAAACCAGTTAGATCTAAGGAAGATTTATCTATAATTGATAGAGACCTTAGTGAAGAGGACGATGAAGACGAGGGCGATGTGGGAGTATACGATGAAAGCCCGATGTCCACCCGGGAAGGCAGTTTTCACGGTTCTTTTACGAATGGGGCAGTTAAGAGGCAATACAAGGTGAAGGATATAAGCAGACTTTGGCAGTATAGAAATGGACGAAGCCCGCAGGTTGACGCTGTTGTTGCCAGTCTTGAGAGGATAGACACTGTTTAAACTGATATTTCGAGATTCTGGAATAAGTTTCAGCACTGGTAAATATCAATGTATTTAAATTCGATATATTTCAAGATTATTATGTTTCGTATAAAGATTAGAAGGTCCCGATCTGTTGTGATATATATATTGACGTGATATTCTACGCTGGACTCCACGTAACAGGCCACAGATTACGAGTAGAACCATCTTCTTTGCCTTTTCTTGTTTGCGTTTGCTTGCGGCACCCGATATACCCTTCTTGTTCCAACAAATTATACCAACACTACCCCCTAATTTTCCCCGCAAGGTGAGTGGAAATGCGTTGACGACTTCCCGAAGGGATCGACAATGGTGGGGTGTACAGTACAAACTCAACCGCATTATGTCAAAATGTTTTCTAAACAGGGTTATCTAAAACAGCTTGGCTTATAATATCTGGTAGGTAATAGCTTTGCGCCACATATCATCTATATCCAAGGCTAAACATATAGATTCTAGTTGATTAGGTCCGTTTGTTACTGTATACTGCTTCCTCTGCTACAACGGGCTTACAAACCAATATCAGAATTTCACACGATTAAACTTTTGAGTCCTCTCAAGAAGCAAGTGTTACGTTGAAACCGTTAGCTATGAAGTGACTCCAGGACTCTATATTTTCATTTTAAACTGCGCCTTCGCGACGTTGATCGGGCGCATGTACTTCAGAAGTTCTATTTACCACTTTGGGTGTACACTCTGGCGCACGCTTTAGCATTTTCAAACCCCTACTCAAACCTCACAATGTTACCGAGAAGAGCATTCTGTATACTACTCCTGCGCCAGATTTAGCTTTTCAACTTCTACGTCGACCCGCTTCTCCGGGCGTTTTACAAAAGTGAATAGCATAAGAAAGAATCCGAAAATGGGGCACGAACCCGTCGCTGCTGCTGGATTAGCTTCCGAGTCTGAAAAGGCTGGGCCAAGCGCATGAACGAAGCGGTAGTTTTACAGTGTCGAGATGCTAACCTGCTGACTACGAGCTAAACTTCTTGAGGAGGAACTGGGGAAGAACTACGAATTCACGCCAACGGTTTACTCATCCCAAAATATTCTTACGCGCCAAGCATATCAATTCAACAATTCAGCATCGATGCTAGCTTCTAGCTCACGCTGTCTATCCAGCTCTCTATTTCGTCTATCGTCCATCTCACCATTTGCCGGGAGATTTGCCTCGTCATCGGGATGGGTGTCTGAGTGTTGTAATGCAGTAGGTGGATAGGCTACCGTCGCAAACTGCTCGCATGCGCAGTACTGTAGTGAATCCTTTCAAAAGCCCCCCAAAAAATCTAAAAAAGGACAAAAAGATATACTATAATAACCTTTCATATTTCTACAGATAATTAGTACGAGCGTTTTTGGGGGGTATTCAAGGAGAACTTACTTTTACGCACGACCGAGCGTGTCTAACGCTTGACCAGGGCGCGTCCAAATTAACGGAGGAAACAGTTGTGGTGCTGGCGCTTGTGGGAATTGGTGCATATGGGAGCACACACTCACTGACTGGGCCAGGCGGGCAGGTTACCAGTTTTGATGTTGGTGGTTGTCTTATTTGGAGATATCGATATTATTCTGCTACTTTTGTGGGGTTTTGGAGAAGCGAGAGATTATGATTGGTGGAGTGGTGGTTGAGGGGGCTGAGGGGGCTAATTTTCGGGTGTTGGGTTCTCGTCGCGTGGAGCTGTTGATTGCGCCGTTCATACAACGGTCTCTTCATCAGATGCTTAGCCAGGGCATACAGGAATAAAAGGAAAGGAATTGTACGAGGCAAACTTTTGGGGCCCTATTCGACTAATGAAAGCCTCTTGATCGCGAGTCGTGGCAGAATTGTGAATATGAATTCAGTTGGTGCCCCTCCCTTGTTAATACGCCCTAGATATGTAAGTCCACAAAGTGAAGAGCCCAGCTCATCGTCTCGCAATCTACCAGTTATCCTAATCCTGTCTGCAAAGGTGTATATGGATCATCAAAAGCTGCACTGGTACAACTTTCGGAGACGTTGCTTTGGTTCGATTGGTGCTCCCACGTGGGGAATTTTGTGAGTTTTGCGACTGAATTGAGTTGATGGGCTAACAATTCATTCATAGACGCTGGATATATGGCGATACCTTGCCTCGAGCTTGCGCTGCCCTACCTCTAAGAAAACTTTTAGATTATATAATCAAATTCGCACATTTCATTGCGTAGCTGGTTGTTGACGGCTCTCACAGCGCAGTGAGCGAACTTCTTACTGTACTCCTTGTCGCCCTAGACAAAAGCATACCCTATCACTCTACAATAGCATCAAGTCTAGATTTTCATTTATTTGCTCTCTTGAAGCCGAAGCTACATTACCCATACAATACATCCCATTCTCTAGTCTTCACTCATTGAAACACCTTCGCATCCAACAACAGCATTGGGAGAAACCTCAGGAGTCCGTTAAATCCAAGAAATCCAGTTTTCGAACCACTGACTCTGTTGCGTCATCGTCTGCCGGAGTCCCCTCCTTACTGGACATCGCCTCTTCCGTTTCCCCCAGCCCCGCACCAAGTTTTGAAGCTTTAAATTCCTGATACTTCTTTCCAACCAATGTCATGATCTCCTTCTGAGGGCTTCCGGGATTCTGCTCTCTTATAATCTTCATATGTTCTTTAACGAATGCTTGATACCCACTAACGCCCCGAGTTTCTTTTCTCGGTACGGGCTTCGTTTGAACCAGCTTATTCTTGCAAGCTCCGCATTGGTGTCTCTTAGGATCAATGCTTTTGCTGTGTCTCTTAAACTCCAAGCCGCAATGCTCGCATGTCCAAATATATTTGTAATCAATGGTGTAAGAATGCTTAGTCGTCACTTCAATGCCGCGATCGCCGAAAATAGCAGAGCATTTGGAGGCCCAGGCTTTGAACTCTTTGCCATGAGGATTCGTCTTGATGTTGGAGATCATGAAATTTGCAAGATGGCAGAATTCGTGGGCGATAACGTTCAGAAGTCGGTCCTCGTCATCAATGACTTTTTCGGCAAGTTCGATGCTAGCGTAATGTCTGTGGATTGGCTGAGCTCCCATGGAGGATTTGATTGTCTCTCTTTTCCAATTTGCTCTGCCAGCAGTGGTGTTCAGTTTTTTGGACCAGACGATCTTGATTCCTCCTGTGGATTTAGCAAGTTCCGACACCTTACCCTGGGTAATCTTCTCGTCTAATTCATCCAGGAATGCTTCTGCAATGGCGTGCTTCTTTTCTGAAAATGCCTTCTTAGCGTCTTTTATCAGGCGACCTTTTGCAGCGAGAGTTTTCTTTGTTGGTGAAAGAATGAGAGGTCGCGCCGAATCGTCAATTGGTTTTGCTTTTGCTGTTGGTTTGATAGTCTTTCGGGGCGAGTACTCATCATTCCAGTCATTGATCACCTCCTGATTCCAGAATGCATCGGAACTTTGGCGATGTGGTGTATCAGGGATGATTGCTGTCTTCTTATAAGGCGAAGTTGGTCTCAATTCTGGACTGCTTGGAGGTGTTGTAAAACGAGTTTCCTTGGTGATTTTTCTGGGTTTATTTTGGGATGGGGAGCTGTATAAATTAGTAACGATATTATGGGTTCCAAGTTTTGACCTACTATCGAAGAGTAAAAGGGTCTTCCATGTCAGATTCTGATGTTGGCTTCTTCTTTGGCTTGTCAATTTCCTTTGGAGGCCCGGAATTCAGATTCTTGGTCTTGTATTTTGGCAATTTCTTTTCCTCGTCCTTGCTAATAGCCAGCGTCTTCATTTTCCTTCCTAAATCTAGCTCGCTCTCATCCTCAGAATCCAAAACGAGTAAAGCATCTCTCACATTCGAATTTGAGTCCGACTTTCCTCGTATCGATTTCTCGGACTTTGTGGCTCCTTGTATGGACTTTGGTTTCGTCGATGGCAAATTATCTGAAGCACGCTTTGAAGTATCACGTGGATTCTCCTTTTTAGGACCAAGTCCAAGGTTTCTCATGCCGAATTCGAGATCCAACTCTCTCTTCTCCGTCTTCAGTTTCACAGGTGGCGAGTCGTCCAACTTCTGTAACTCGTGATCAGGAGTCCTTTCTCGCCGCCCTCGAACCAATCTCCTGACACTTTTCGGTGGTTCCCGCTTCTTTTCTACAAAACTCTCTTCCTCATCATCTTCGATTATTCCCACTTCCTCCTCCTCGCAAAATGTACTATCAACACAATCGTCACTAACAATGAAGCCCCCTAAATTAGTGTCTTCCTCGCTCTCACTAATCTCGATAACTACTCTTTCTTTCTCTTTCCTCCGAGGACGTTCAAAGGAATCCCGCTCCTCCACAAACGCAGCGCTGTTCGGTCTTCTCACAGCAACCTCAGAAGCCGTACTTGTCGAGGTCGTCCGGGAATTGGTGAGGGGTCGAAGAAGAGGATTCTCGACTTTTGGTTTCAGTATTCTTTTTTTCGGCTTCGTCGCTGTTCTTCCTGACAATGACTCCCCGTCTTCATTCTTGGTACCAGCACCATTTCTCGAAGATCCAGAACTTTTGTTTGCTGTAGGAGTCACGCGTTGAGATCCCTGTTTGCCCGTCACCGCTTTGCCCTTCTCAGGACCTTTGACAAGCCTTCCAGTATCTGGTGATTCGTCGTCGCTGCATTTTGAATTCAATCTTGCCATATTTGTCGGGTTGGCGTCACTGTCGTTGATGTTGTCGATGTCGCAAAATGTCGTGGCATCTTCAAAAATGCTGATTAAACCTCAAAGATTGTAACCGCAGCAACGGCGACAGCAGCATCGGCATCGGCAGCGATATCGGCGGCTGCATCGGTATCGGAAACGACATCGGCACAGCGTAATCGGCACTGGCATCATGTCGGCAGCGGGATCATGTCGGCAACGGCCGCCACTACTATAAGGCCACGAGGCAGCCAGATATCCGTGTATAGCTAACCTGGGTATAAAACTACCACGTACTCGAGTACTCGAGTATAAGATAGAAGTCACCTAAGTCCTATAGAAGAAATAAGTTATTTATATAAAGTATAGGTAGAAAGTTATATTAAAACCCCTATCCTCGTCTCGTCTTTTAGACGTTATAGTAACTCGGTTAGACTCCTTTTATTACTAGGAGTAGGAGTAGGTGTTTTCGTTTAGTAGAGGAGTACCTAGAGTAGTAGACCTACTTACTTAACTACTACTAAAGAAATTTATGGTTAATACTCACTTAAGTATAAAGTAATTGCTGTTTAATTCGATATCTCTAGCTAGCATTTTCTTATCCTCGTTAACCGAAACCCCTACGAGTAGTTCTTCAAGTTTGTTATAACCCTGGTGACCCCAACGTTCTCTTTTAGGAGCACTCCCTGACCGTTGCACAAGTCCTTCCTCCAAGACCTTTCCTTTCAAAATTCCGAGACTCAATATCTAACAGCATTGAATCCAAACCCCATTCCCATGTTAAAAGAAGCAAGTCAGATAATTTCTTTATTTGCTCCGTGAAAATGGTATATCCATCGACCTATCTAACAGGAAATAGTAAATAGCGGTTCCACAAAGATTATAACAGTACAGATTACAGTCAGGTCAGGGCATCGGCGGATGGCTGTCATTTCATTTGCCTTACCTGGCACGCGGTGGACAATATAAGCGGGACTTTTTTGTTAGTGCATTAACATCACTAATTCATCAAAATCACACCTATTTTCATAGCGTACTAAATGAAGGTGTTATGAAAACACATGGGCAAAAAAGGCCCGCTTATTTTGTCCACCGCGTGCCTGGTTCCCATATGGACCATTGGGGAACAGATTGAAGCTCTAGGCAGTGAATGGTACTTTCGCAAGTACCACTTTTACAAGCTATGTTATGAAATATAAAAATACCTGAAGTTCCTCTTCCAGACAACAAAGTCTTGGTTGGACCTTCACATTGCGCTACCCCAATACTATAACACCCCCCTTTACCACCTCTCCTTCAATCCTCTTAACACAACTTCCCCCTCCCCATCTCACCCAACCAAATACAAACCCCCCCTCAAACCCCTCAAACTAAAAACCTCCACATCTCATCCCACAACACCCAACCCCAATCCCCCCTATAGGTATTCAATCCCCTCACCCCCTCCCTTCACAACTTAATCTCCAACTTAATCTCCAACCTCACACAGCAACCAAATCAGAAAGCCGTACGTACATTCTTGAAACCTGGGATCGCAGGACACGTGAGGGGATTCATCGACACAGCTGGAGCGCTGTTGAGAACTTGTAGATTAGTATATGTCGAGCGAGGTTCGTGCCGGTGAGGAGTTATGATTTGTGAACATGCTTTTGTAGGGACCTTCTCAGCCGGGCTGTGGGGATTTTGGGTGGCGAGGGGGGGTATGTTTTTTTTTGTTTTTTGTTTTTTGAGTTATTGTATTGTTTAGGGTCTTATATAAGCTTTGTCATTGAAGTTACAATTATCCTCTTGGCACTTGCTACTTTTCATCCCTGATATACCATAAACCTCCTCCCCTGCCGAGTTCCAACCCCCCAGACAACTCACCCTCCCCTCAGATCCGCACCCTCTTGCTCTACGACCATAGACCAAGTATATATCTCGACAACTGTCCCTTCCTGAACGAAGGTTATTCTGTTCTTTCCCTTGCGGGAGTTCTTGCGGGCGTCACCCGGATCAGGTAGATTAGGGAAGTAGAGGAACTAAGGGTTAGGCTTACTGTAATACAAGGGCCGTATTAAAAAAAGTAAGATTTAATAAGGAGTACGGTTAAGAAGTTTTAGAGGGAGGTGTTGAGAATAGTTGGGGTGTGGAGGGGACTTGATTTGGTGGTGGTTTGTTACTTTTATTTAAATGGCGGGAAGTGTGAGATAAGGAGTTGGTAGATAGGGTCCGGATTGGAATCTGGTATTTACTTTATATTATAACAGGATAGGATAAATATAACAAAGTATTGGGTTCGAGATAATCATGTTTTTTAGTTCTATCTATAAACGGGGCGGTTCTAATGTTCCACCCTCGTTCGCTTAACAAACATTACCCACCACCCACCACCTACAACCTATCCCCAATTCCTCCCAACCTACAACCCGCTTAAACCACCCACTACCTACAACCTACAACCCGCTTAAACCACCCACTACCTACAATCTACTACCCACCACCCACGATTCACCTGGAGCCACTCACCCACCCACAATACTTTATAACAACAAACCAAACCAAAACAACCTCAAAAAAGAGATATCAGAAGTAAAGAGATGTAAGCGTATCACATCCATCACATCTATAAACCCATAAAAGTATAGGTACACGATATTTATACACCCAAACAGCATAGTAATTACACATTAACCCTTCGCACCACCCTCGTATCCATCTATCTATCCATCCATCCCTTCATCAAACATCCCCATTCCCCCGTAGCCCTAACACAGCACAAGCCCCCACCACCCAACCTCACCACACCCCAAAAGATATACAATCCAAGGAAAAGAAAGAAAAGTAGAAAAGATCAAATATTCACACGAAAAAGAATTACCGAGACCCCCCAAAAAAGGAAGCCCCCCAAAATTTCTTTTAAAACATATCAATATCAATAAAACCATGAATCTCAAATCAAGCAACCGGCAAAGCCAATTTACTACTAGTCTTCCTCGTCATCACCTTCGTAATCGCATGTCGAATCACAATCCCCGCCTTCTCAATCTCCTTCTTCGACAGTCCCGTCGTGATGCACACTTTCAGCGCCGGTTGCAGTTTCCAATCGCCGTCTTTGCCCGTGGCACCGGGGCCAACGGGCATGCTTTTGAGACGGGTGATGAGGACGTTGTTGAGTAGTGTCTGGAGGGTGGTGATTAGTAGATCTCTTGTGAAAGGGGGAAAGAGTGGGAATGGGAATATACCTCGTCAACACACTCCTGCAGAATTCTCTCCTGCTCCTCGGTACTCAACCGCCTTGAATTAACCACATCCCCCTTGAGTACCAAAATCATAACCGGGTTGTCCACTGCACTGGTGCACTTAACCCAATCACTCCTTGGATCAAGCTGCGCCCTCATAGCCTTGATATTCTCTCTGCACTGCACCAGAATATCGGGGTTCATCTGAAGGATATTCAAAGTCTCGCTCGCTGTGGTGGCAAGCATAGCGGGTAGAGCAGCAGAGAAGGTATACGAGGCAGCGGAGATTCTCTGATGCTCGACTACATCCGTAGAACCAGCACAGAAACCACCACCTGAACAGAGAGGACCAGCGAGGGAACCGATTAGCATGTCGACTTGGGAGGCATCTACATTTTGGGCTTCAGTTAGACCACGGCCTGTTCGACCAAGGACACCAAACGACCAGGTCTCATCGAGCATGAGGCGGAACTTGTAGCGGTGTTTGAGTTCGACCTGTAGACACATTAGAAACCCAATATCCTCTCACCTTGCAAGAACTGTTAACATACCAACTTAGGCAAATCAACACAATCCCCCACCGTCTCCGAAAGGCCCTCTGTAACAATAAACCGTCTCGTCAACGGCTTCTTCGCCTGATCCTTAACAACCTTCTGCAAAACCCTCTCCAAATCCTCCATATCATTATGTTCATAATACCGAATCGTGCTACGACAAATCTGCAACCCCTTCCTGATCGAGTAATTGCTCGCGCGATCAGCAACAATAATATCGCCCCTCTTACAGAACGCCGGAATAACACTCGAAATCGTCGAAAAAGCATGAGCATAAACAATACACCCCTGCGTTCCAAGACACGACGCAATATCCGCCTCGGTCTTCATATGAACATCCTGGGTACCATAAAACTGAGGAGGTCCACAAGGTCCAACTCCGTAGGTACGTAGTGTTTGAATGGCTTTCTCTTTGACTTGTTCATTTCCGACGAAATTGTAGAAGTTATAGGACGCGAGATTGGTGACCGTTCGGCCGTTCGAGAGTTTGGATTTAGGACCCGTGGGACTACCTCTTGTTAGCAAACCATCTAATCCACAAACTACGAATAGATAGAAACGAACCCAACAATAACCGGCAACTTAGCCTCCTCCTCCCTCTCAAAGCTCGTCTGCGGCGCAACCAAAGGCTCGGGAGTCCACTCATCAACCAAATCATCAATCTCCTACACCAACCCCCATTAACACCGCTCTTCTCCCCCCTCCGTCCAGAAAAAGGAAGCACTCACCTCCTCACTCAACTTCACAAAAGTCCCCGTATGCGTCTTGTAACTCGGACTAAGCAGATATCGCACGAAGAAAATCACCAACACCAACTCAATGGCGCTGCGCACCGGATCATCCTGATAACTCGACCGTATATACCGGATCAACATCGCGCTACCAGGCACCTTCTGAAAGCGATCCGTGATCTCCTGGATCGATCGCACCACGAACTTTTGCGCATCCTGAAACTCCATCTCGTCCTTTGCGTTGCGGAAGAACGACATGCGATGTGCGGGCAGTGGTGAGTGTCGAGATGGTTGAGAAAGTGAGGCCCCTATTTCCTGAACCTCACCGGCATGATGGTTTCTCGGAGGTGAGACCGCGCCGCAAATAAAATGCCGATCTCCCCGATTGCTACTAGCACGTGACTTTCCTCATTCGCCAAATGTATCCATAAACCAATAACATGAATATGGTGAAAACATTAAAGAAAGCTCGTGAGATGACTATAGAAAGGATAGAATCAAACAAATTTGGCAATCTACCTAGAACCTAGTTCAACATCTAGTGGGAACTTTAACAAGACTAATCAGACTTCGAACCTGGCTTGAAAATTATGGTCCGAACATGAACATGCACTAATAGATCACAGGCACAAAAATGAATATAAACAGCAGGAATGAATGTAGAACATTTGTATTATGATCGTGCCCGCTGTATACCCTACAATACAGCCGTGTTTTACCCAGTTGCGAAAGATCAAAGAAACAGCCATCGCATACTGGCATCAGATAGGTAATTCCTCGCAGTATCATGAAGGAGAGAGAAGGGGGAAAACGAGAGGGAGAAAAAACAAATGTCTAAGAGCCGTGTACCATGCAAACACCAAAACACAATTACTTCCCACACCACCACAAAGTTTTGCTCGCTCATCAAGCCAAAATTTCATTGTAATGTACTACCATCTCCACTTCCTCCTATACTACAGCCCCCCTCACAAATATCAAATCAAGTGGCAATCTAAAAGAGAGCCCTGCTACGCGATGTTGCTGCTGCCCCTCCGCTAGCGCTGATGGATCCGGTCTCGGTACGGTTGCGAGTATCGTTGTTATCTTGACCGTAAGGTTGGAACAAGTCCATAGGGATACTGCTGATCAAACTATCCGACAAGATAGTCTTACCAACCAGGATTGGACCCACGACCAGGGCAAGTGCGATAATCAACATTGCGAAGTACAACACAGCGTAACGCCAAACACGTCTCCTTCGAAGCTTGGTTTGCTTCATGGAGTAAATGGGAGGACGAATTTGACGACTAAGAAGGGTGAGTTAGTAATGGATATGGGGAATCATGGGGTATTAATTTACCTGGGTCGCAGCCAAAAGAGCATGACAGAGTGAGCTTTGTCAACTTGAGGAATGGCAATGACAGGGAACATGATGAACAACAAGACGTGGCCCAAGATGAAATCACCAGCGAACATACCGAGCTCAGTGATTTTGCAAAGAAATTCACGCGCTGGTTGGGAGATGGAATGCCATCCCATAGAGTACCATTTTCCAGTCCAGAAAGCAATGTTGGATGTGTCGGTCTTCATTTCTCTGGTCAAGGCAAGGGAAATGATCAACTTGTAGATGAATCGTTGAATGGCAGTGGAAGCGATCATACCAAGTAAGGCCTTCGCGAATACAAATCCTGACAAGAAGAACATGACCTCGAAAGAAACGATGAGCATGATGACAGAGACGGCGTGGGCGATGGCGGCAAGAACAGATCCGAACTTCTTGCAGCACATGCTCAAAACTGGTCCCATACAACAAGCCATACCGAACATGGCCGCAAGAACACCCATGTTGACGGCAATTGGAGCGACGGCAACAATTCCCACACGAAGCAGGGACGCAGTTGGCTTGATGGTTTTACCCTCGTTTCTCTCAGAAAGCACACCGACTTGTGAGTTGATGAAAATGTAAGGGATGAGCGTTACAGCGACCATAAGTAGCGGTGCAACAATTTCTCCGATGAAGAGGTTACCGAAGGAGGCACGTGCAACATCTCCAGACATCTTTGATGAAGGGTCTCCCAAAATCTTACGTTTGTAACCAGTCACTCTGGTACGAGACAAACGGCAGTAGGCAATCCAAGACGAAGAGTGGGATCGGGAGTTACCTCGAGAAAGCCATCTCAAGAAATCTCTGTAGTCGATGAAGAAGTCGTTCCAGGCGAATTGATGGGGATTGTAAATGAATGGAGATGCGCACATGGCGAGGAGAGAAATCCAGAAATAGGACAAAGCTGGTTGCCAAACGGTAACAGTGGCAAAAAGAAGCATCATAAGGGAACGAGCTCCAACATAGATGGAAGGACCTGCAAATCTAGAAAACAGGACGCCAAATGGAATACGGGCTGTTGCGAAACCACGACCAGTACCAATATAACGAGCACCACCGAAGGACAAATCTTCCTGGACAGCGTTGGCATAAATCTGACAGACGAACACCTCGAAGAAAGGTGACAACGAACAGAATTGTTTTCCGAGACGAGTCGCTGCACGCCAAACTCCACGTTCGGTTAATTCTTGAACCACGAGTGGCACGAAAGAAATGACGAAAACGATGAGAATGGAGATAATACAACGGTAGATCCAGTCCAAGATAGGTGTAAGATTAGCACATCCGGTGGGGAAAAGAGGATCGGTGATTGGCACATTGGGGTTGTAGTTGCAGAGAATGGTCTGGTTGCGAAGGGCTCCCAAATTGATCAAGCACAACATGAAGAGCTGGACGGACATCATAATGAACATGTTGTTCAAATGGAAACCGGGATGTGCGTAGTAGAAGGAGAGGAAACGATCCAAAGGAAGCTGAGTACCGAGGTAGTAGTATTCACGAGACAACATTTGCTCTCCCATACCAGTACCAATCTTGGTGGTGAAATTGAGAATAGAGCCGAATCCCAAATCACGACCTTTACCACATTGGTAGTATTCGCAATGCTTAATGCGACCACCACGGAGCAATGCAGTCATTCCAGCGTAAATATCCTCGTTGAGATGAAGACCTTTCTGTGCCTTGGAAACACCACCACGGGTTGTCATGAAGGTGGCATTCAAGAAATCAGGATGACCATAATGGAGCTTGCCACCAATGGCTGCAAGAGTACGAGCGAAGAGAGTACCGAATGTTTGTTCCTTTCCAGCAGCCACATCACCAAGAATACCAATGTTCTCGGAGAAAATGTATTCACGAGCACCGAGAATGGCGACAGGGTTGACCTTCGGGTTACTGACACCTGGGGTGTATGGCGAGACGTTATCAGTGGTCATTTCTTCAAACTCAGCCAAGACACTACGGATCTTGAGACACTCTTCCAGATAGTTGTCTTGATTGGCATCGATAAGTTGGATGTATTCTCCACGGTAGAAGATGATGGCGTGATTTTGGTTGTCAGATTTGCCGTCACCAAGAATTGGGTTACCAGACAGTTGAACACGGAATTTTGGTCGGCGCATTCCATCTTCCATGATCTCAGAGTGTCCATCGATCAAGCAAGAGTAGAGGCGTGGCTCTTCACCCTCAGCCAGAGGAGCTTCTTCGTCGAGGTAGGCGATCTGCAGGTCTGGGTAGGCACGGAGAAGGAATTCAGTGTTCTCCATCTCTTCTTTCTTGAATTTGGCGTAACGTTGCATAGAGACACAAAGCTTGAACTTGCGGCGAGCCATGCGCTCCAACTCACGTTCGAGTTTGTCAGAGTTGCCACCAAACATTTGAACAACCTCGGGGTTCTCAACACGGTAAAGCAACTTGATGGCACGACTGTAGTTCATGAAACCAGAGATGGTACGGTAAAGAGTCTGAGATCTGAGAGAGGCCCAAATACGAGTACGGAGGGTGTATTCAGGAGCGGCAGACTTGAAACCAATACAGTAGAATGGTAGATCATCAATCTTGCTCTTAGCAGTGTCCTTCTCGTTCTTTTCATAATCACCGTTGAATTGGGAGGTTTCGTCAGCGAGAATCTTGGTGTCCTTGACAAAGCAGTCCCATTCATGTGGATGAAGTTGCTTGAGGTATTCCAAAAGAGTAACACGGGAGTATGGCTCATCCTCACGAATAATTTCACGAAGCGACAGGAGGATCTTTTCACTGTAGTGAGGAATCATGACGGTAAAGGTTGGCATGTTGTCGACTGGAAGAGGCTCTGGGATCGGAGTCGAAAGCGACTGGGCAAAGAAGGAGATACGGCGCTCTGCCTCACTCTGGGCTGGGAAGAACTCGGTCTTGAATGAATGATCTTCCTGTGAGACGAAGAACGTTGGTGCCCGAAGAGTTCTCTTTCCCTCTTGTTCAGAAGGTACTTGATGGTAAAGAAGCTTCTGAACGTGGTCGATGGCAAGCAAATGCTCTCGGTACATCGAAATAACGATGGCGTTCCAGATCTGAGAAATGAGGACCTTCGGCTTGTACTTGATCTCCATGTCGGTGGTGGCGAGGACCTTGGAGTAGATACGCTTGGGGAGACGAGAGAAGATGTTTCTCCATGGTGTCCAGATGGAAACACCAAGGTAGAAAGAACGAGCCACAGAGTAGATGGCATTCATGATGATATACCACATGAAAGTGTCGAGGAAGAACAGACACAAATCGGTAACAAACATCAGACCCAGAAGAATCTTTGGCTGATAAGGACAGAGGTATAATTGCAGGATGGTATCTCCCTGGCAGGTGGAAATCTGCATGGAAGCCAAAAATCGGATAGGATCACGGAAAGACAACGTCAAGAAGACGTACGACTCAGCAAGTTTGGCAACGAAAACCACTACCCAAAGACCGTAAGACATCCACATGTCATTGCCTGTCAAGCGAGGGTAACTGGCCGTAAAGGTTTGACTTGCGACATACTGGCGAGTGTTCTTGGTCAAGTAACTTCCGAAAAGCCCACCCAGGGGCATCACGGAAAAGAAGAAGAACGTGATCATGGCAATTATGAATTGCACGATACCGAGAATGAGCGCAATTTTGGTTTCCTGTGTATCTGGAATGACGAATATGTAAACACTGGGTCCAACATTGAGAGCGAAGACTACGAGGAGGAATAAAAGACGTTTGGTAAGATGTTGTGCTCCTGCCCATCGACGGGGAACATACGACCATTCCAAAATTGTAGCGACAATCATAATCAGAGTAGCGATACCACCGCCAATGGCGACGAAAGACCATTGAGCGGATGCCGGAGGCAGATTGTTCTTCTCCTGTTCATAGTTCTTGACCAGGAGGGTAGGTGCGTTCTTAGCAGTGTAAAACCAGAAGGAAGTGATGTGGATAACCCAGATACGGTGGAAGTTGACCACCATGTGTCCCCAAGATCGAGTTTCTTTGTAAGTCTTGAAAAAGACCTTGCTCCACTTGATCTCCTTGAGTTTCAAGAAGCGTTCAGCGGGTGGGAAATCGACAAGTCGAGTCTTGTCCTCCAATACAATTAATTCAATCCCCTCGGGATACCAAAAGAGTTGATTGCAGTCATCATAACCAATAATCTTGTTGTGATCTCTTTCCCGACGAACGTACTTGCCCTCGTCAATCTCATAACCCTGGTCTCTGCAGTACTGGTAGAGAGGGGTGATGATATCATTCAGGTATGTGAATTCTTCAACCGGCTCAACCAGATTTTGGCATGCGGGTGAGTTCAGATAATCATCGGCACATTTGAAAATGAAGCAAAGACATTCGGGCATGAATCTGGTCTGGTTAGCTTCACCCCAGCAGAGGAGGTAGAGCGCAATTTGTCGAACACGATCATGTTGGGACATGCGGTTCATGCGAGTCTTCCATCGGTACTCGGCGGCCTCCAAACTATTATCTCCTTCCATTTGCTCGAGGGTTTGGGCTTCGTCCTTGGGGTCGGCAGCTGCCTTCTTCTTGGCGGCGGATCGAGCCTTTCGGGTCTTTCTGCTTCCCTTGCCGAGTTTCATGTTGGCAAATCCCACGGCATCATCTAAATCAAGATGAGCGGCAAAGTACCACTTTCGGTAATTGGCGTTGTCGCCTCCAATGTAATCAGCATGGAGAGAAAGAAGAGCCTGGTTTGGAGTCATGCGGGATGCTCTGGAGTCCAGGAGTGTCATCAAATGGTCGTACATGTTTCGCATGCTGTCACGCTGGAAACCAAACTTGGCGGTCAAATCCAGGAAAATGTCCTCAACCTCTTCCTTTGACAATGGAATTTGGGCATCAGAAGTCCAGGCCGGGTATGGCTCGCGGGATCTTTGACCAGCTGGAAGAACGTTGTTGTAGTCCATTCCATAGTTGGGCGTAGAAGCGCCAGAAGATCGATTGCCAGCATAGGAGACTTGGGAGGAGGGCGGTCGGTACCCACGGCCACCGCCCATTTGACTCTCATTATAGCTATTGTAGCGTTCATCCCCACGTCCATAATAGTCCATATCCGTGGCTCTGGCCATATCGGATCTCATGGTGAAGTCGCTGAATGTCTCGGAGTCCTCCTCAGAATCCCCGCGACGTTTCTGTTGCGGGTGCTGACCGGCAGCAGCGCCTCCTTGGTCATAATACTGGTCATTGTAGTATTCGTCTTGATATTGACCGTCGTGCTCCTGACCCTCGTAGTAGCCACCTTCCTGCTGGTACGGGTTGTTCGCATCTGCGTTGTAGTAACCGCTGGTCCAAGATTAGCCCAGCTCTCCATGCACTCGGTTGGTTAAACCTACGATTCATCGTAATATCCGTCACCGCCTGCATGAGGTGGATGGCCTCCTCCTTGGTGATCGCCATATCCATCATGGTTGTCATAGTATTGTTGTCCTTGATCATCTTGGTAGTATGAATCAGTATTCCCTTGCTGATGTTGGCCGTAGCCGTCATCGTAGTGGCCTTGCGGGTGACCTTGACCCTGGGCATGGCCCGGAGGTGGTTGTCCCGACATGTTTGTATTCAAATGAGGCCGTCTGGAGGGGAAACGGTCAGTAATTGGATCCCTCGATCTCGCAGTCGTGGCTGCAACACCCGATCAAGGAGGGAGGCTGGGCCGTGGTGAATGGAAGTGGAACAACACTCACGATTAAATGGACATTGAAATTACGGTTGATCGTATAAGTGCTGAAGGCGTATCGAAGAAGAAACACAAGAAGGAATCAGCTGGATGCAAATCCACAATGTTGATGCGGACGCTTCAACGAATGGCCGTCAACAAAGTAAGCAAGATCTAACGAGCGGCTTCTCCTGTTCGCAGATGGGGTGGAGGGGATCGGTCGTCGTAGTGACCGGAGTTGGGATGAGAAAGGAACTTGGGTGGCGGAAAAGCACAGAATATTAGGGTGGTGGTGGTAGTGTTGTCGAGGCCCTGGTGGTGATTGCTGCTCTGACAATGTTCGAAGAATACCGGTAATGGTAGCCCCTTCCTCTTCTTTTCCAAGTTTTGCTTTGCTGACCGTGACAGCGATAGGACTAGGAAAATTGACAAATGACGGCGCACCCCTTTCGCGTCGGAACTCTAATCTCCTGGAAGGGTTAGATCCGCCGGGTCGGTGAAGGAGCCGCCTGAACGAGCGTAGGAAGGAGAATGGGAAGAGAAAAGCAACGAGACGAACACGCTGCACACGAAAGAATCCCGATGCTCGAGAATTGGTCGACGAAGTTTGGGGCTTTAGCTTGGGAAGTTCAAAGTTCGAGAAGGAGGGAGAGGACGAGAAGAAATGGCGGCGCAGCGGAAGAGGTTCAGCGTTGGCAGGCGATGGGATGGGGCACCAGGGGGCGTTTTGGGCTCACTTACCGTAGTGTCCACTCTCCACGGTCTAGCGAACACTCCTAGACACTTTCTGTGGGGAGCGCGGAGCCTAGAGAGAGCGAGCGGTCGCGGGTGATTGGAGCAGCGGCAGCGACGCTTGGAATGAAGGGGGGTCAACCAGCCAGAACGGCTTAGCGCCCTCAGGGGGTCAGGCCGGCCACAACTCAATTCACAGGCCACGTTCTACAATGCCCCATGCCAACGCAACGACCACGGCCAGACAGACACACGCACTCGCTGAGATGAAGAATAGGGGCCTTCTAGGGTTCCTCTAGATCTGCGGTCGCGATGGTCAGATGTTTCGGGCAGACGAACTCGCTGAAATGATCACCGCAGGCAGTTGAAGGGTGTGGCTGGGAGACTCGGACGCTGCGAGGCACTTCGAAGGACTTTGCAGTGCACTGGTTGAGTAGTGAAGGCTCGCCACATTCACAGTGACAGGCCACTACGCTCAACGGACATTCTGTCAAATTTAGGACACGTTAGAAGCACCGAGTCGGCCACAGCCTTCGTCCCAGCCACACGCCAATGCCTACCACGCACTAACATACTAGAAGTGCTTCTAGCAAGTAATGTTGGGTGGCTATCCACTACCTGCTAAACTACGCAGCTCCCGATGGTGCAGAACATAGGCCTGATAGGGCACAAAGTAGCCCTCCGTTGACTCGGCCTGGATTTCAGTGTCCTGCGGCAGTCGAGTGTCGAGTGTTGAACAGGCTGATGCATACGAGATGACGGGTGTAGGTAAATTACATCAGCGTGGTATCCAACAGCATCAGCCCTTCAGGGGAACACTGATTGCTATCCCCTGTCGCATATCCAGCCAAGTTCCCTGCTCAATGACCTCCCCACCCTGCTTTGACCACGGTTTCCTTGGAATCGCTTCGTCATTAGCTCCTCGACGAGAATTAGTTGGTGCTTCACCAGCCCTTTGTTTGCAAGATGCGAGTGCTGCTGGTGCATGCTGCAGTCTGCAGTCTGCAAAGGCTCTACCACTGACACGACGGAGCGAACATACCCCTCATTTATCCAACGTCAAGCATTCGTAGTGCTTACGCTGATTTATCGGTCAGCACCATCTCCACGATGTGTACTCGTACCGGGAAGAAATATATTTTAATGTGATGCACGCAATCCTCATCTGGCGATATGGAGTCGTTCCTGTCACCGAACCATCAGCCACCACATCTACGGTACCAGTACAACCCCGCCACGCCATCGCGCTTACAACCCCAACACAGACGCACAATGTCTACTACCAGTTTTTGTGTTAGGCTACGAATGGTCGAGAGAGACTGGAACAAGTTTCCAACAAAAAAAAAGTGTCGAGCTACGAAGTATGCTGGACGCTGGTAGTATCGCTCCACCATCATGCGCAAGCCTCAGGGGAATTTACTGGGCATGTCTTGACATCATGACCTGCATCTTGAAAACTCCAGCGATATACTAACCAGACAAAAATGCATCGCTTGCTATGTTGAGACTGAAATTATATGTCTTCATCGCAGTGGGGAAGTGACGACGGGGGTGTACCGCTCATAGAGTGAGAGGGGAAAGCATTGGTGCGGAAAGAGCAACAAAATACAAATAATCCGACCTCATCAGTCCATCAGCAAACATATGCCACATCGATGTCTTCTGGAGGCGAATTCCTCACCGTCATACAGTAATTCATGGCAAAGTTCCTAAATTGCTCTCAAAAATCCGATATAAAAACATCAGGGTGGGAAGCATCAAAAATAGCAAGATTACGGACATGTCAACGACGAGCCCAGATCCAAAAATAGCACATTTACCGTTCCTGCGTATCACGGTGGCGAGCGAACCAGCCACCCCTGACCAACGATGGATCGGGGCATTCAAGACCAAAGACTATCCAACGGGGAGAAAGGTTGAAAGTAACCCGGGTGCCATCTGAACTTGCTCTGCAAAATAGGGGCCGGAAAATCCGGGAGAGGCACGAAAACCAAAGAGGAAAGATGCCAAAGAAAAATAGGGGTTCGCAGGAAGATGGTCATTTCAATTGCTTTGTGCTTAGAAATCATGAGCGGCGGGATCTGGAGGAACAGAATTGCCAACGCGTGGCCTGGGGATGATAAAATCAGGACCATCCCTCGAGTCGGTGGTCTCGGTCGCTCGCTGTCGGTCTCGATCCGACTCCTACCAGTTCACAGGTGTGAAGCTATGACACTGCCTCAACACCATGAGCTGGCATTGGTGGTCTTGAATCTCACTTCCAATGCGCTCATGGCGGGTTGCAGCGAATTATGCTGAACGCAATGAACTAAGCCGCAAGTTGGCGCAAGCTACGAACGATGCACGGAGTAATCCAGTGTCTGACACATGTCTGATACTTGATACACTGACATCGTGAAGTGTCAAACGTTCTCCCGGGCAAACTATTTTTGGGAGACGTGGAGTGGATGAACCCTAAATAGTCGCTCAGAGCGTCCATAATGTTCGAGGTTCGCGACCCGACTTTTCACTTCTCCCTCCGTACCTCCTCCTTTCCCTCTTCTGTGTCTTTCCACACCCTCCAGCGTTTTGCTCGCCGTATATAAAGTTGGGAATTGACTCCCTATTTGAATATCGACTAGATATTAACCGCCATGCCAATCCTTCCAGCCATGCTCTTGGTCCCTGGACTTTCTGATCTGATTGGGAAATTCAAATGCTTGCTTTGAGCTAATTCAAAGTTGAATGAATTCGTATCTGCCGAGGCAATAATGTTTATTGTGCGCGTTGTTGTTCAAGAACACAACTTGATGGCGGGTTTTTCCCCCGGAGGCCTGTTCGGGACTGCGCCTCAGTAGGACGGAGGGCCCAGAAATTGGTTATTTGGAAATTGGGGAGGAAGATTGAGATGAGATGAGTTTCTTTGACCCCACCGCGGTCATCACGTGCCGCAGTGATCCTCGATGTGAGGCTCGATTTGGTGAAAGGAGGTGCGGCATTGGAGATGTTGATCTTCGATACGGTACCGGCGCCGAGCAGATGAGAAACACGCAATGTTGGGGAATGGCTGTTTCCGTATCCGAATTTGGCAATCTTTTTTTTTGGCGCCTCTCGAATCTCAAGACTCTTCAGAGTCAAGACCGGATGAAGTGACGTCGAGAGTTCAAAGCAGCTTAATATAGCGTATACTTCTATAGCGTGCATCTTGGAGCTGATATATGGAGTAAGTGGCATTGGCAATGGCCGTATTCACGTCAGATACGAGTGAGGATGAAGCAAAGTCGAGGTTGGAGGAAGCTGAAGCTGGTCAGCAGACTAGGAGGACAAGCAACGGCGGACTATTTGTGTACCAATTTATACCAGAATTCTCGCATACTCGGCGTGGTAGTTGGTTGGTGAGGCTTCCTTTCGCAGCTCCGCCAACCAACATCGTACGCAAGGCCGAATCGCAGAGATGCTCTGCTCTCTCTTTTCTACTCTCTCACTCTCCTCTCTCGCTCTGCTCTCTTCTCCGCACCTCCAGGCGCTGAAGGGTGATTCTCTAAAGACGCCAATTCAGCGTGCAAAGTTCCGCAATCTCCTCTGCCCAGCATGGCTAATTCTTGCCCAGCACTGATTGCGTGGATTTGCCCCGCGCAAAGACGAGCAATGTGCCCTGCGGCCCCATCACAGGCTGGCGCATCCTCGGGGCCGTGAGGCTGCTCCCTGCCAAAGTCTTGGGCTTCGAAACGAGGATCAGTTCCAGGAGCACCATTTTAGTTTGAGCATAACTTCACTGGACCTTCCACTTCCTGCTGCTCTCGCTCTCTCTCTCTCTCTCTTCTCTCCTTAGTCCGCCCATTTCTTTGCCTGTGCCAGCAAACAACTCTTTCTCTCGCATTTCTCGACGTTCTCTACATCGTTGCTCAACGGATCAACACCAACCACTATTATCATTACACGTCCGGTCCCCTTTTTCCGACCCGACGCCGACAAAACAGAACAGAACAGACCGAGTGCCTGGTACCGTGTACGAGTGCTGCATCTGATTTTACGACTTTCCCCCCATTGCGATCGCTCTTAGACTTTCCTCCCTTTTTGTTGGCGCTAGACATAGTATAATACACGGCGTACAACCTCCCTCATCATGAAAACTACATACGCCTCGGTGGCCACGGCCGCCCTGGTCTTCGCCAAATCAGTCGTCGCTGCTGATCTCCCTCCAATTATCATGAAGGTATATCACCATCGGGCCCTTCCGTCCACAACATATCAGACTGACAGGATGTGATGAATAGGGCTCCCACTTCTTCTACGAGAACGGTACCGAGTTTTTCCTCAAAGGCATCGCATACCAGCAAGAAGTCGGTCCCGCTGGCACCACCACCACTGATGGCGCCTTCTTAGATCCTCTGGCCGATGAACCTGGATGCACACGTGATGTTCCTCTGCTCCAAGAGCTTGGTGTGAACGTGATCCGTGTCTATGCCATCAACGTCACCCTCAACCACGACCCTTGCATGAAGTTGCTGTCAGATGCCGGTATCTATGTGATCCAGGATCTTTCCAACCCCAAGAACTCCATCATTCGAACCGCTCCAAAATGGGACGTAAACCTGTTCGCAACCTACGCTGGGGTCATTGATGAATTGTCTGGCTACACCAACACCCTCGGTTTCTTTGCCGGAAACGAGGTTTCCAACGATCTGACCAACACTGATGCAAGTGCATTCGTCAAGGCCGCTGTCCGAGACAGCAAGGCTTATATCAAGAACAAGGGATACCGACCAATGGGTGTAGGATATGCTACTAACGATGATGCCGCCATTCGTGACGATTTGGTTTCATACTTCAACTGTGGCGATCCAAGCGAGTCCATTGATTTCTGGGGTTACAACATCTACTCTTGGTGTGGTGACTCTTCCTTCACGGAATCTGGTTACGACAAGAGAACCGAGGAATTCAGGACCTTCAATGTCCCATCATTCTTTGCTGAATACGGATGCAACACAGTTCAACCCCACCCTTTCACTGAAGTCGCTGAAATCTTTGGTTCGAAGATGACCGATGTCTTCTCTGGTGGTATTATGTACATGTTCCACCAGGAAGCCAACGATTATGGTAAGTAATATCTTCCTCCTTAAAACGGTCATCATGACTAACCCCCCTTTCAGGAGTTGTCACCATCAAAGATGGCCAAGCAATCAAGCACCCAAGATTCGAGGCCCTCAAGAAGCAAATGACCGCCGTTAACCCCAAAAACACCCCCGCCTCCGAATACAACATCGTCAACACCAAGCCCTCCGACTGCCCAACCTCCAGCACCTGGAAAGCTTCCTCTAACCTCCCACCAATCGCCAACTCCGAAGCCTGCGAGTGTATGACCGCCTCCCTCACCTGCACTGCCAACTCTGGATTGACCGGAAACCAAACCGCCGAGCTCTTCGCCTCCGTCTGTGGTACGGACCCCAAGGCTTGCGCTGGGATTGAGGCCAACGGTACCACTGGTGTCTACGGAGCCTACTCCATGTGCACTGGATCCCAACAATTGTCTTGGGCCTTCGACCAGTACTACAAGAACCAGAACAAGGCTTCCACCGCCTGTGCCTTCAACGGCAACGCCAAGTTGCAAACCGGCTCCGTCAGCTCTTCCTGCACTGCGCTGTTGGCCGAAGCTGGATCCGATGGTCTGGGTAAGGTCAAGACCGCTCCTACCTCTGCTGGACAATCCTCTGGGGGTGCCAACGGAGCTGCGACTTCCAAGGCTGCTGCTGGTGCCTTGACGGTCCCTGCCGTTAACTTTGGCTTGTTGAGCTTGGGTGCGTATGTCGTTGCGGCAGGTATGGCTGGTATGGGAATGATCCTTTTGTAGATGAAGAATACCTAATCAATCAATCAATCAATCTTGACACTCTGGGGAATTGGAGACAGAGGGTAGAGAGAAAGAAAGAGAGGGGGAGTCGTTGTTTTACCAGGACGGAAGGGATGGGGGATTTCTTGTACCTTTGTTGTATATATTCCTGCCAATTTTCCCTGGTTTTGTTATCTTACTTTGGTCTTTGCATACAGCATCATCTATACTTTTTTTTCCTTTGTTTAGTTTTGCATCTTTGCATTTTTGGCGTTATTCCTTCTTAAGCTTTATACTTTCTTGTTTATGTGGATGGGGAGTGTTTGTTTGTTGTGGTTACTGCTGTTATTTTGGTGGTTTGGTGGTGTGGGATATACCTATCAGCCTTTGCATTTTTTTTTATTTTTTACGCGGAATTTTGTATAGTACAGTACAGTACAGTGCAGTATCGTGTTTTAGTCCTTATTTTGAGTGATGTGGAAATGGAAAATGGAGATTTTGTTGTTGTTTATCGTAGATTAATTACCTTTTTGTTTGAATGGGGTTTTTGATCTTGTTTATGTGATGACCTTGTTATATACCTTCCTCCCAGCCGTAACGAGTGATAAGGTTAACGGGCGTGCTGATCCTGTGTTCTACTGAAAAATCCCCTGTATACCCACTAAGAATTTACGTTTGTTACGCCTGCGAGGATGTATCTTGTGATCTTTGGATTTGGATGATATGTTGTTTTCAAGTTTCTGGTGTGGTTCTCTTTGATGCCTTTGTCTTGAGGTTCGAGGTTCGAGGTTTTGAATTTTTGGTTGAGGTTGTTGAGAGGGAGTAGTAAGTGAGTGAGAGAGAGAGAGGATTTATTGGGTAGAAGTCAAAAGTAATTCGTGGGAAATGAGAAAGGTGTAAGGTAACTTGTATAGTACTATACGATGTAAACGTCTTCTAACTTTGTTAGTACTATAATCTAGCTTCCTTTTTAAAATATTATTTCTCTAGTACTTGTAATTAGCGTTCGGTAAGTGGTACTCGATTCTATAGATTTCATAATTCCATTCCATATGGAATATTGTTAGAGGTCCTTATAAATGGCACACTTATTTCCATCGAATAGGCTCTAGTATTCCATGGAATTATAGAATTCCAAAACACGTAATAAGCACGTACTAAGCTAATAGCTTATTCGTCTCCCCTTAACTGCGGTTAGAATCACACTAGGTGGCCCGTGCGCGGGGAGGAACACTAACTTTTCTAGTATCTTTAATTTTATATAATTCTACTATTATAATATCTAAAGATATATAACTAGATATAAAAGATTAAGAAACTTAGTATCTAGATACCTTATTTTCTAAATAGCTCGAAATATACTTTAAGCCTATAAAAATACTAATACGATTATACTTAGTTAATCTACCGAATATTAGTATTTAAAAGGTTCGTATTAGGCGCTTTTTCTTATAATAACTAAAGAGTACCTTAGAGAGGAAAGCGGAGTTTTTTAGACTATCTAGAGACTCTTACTAAAGAGTTTTATATAGAATCTAGTTCGAAAAGAAAAACCGCTAGGTAATAGAAGAAGAGTAGTTTATATATAAAGATAGTTTAATATTAGATAGTTATATTAATAAAATAGTTAAGAATAGTTTCCTATATATAAAAGTATTCTAGAACTATCCCGAGAGCGTTCTAAGAGCGTTTCGAGAGCGTTCTAGGACCGTTCTAAACCTATTCTAAACCTATCCTAAATCCTACTCCTAAGTATATATATAGTTATATAAGTAGGCTGCGTAAGGTACTCCCGACCTACGCTCGGGCGCCTACGGGTATATGTCACGAATCACGTGTTAACATGTGAAGAGTGAAGACCAGGCGGCGCCCTGACAGGTCAAGCACATCCGTAGACTTATAGCAAATGGGGATCGTTTAGGTTAGCTAAGCGATCCAAGGATTTCCTTGGACTAGGATCACGTGACGAGCGACATGGTCGACCAGGTCGACCATGGCGACCACAGAGAACGAAGGTTCTATATAAGACTGGCACGTCTGCAATTAGATAGGAGCTTCGTGCTCAACTTAGTTATCAACTTAGTTATCAATCTTATCATATTAGTTTGACATCTTTGATACAAGTAACGAGTTCACTTCCAAGTGAACAGCCCGATAGTCTTCTTCTTATCATAGCATACCAACCAGCGAACACCCAGCCAAGTTTAGTTAGCCAGTTTGAGTATTCGTTACAGTATATACCTCGTACGCGCCTATAACCCCTAATTAACCTACTAGTAAAATCGTACGTTATACTGCCTACGATATACGCTTATCAAATTTCGCTAAATCGACGGAATTTAATTAAGAGAGCTATATTAGACTATTATTACTATATAATTCTTAGATAAAACTTTAATTTTATAACTATAGTATAAGCAATATAAGATAACTTTAAGAACCTAGGTTATGAGAGATATCTATAGAATAAATAAGATAAATATATACTTAAATATATTAAAAGAGAGAATCTAAATAAGATAATATTATAATATTTTAATATTATAATAAGCTAAGAGAGATTTGGCTAAGATTAAGTCTATTACTTTAATAAAATAATAACTTCTACTAAAGTATTATTTATAATACTTAAGGGAGTATCAAATATAAAATAGTTATTATAAACCCTTTAAATATAATTTTAAACCTTAAATCTAATCTTAAGAATCTAATATTAAGCTATAAGTTTTAAACTAAAATAACTTATAAGAAAGGTTATATTAAAAGAACTTATATAATGAACTCTACTAGATAATCTACGAACTACCCTAAATTTCTAGTAGAAGTATATTATATAAATAGAACCTACTATAGATATAATTAGTATAAGAATAATAATTCTATAGGTAGATATTAAATATATAAAAAGCTAGGTTATAGATTATTTAAATACTTGTAAAAGGAATAAGATTCTTAGAAAAATGAGTTTTAAACTCAGTTCTATAATAAGTTTAAAGGAGATTACTATAAGAGAGACTTTAATAAATAGTATAATACTTTTATTACCTAGTTTAAGTCTTAGGAGATAAGTAAATTAACTACTATAATATATATAATAAATCTTAAGGATTTAGATAGTAATTGATTATTAAGTTTAAGTTTAAGTAATAATAACTTAAGTAAAAATAAAGGTATACCTTTCTATAATATTATAAAGTATTTTATAATTAATATACTTAGTAACTCTAATATAAAATATCTTATTAACTAATTAAACTATATATCTACTATATACTAGCTTAGGTTTTATACTATATACCTAAAGATTATAGAAAGCTAAGACTCTAGAGTTATAGTAGTACTTATAGTAAATAAGGTACTTTTACCTATAATACTCTTACGATAAAGACCTAAGAACTTTTATAGTATTATAATTAATACTAGTACGCTTACTTTTAACTTAGTTAGATATAATTAATATTATACGTGCTATTTAAATAATAGTTCTTTATTAAAACTAAGCGATATTATAGTTGAGTTTAGTATAAAAAACTCTATAGCTATTAAATCTATAGTAGTTAGAATATTAATTAAATATATTAAGTTTTATATCTTTTTAATTAAACTACTATTTATCCTATATTTTTAATAGTTAGATAAGATATAAGTAACGTTTAATAATATTAATAACTTTATAGTTATAGTAAATAGTAATAAAGTTAAGGTTATATATCGATTTAGCTATCTATTTATAGTATAGGATTAAATATACTATAACTTTATAAATAAATTCTTCAACTTACTAATAAAAGCTAAATTATAATAACTTTATAAGTGTTTTAGACACCTATCTATTCTATAATTATAGAAGGTTCTAAAATAAGCTAGGTATAATATTAACTAGTCTATCCTTAAAAAGCTAACTAAATACTATAATTACTATATAAAGTATAACTATTTACCATATTAATTCTACTTTACTCTAAAAGAGAATACGAACTTTAATTATATAGTTTATATAAATATTTATTTTATTTATAGTAAGCCTATACTTTATATAGTTAATAAAGCTATAAAATAGAATACTATATACTAGTTATAAGAGATATTTGTAACGAATACTCAAACTGGCTAACTAAACTTGGCTGGGTGTTCGCTGGTTGGTATGCTATGATAAGAAGAAGACTATCGGGTTGTTCACTTGGAAGTGAACTCGTTACTTGTATCAAAGATGTCAAACTAATATGATAAGATCGATAACTAAGTTGAGCACGAAGCTCCTATCTAATGGCAGGCGTGCCAGTATTATATAGAACCTTCGTTCTCCACAGGAGTGTGGTTGGATCGTCAGATCCACGCTCCTGGATCATGGATCATTTAGATCCAAATGATCCACGTCATGTGACTTGATAACCAAAGGAAATCCTTGGATCGTCTAGCTAGCCTAGTCGATCCCTATTTGCTATAAGAGCTATGATAGTGCTCAACCTGTCAGGGCGCCGCCTGGTCTTCACTCATCACGTGCGCGCACATGATTCGTGACAATATTAGTAAAACACGTTTAAGAGATAGTAGGTAAATATTAGTTCTATATATTTTTAAAACTAATAGATTTACTTATAACTAATACAAGAAAGAATTTTACTTTAAAGAAGTTCTAATTATACGTAAATACTTTAGGAATTAGTATTAAAACTACTTTTATTAAAGTATGTTAATCTATTAGACTTATTAAATATTACTATAGTTTACTTTACTATACCTATAATATCTTAGTATAAGAGATTCTAAACTTACTAAAGAATATTATACTATAAATAGTAGTAAAAGCTATTAATAATACTATAAGACCTAATAAACTTATACTAATACTACTAGTTTTTAAAGCTTATCTAAAGATATAAGACTTTAAGTTACTATCGACTATAGTTATAAAGCGCTCTAAAACACTTTAGAAGGTAATAGTAGAAGTACGTAAGATTAAAGTAAAGTAATAGGTCAATAAAGTATTAAATACTTAGAATAGTCTATTTAACTAGATTAAGGATCTACCTCTTAGAGCTAAGGTTTAGGTATAGTATAAGTATAAGAAGTAGTAACGACTCTATAATCTATAAGGATATAAAGGAGAGGATATAATTATTCAGATTAAGGGTAAACTAGTTTAATTTCAATCTATAGTTATTAAACTATAATATATAAATAAGGATATATCTAATCTTTAGGATTTACTAAATATATCTAATCTTTAGGATCTACTAAATATAGACCTTAAACGTAGAGATATTATAGAGTATCCTAATAAATATTCTAATAAGAATTAACTAAAGTAAAGACGCGGATAACCCTAAAAGTTAAGATAAATTAAGCTAAACTCTAATAAAGATAAGTAGAATAAAAAGGATCCTATACTAGTAAAGCGGAGTTATAAATAACTATAAAAGACTTTAGTAGTTTATTGTACTAAGGTACTTCTAGTTTATAAAGAAGGTAATATTATAGAACTAAAGTACTAGGTATATTTTATAAATAATAGTATAGTATATTTTGTATTTAATAATTCTAAATAAATTAAGATAAGTAGATTAAC